CATGGTATCAGAGCCGTTACGTCCTTGGCCTGTGGGCTCACCACCTCGTTGCTTCCGCTGCAACTTCTGCTACTACTCTATGTGCCGCACGCCCCGTGGCGTGCGGCAGTTTTTTCTTCCCGCCGTGCGCCCCGAGGCGCGCGGCGGTTTTCTGCCCGCCGTGCGCCCCGTGGCGCGCGGCGGTTCTCTGCCCGCTGTGCGCCCCGAGGCGCGCGGCGGGCTTCTGCCCCGTCACTCGACGCGTCGCCCCCGGGAGGCGTTGCGACGGGCGACGGGGACCCGCGCGTCGCCCCCCGTCGCCCGTCGTGGCCTGCGCGCGGCCCGTACAGCCGGCGTGCGGCCCGTACGGGCTGCGCCAGGCCTGCGCGCGGCCCGTACGGGCTGCGCCAGGCCCGCGCGCGGCCCGTACGGGAAGCGCCAGGCCCGCGCGCGGCTCGGGCCGCCTGCGCGCGGTTCGGGCGGCTATACCAGGCCCGTGGGCGGCCCGTTCCTCGCTGCTCCTGCCCTCTCCACTGTCCCCCGTGCTTCTACCGGCGCCCCACCCCTCCTACAGCCCGTTCTCCTGAATTAGGGTTTGGGGGTGAAGAGTGTGGGGGTGGCGGCTATGGGGGTGTCGGTTGTGAGTTCCTCCCCCTGCTCCTCCTCCTCCCTCGTCTCCCTCTGCTACAGCTGCCGCTGAGGGGGGTGGTGTGTGGGAGCCGAGGGTTTAGGGTTTAAGGGGGGTGCCGTGGAAGTGGAGCTAGGGTGTCAGCAGGGGGTGTGTGAGAGGGGCGTGGGACGGTCGGGGGAGGTTGCGTGGAGGTAGCCGTCGTGACGCCAGCAGCGCCAGTAGTCCGGATGCCCTCGCGCGTTTCGGTAGCCCAGCGAGCCTGCTTCGCCAGTCGCCTGTGGGTCCGTTGCTCCTGTGTGTGCTCGTCGTAGCCGCGGAGCCAGATACTCCCGTAGTCCGGTGCCCTCGTGCGCTCGGTAGCCACTGTGCGCGCCGCTCCTGTTGCCCGTGTGTCTGCAGCTTCAGTCGGCGCCTTTCATCTTCTCGCCCTCACAGTTTCTCCTCCTCCTCACTTGCCCTCTATGATCACCTCTAGCTTTGCTTATAATTGTGAACTATTGCTATGCCTGCTCATTGTACTGATTACACCCCACTTTGGCTATGGGGGTGTGTCAGAATGTTATTATTGTCTAGCCTGTAGTGGGGTGCTCTATAGCGAGTACAACCCAGTTAGGGTTTGCTATATGTACCCCAACTGCTGCTAGTGAAACCCCCTTTTGCCTTCATTCTCTCTTGCCTAGCTAGGTCAACCCTAGCTATGGCTCCTCAGTATACCCACTATCTCGATATTCTAGTGTAGCTACAGTGGTGGTGCACCAATGTGCTCACCTTTCTTTGCTATATCTTGTAACCTTGCTGTAGTGAACCTCACCTTCCTGTTTCTCTCGCTCACGCTACCCCAAACCCTAAGGCTACTATTCTAACATGGTAATCAGAGCAGGCCGTTCCTAGGCCTAGTTTTATGCTCGTTATGGCGGCGCCTCGAGTCGCTGCTGATCGACACGGTGGCGAGCTGCGCAATGGCGAGATCCGTCGCTCCGTGCCCGTTTTGTCTTCCCGTTCGCTCCCATTACGCCTTGCTCGTCGCGCTCGTAGTGCCCTGCTCATCGCGCCCTGCGCCCGTCTGTTTCGTCGCCCCGCGGCCCCCGATTCGTCGCCCCGCGGCCCCCCGTTTCGTCGCCCCGCGGCCACCCGTTTCGACGCGCCGGGGCCCCCCGTTTCGTCGCCGCGGACGCCAGCGCCGGCGGGCGCCAGCACCAGCATGGACGCCAGCGCCCGCGCCAGCCCGGACCGCAGGCGCCAGCGCGAGCGTGGCCCATCAGCGCGGACGCCAGCACCGCGGCCAGCCGCTCGCGCCTGCGCACCAGCCAGCGCCACCGCCAGCGCCAGCAGCAGCTACCGCCGCCCCGCCCCCCCCCCCCCCCCCCCCCCCCCCCCGCCCGCCCTCCCTTCCGCTGCTTCCGTCGTGGGGAGGGAGGAGGGGGAGATGTGTGGGTGGCGTGTGTGAGCTGCCTGCAGCCCGTCCCTCCCCTCTCTCCTACTGCAGAGATTGTCGCCGTAGAGAAGGGGGGGGGGGGGGGGGGAGAGAAGTGCAGAAGGTGAGGGGGTGGTGATAGTGAAGTTGACTGGAGTGTGAGGGTGAGCATTGGGGGGATGGCAGATTCATGGAGTGAGGTTAAAGGGGGGTGGTTGAGTTGAGTTGAGTTCTGAAGGTTCTTAAGAGGGTCCGCCGCTCCTGGCCCCCCACCTTCTGAAGGTTCTTAAGAGGGTCCGCCGCTCCTGGCCCCCCACCTTCTCTCCTTTTCCCTCACTCCTCCCCAACCCCCTTTGTAAAAGGAGGTTCGTAAGCGGGTCCGCCGCTCCTGGCCCCCCACCTCTCCTCATCCCTCTCTCTCTTCCCTCCTCTCCTCTCCTCTCCTCTCCTCTCACCTCCTCCTCCTTCCTAACCTCTCTACCCTCTTCCGCTGCGCCACGTGTACCTGTACTAGTTATCACGGCAAGCAGGTTAAGGGGGTGTGTTAAGTTTTGTTATATACCCTGCTTGCTGTGTGTTCTAGTGTAGCTACAGTGGTGGTGCACCAATGTGCTCACCTTTCTTTGCTATATCTTGTAACCTTGCTGTAGTGAACCTCACCTTCCTGTTTCTCTCGCTCACGCTACCCCAAACCCTAAGGCTACTATTCTAACATTATAATAAATCATGATTTTTTAGGGGGTGCGCTTATAATCGAGGACCGGATATAAGCACCCTCATCCTTTTATAAGCGACGGCGCTTTCCCGAGGCCTGCGCTTCTATCCAGGGGCTTACGGTAAAACAAGCCCTTTGCTCAATGAAGAATGAATTCAATTTTATACCCATACTAAACAAAATACAATGCATATAGCAAACCCCAAAAACGTACGCTACACTAAATAAAACAGTGGGAACCGGACTGAGCTGTTATGCTGTTACTACCAGTAACAGCTCAAGCACACACAGCTATGCATGCCATGCCACCAAAGAGAGAAAACCAAATACGCGCAGCGCAAACAAGCAGTGCACTGCACAAACTGCAGCTGACTACCGTATGTTTACTTAGACATGTGCACTTCACCAAATAGCAGGTCCGTATGTAATCTCAAAAGGGAATATGTTACACTTTCCGTAAGTGGGGAGGGCAGGCTGTGAGAGGGGAGGGCTGGCTGGCTGTGAGTGGGGAGGGCTGAAGAGTGGGGAGGGCTGAAGAGTGGGGAGGGCTGAAGTGTGGGGAGGGCTGAAGGTAGTGGGAGCTTGGCCCACGGCAGTGCAGCTAGCGTGGAGAGCAAACGAGTGAAGCTTGCTGCTTCCGCAGCTAAGATACTTGAAGGCGATACAAGGAAGTGAGCTGCAGCTGAGCGTGGGAATGAAATACATGGCTTGGTGCAGTAGCCTTGGTGGATAGGAAAGTGGATGTGATAGAATTATGCTATTGGTGGGCGGGAAAATGCAGATTTGATTCTCTGGCGGATTTGGAACCGGGAGCCTGGGGAAGGGAAATTGGGCGCATAGGGAGGGGAAGGGCCAGGGAAAGGGCACGGGCAGGGAGAAAGAAGATAAGGAACGGCGAAAGGAGTGCGTGCAGGGAGGGAAAAACAGACTTTGATTGAGTCGACTAAAAAAAGAAGGTAAGAAATGGGGGAAGGAGGGCAGGGAGGAACAAACGGACAGTGAAAACTATCATCAGACTTCAGAAAGGAAACTGGAAGGCTCACGCTACATCACCAGGAAACCGCCTCTCCCCTCCCCTCCTCTCGTTCCCCCATCCCTACCTTTCCGCTGGTGGCCCTCCCCTCCCGTCCCCTCTTGCCTCTCTCCCTCCTCCCCCTCCCCATGGGCCTTGGGTCCTGTGATGGGCGGTGGGTGCTGCATCGCATTGTACTCTGCTTCTAGCTCCCTTAGCCGCTCTGAGACCTGCAAGAACGGGGAAAGGGGGTGGGGAGGAGGTGTGGTTGCATGGAAGGGAATAGACATACTCAGACAGGTCTGCATAGCTGCAATATTCCATCTCCCTATGCGCCCTGGCCCCTGCTATGGGCGGTGGGTCCTGCATCGCATTGTACTCTGCCTCCAGCTCCCTCAGCCGCTCTGAGACCTGGGAGAACAAAGAGGGGCATTGGTTGCAGGTGGGGGGAAACGGGACACAAAAATTGCTCTCGTTTACTCTCTTCCTCTGCCTCTTCCTCATAAGCCTTGGGCCTTGCTACGGGCGGCGGTTGCTGCACTGCTGCATGCTCCACCCCACCCACCTCCAGCTCCCTCAGCCGTTCTGATCGAAGCAGCAGAAGTTGACTCGGAGCAGAGTGTCACAGTAGCGGCCCAAAATTCTGTGCTACGGGGGCACACAGGATGTGCTACGGGGGCACACAGGATGTGGTTTGAAGGGAGCCTGTGTGTGTGCTACGGTATGCGATCAGAATCAAGCTCCAAGCCTTGCAACATAAACACCCTAAGTCACTACTCTAAAACCTTGAACCCTTTTTGGTGCGTACATTGAAGGAGAAGGCGACGTTGAGCAGCGTGTCTGGCTCCAGGATGCGATCAGGATACGTCCGTAGTGCTGGCACTAGGTCTTCAAATGGCATTTGCAGCTGTTGGGGGGTGGGAATGAGGCATGGTGGGAACAAGGGGTTGGAGGGATGAGAAGGTGGCGTTGAGAAGAGTGTCAGGCTCTAAGATGCGATCGGGCTATGTCCTGAGGGCCGGCACGAGGTCCTCAAAGGGCACCTGCAGCTGCAGGGGTAGTGGAGAGGGGATGACGCAAGGTACTGGCATAGTTTCTGAAGGGTAAGAAGGAGTTGAGCAGCGTGTCGGGCTCCAGGATGCGATCGGGGTACGTCCTGAGAGCCGGCACGAGGTCCTCAAAGGGCATCTGCAGCTGAAAGGGCGAATGAAGAGCAGAGGGGTCACGCAAAAACAAACAAGTTTCGGGGTTAATCAACGTAAAAGTGGGGTGAACGCAAGAGCAAGGCATGGGAGAAAAGAGTGCAAATGAGGAGCGGGAGAAGAGAGGGAGAGAGAAAAGACTTCATGACAGTGCGTGGGGAGGCAGGGCATACCAGATCGTCCTGTTGCTGCTTCAGCAACGCCAGCCCCACCCGGAACACTGTCTTCATGCCCTGCCATGGGGGGAGGGGGGAAGGGACAAGATGCTCATTGCCTCTACTTATGCAGAAATCACAACCCAACCAACCTAGACTACACAGGGATCGACAAGGACGGGCCCTCCCTCACCTCAAACAAGAACACGTCCCATTCTCGGAGAGTAGTCGCAAACAGGAAGCTGTAGGCGAAGACTGTGATGAACCACTGCGAGGTGTACATGGAAGGGGTCACTCCCTCCCCCTCCATGCACTGCGCCCTCTACTGACCGAGGGGTCTATAAAATACCAACGGGAACGCAATCTCAAGCAGAAAAACATCCCATATTCTGAGTGTGGTGGCGAAGGGGAAGCTGTAGGCGAACACTGTTATGAACCACTGCGACACGTACATGGAGGGGGTGACTTCTTCCCCCACCCCCCAAAGAACACAAGTAGTTGCAAGGAGGGCAGTGCGTGCCTCACCTCAAACAAGACCACGTCCCATATCCGGAGAGTAGTCGCAAACGGGAAGCTGTAGGCAAACACTGTGATGAACCACTGCGAGGCATACATGGATGGGTGGCGTCACTCCCTCGCCTCTCCAAAGAACACAAGTAGTTGCAAGGAGGGCAGTGCAAGAGGGTGCCTCACCTCGAACAAAAATACGTCCCATATTCTCAGTGTGGTAGCAAAGGGGAAGCTGTAGGCGAACACTGTGATGAACCACTGCGACGCGTACATGGAGGGCGTCACGCCCTCCCCCTCCATGTGCCGTGCCAGCTGCGGCAGACACTCGTGTAAGAGGCGGTCAAACTGGAATAGGTACTGCTGCACTAACGGCAGGCCGACCTGGGAGAAGAAAGCGGAAGGGGGATAAGACATGACATGCGAATAAAAAGGGGGTGTGATAGCAGAATGAGGAAAATGGCAGGCACTCGTGTAGCAGGCGGTCAAACTGGAAGAGATGTTGCTGCACTAGCGACAGACCCACCTGGGAGACGGAGAAGAGAGGAGGAAAAAAAGGGGATGATACTGTGAATGTGCTATAGCAGAGTGAGGACAACGGCAGTCACTCGTGTAAGAGGCGGTCGAACTGGAATAGGTACTGCTGCACTAGCGGCAGACCCACCTGGGAAGAGAGGAAGAGAGTGGGAAAAGAGGGATGAGGGAATGAAAAGAGAAGTGGGGAAAGGGGTGGGATAGCTGGATGAAGACAGGGGGGGCACTCGTAGTGACTGCGATCACACCGGAAGACGTACTGCCTGAACAACAGCAGTCTTTACCGGGGGAACTTATGAGGAAGGTTCACGGCACTTACGAGGAAGATTCCTTCGAGCGAGGTGTGGTTGGCGCCCTTCATGAGCGCCACGAGCAGCCAGAAGGCATCCTCCTCCGCCATGTAGAGCAGCATGAGACCCGCAATAAAACCCATGCCCTGGGGACGCATACATGGGAAGCAGAGCACAATTCATGAGCGCCACGAGCAGCCAGAAGGCATCCTCCTCCGCCATGTAGAGCAGCATGAGACCCGCAATAAAACCCATGCCCTGGGGACGCATACATGGGAAGCAGAGCACAATTCATGAGCGCCACGAGCAGCCAGAAGGCATCCTCCTCCGCCATGTAGAGCAGCATGAGACCCGCAATAAAACCCATGCCCTGGGGACGCATACATGGGAAGCAGAGCACAATTCATGAGCGCCACGAGCAGCCAGAAGGCATCCTCCTCCGCCATGTAGAGCAGCATGAGACCCGCAATAAAACCCATGCCCTGGGGACGCATACATGGGAAGCAGAGCACAATTCATGAGCGCCACGAGCAGCCAGAAGGCATCCTCCTCTGCCATGTAGAGCAGCATGAGACCCGCAATAAAACCCATGCCCTGGGGACGCTATCATGGGAAGCAGAGCACAATTCATGAGCGCCACGAGCAGCCAGAAGGCATCCTCCTCCGCCATGTACAGGAGCATCAGCCCCGCTATGAAGCCCATGCCCTGGTGAAATGGGGGGAGAAGGAAGGATATAAATGTGCGCTCTGAGTGAGTAGCACACAGCAGCAGACGGAAGGCATCCCCCTCCGCCATGTAGAGGAGCATGAGGACCGCTATGAAGCCCAGGGATGGAAAAACATGCAGGGGTGGAAGGGAGAAGGGAGAAGAGAGAAGGTATATTCAATCTGCGTGCACTGATCATCTGGTCTTTACCTGCTCTCTTGTCGTTCTCTCCTATCCTTACCTGCACATATCCAATCTTCTTATTGAGCTTCTGCATGAAGTAGACGTGTGTGGGAAAATGTGTGGTTGATGCGTCTCATCTTCTTACCTGCGCATAACCACTCTTCTCATCCTCACCTGCACGGATCAACTCTCTCATCCTCACCTGCACGTAGCCAATCTTCTTGTCGTAAACACTGTATGCCTTGAGCACGTTGAAGAGTGCTCTTTGCCCCGGGCCGTGCTTCTGCATGAAGTAGACGTGTGTGGGGAAGGTGCGGTTGATGTCTCGAATGATGTCCATCTCGTTATTGGACAGCTCGTACAGTAGCATGTGCTGCCAATAACGGGGATCATTGAAGAGACAAGGGGAAGTAAAGATATGGGTGGAAGGGGGGAAAGGAAAAGAGGAGAACAGTACGATGGGCGATCATTACTCACTCTAATACACTCCCTCCCCTCATAAAGCATGATTGAACCAGCTGGAGCTAGTTATGAGTCAACTTAACAATCAAGCTGGCGCTCTCAAAGCGTTCCTTCTGCAACTCACCTCATACGCGCCTTCGTTCATTAGCAGGAACTCCCGGCTACCAGACAAAAGCTGCCACACGATCCCGCGCAGGCAGTCCGGCACGCCTTGTCTTATCCGCTTCTTGACCTCCCGGGGGTGCTTCCTCTGGTAGAGATTCCAGTCCATGGGCCCTAGACCAATCATAGCGCGCCACCTGCGCACCTCCCTCTCCTCCCTGATTGGAGTGAGAATGGAAGGGAAGATGGAAGAGAGACAGAGCAGGGAAACGGGGGCTTAGTAGCTGAGGGGCAGGGTAGAGGAGAGAGTGGAGCAGAGGAGAGAGTGGAAAAGGGGGAGATGATATGCAGAGGGTAGAGGAAGGAAGGGAGAGAGAGGGATGAGAGGTAAAAAAGCAAACCGTTTGATTGACACATGACCGTTCACAGTTGCTGAAGAAGAGATTGTTACCTGACGCACGCAAACCCACTGCTCACTCCACGCAGAGAGAGGGACACAACACTTACCACACAAAGGCACATCACTCAGCAACACACAAGCACAGCACAGCCTTCCTTACTTGATGTACAAAAGCCGTTCCTCCTTCTCCAATAAGCTTGCCTGCGGAGCATGCACCCCTGTCACCCCTCTCCCCTCCTCCCCTCCTCCACTCCCCTCCCTCCCCTCCCCCTCCTCCGCCACAAACCCATACCGATCCACCACCGCAGGCATGTCCATAGGCTCGGTATCAAACTCCACAGCAGCAGCTTCGGTAAGAGGTCCGCGCTTGTGCCACTCTATCCCGTCCTTGTCCCGGTAGGTTCGGGTCGACAGCGTTGCTTCGGCTGTCTTCCCCAGGGAGGCCAGGGTCGGCGGCAGGCTCGGGTTCGCTGCTTCAGCAGCGGCGGCGATGGCCGCGGCTGCTTCGGCGCGTGGTGAGGATACTGGGTCATGTCTTAAAGGCGATGAGGATTCGCTGTGGTGGTTGTGGCTAGTTTCCGAAAGCTCAGTTCCCTCGGTAATAGTTCCCTGTAAACCACCCACCTCATACTCACTCATGCGAGGACTCCCCCCTCCTCCACCCTCACTCGCCGCCCCACTCCCCTCCTCACTCCCCTCCCCGCTTTCCTCCTCCCCACTCTCCTCCCCACGCGCCCTGTCGTCCCCCTCTCCATCATCCACATCAGAGAGAGGGCTGCTCCCCCCTAGAGGCGATCTGCCGATCCCAGCAGGAGTGGACATGGCCCGAGGGAAACGGGCCATCACCCTCCTCCGGCCCTCTTTCGAGATCTGCTCTGCACCCTGCTCTGTGCTCTGCTCTTGGCCCTTCTCCTCGTCCTGCCCTTCCCCCTCGCCCACGCCCTCCTCTAAGTCCGCCAGTTCTGCTGCCGCTGCGGCTGCTGCTGCTTCTCCAACGAGCTGCTGCTCAGAAGATAGAACCTCCATACCTTCAGAACCAGCGCTGTCACCACCACCAACACCACCAGCACCCCCAGCACCAGCACTAGCAGCACCAGCACTGCTGCCACCAGCAGCAGAAAGCGTGGCAGCCGGGGCAGGAGCAGGGGGGAACCCAGCATCTCGAGGCATGGCGAAGAGAGGAGAGCGAGGGCCCTGTGCCTGCAACCCTAACGCGAAGGAATGAGACGACAGCTGACGCAGGTGCTGCCGGTTCGCGACATGCAGGGGCGGCAGGTTGTGCGGCAGGATATGGTGCGGGTAGTACGGGGACTGCATGAGAGCCGGGTCTAGGGGCGAGGAGGCAGTTGAAGACATGGTGCAGTCTATTGAAACGGTTGGGCTCGGTTCATAACGTGCTGTCTGCCATCTCTCCCCGTCCCCACCCCCGCTGGCCCTTCTCCAATGCGGTACATACGCTGCTGCTGCTCCCCCGCTGCTTCCCCGTTGTGCCCGAGCTCCTCCCACTACTCCTTCTCTCTCCCCTGCTGCTCCTGCTGCGGCTGCTGATGCTCCCGTTCCTCCTCCTTGCCTTGCTTCTTCCTGCAACTTTCTCCTTCGGATGATAGCGCTGCCACTGCTAGCTGACCGTGTGGCCAACGCTCCTCCCTCCTCGTCCTCGTCTGCCTCTTCCTCATCTCCTCTTAGACTCTCTTCTTCTTCCTCCTCCTCCTCCTCGTCTTCTCCTTGCTCCGCTAGAGCAAAATCCGATCCTCGTTCCTCCCGATCCCCTTCCTCTTCCCCACTGCCTCCACCTCCCCCTTCTCTACTTCCGCCCCCCTCTCCACCGACTCCCCCATTCTCGTCCCCCCTACCTCCGCCTCCCCTGCTTTCCCCAACCTCTTTCCCCAAATCCGCGTCCGAACCTGTTCTACCCCCACCACCGCCACTGGCAGCATTACCCGCTTGCATAACCCCCCCTATAAGCACACCTTCTACAGTAACCCCACTGTACACCGCCCCATCCCCAACCCCTTCCAGTCCCCGTTTCACCTTCCTCGTTAACGGAGCACGCTTTAATGCACCAGGTACAAGCTTAGGCGGAATAGCTAGCGCAGCAGCTGCAGCACGGGCTGAACTTTCTGTTCCTCTCTTATTCGCCTCCTTTCCCTCCGATCCCTTGTCTTCCCCTTCTGATCCACCCCCTCTTCCACCCTCTCCCCCAGTCTCCCCTTGGCTTACCTCCTCCGCTATACCTTCCCCTTCCCCTTTCCGCTGCTGCGCCATTGCAAAGGCCTCCAGACTCTTTCTTTCCCGCCCAAACCCGCACAACGCATGGTGCGCCCTCCGCCTGTGCATCTCCTCCAACCAGATCGCGCCACTTGTCCTCGTCACAATAATCGCGAAATCCGACCGTCCAGATGCGTCCAGCCATCCCACACGAGTGCTCGCCCCTCCCACGTTATCCCCGCCCCTGCTTCCCCCTCTCCCCTCCTGATGCTGCGGACGGCTCATCCACTCCCCCCACCGCAATTTCTCGCCCCCCGTCCCACCACCCCTTCCCCCGCCCGCTCCCCCCGTCCTCTCTTCTGCTCCGCCGGCTGCGGCTACGGCGGCTGCGGCGGCTGCATCAGTGGCGGCTTTCCCCGCGGGCATGGACATCTGCTTGAGATAGCCGCGGTGCGGGCGCAAGTGCGCGGGCGGGGCGGAAGGCGCAGCTGGTCGCGCGTTACTTGAACCGCTGCTTCCCCCTTCGCTCCCCGCATCTGCTTTTTCTCGCGCCGACTCGCGCAACCCTAGAGCTTTCCCCAGATTCGACATGCGCATTCCGCCTATTCCGCCGATTCCGCCCATTCCGCCGATTCCGCCCAATTTGCCGGTTTTCTTAGGCCGCGGATCGCTGTGGTAGCGGACAAAATCTCCGCCGTCAACTGCCTGATCGTCATCGTCGCGAGTTACGGAGGAGGCGACTCGAGCGGCACTATCTCTTGCGATACCTAATTCGCTATCTATAGTCGCTTCTGGACTAGCGGGCTCCATAGATTGTCGATTCTGTATCTTAAACGTGGGATCCGCCGCAAAAGACGCGCTAGCGGAACCTTTCTGAGAAACGAAAACCGCGGCTGCGGAGGAACGAGGGTCAGCTACAATGGCGGGTGTTGCGGCGACAGCAACGCTGGCTACAGCTGCTGCTTGTGCATGACAGGTGGAGGCGACGGGTGACAGTGACGCGAGGACGTGTGGCGGAGGGCGATGCAGAGGCGACTCGCTGGCCATTAAAGCTCCCTGTCAGGCGAGAGGGCGACTTCCGAGCCGCGCTCTCGGCATCGCCTCAGATAGCATTCGCCTGACAGCACCTTCCGCGCATTTCTCGTTTGGAAAGAGGATGTAGAGTGACGGCTATGGAGAGACGCAAGCGGCTTCTCATCAGCAGTACATCACAAGCGCCTGACGTACTATCCGTTAAGAAGATTCGAGAAACCCAATATACAGAGAATGGAAATGGAATTGGACCTTATCAAAGATAACGAGTGACTAATCAACCTAGGAGGTACGGGTAGTACCTGACCTGCTGCACTCGCTGCGACGCTTCCGCGTTGGCTAAAGAGGACTTGGCATCCGCAAATGCGAGCCCCCGTGGATAAGAAACGTCAACGCGACAATACCTAAAATTGTTGACCATATGAGAGATTTGTCTGCATTTTCAGGGCGTGGAACATGGCATAACTAGGCCCGAAGACGAAGAACGACAGCGTCACCACCAACGATCTCGCACGCAACTGATGAAACAGCCATGGAAGAACAAGCTAAATAGAAAGACGTAGGAGGCGGCAAAATCCATGGGCGGGAAGGGTTGCCCAGTGGCGCTGCGCCTAGCGGAAGATTGTCTTCCCCATCGTGCGCGGATTCTTGCGCTGGCGGTGCCCTTCACTGCGCGAGAGCCACAGCACCCGCCAGGATTCGCGCTGCCCTGGGTTTCCCCGCATGGTACTCATTGCGTTGGTTGTTGCGAGCCTTCTGATTGGATAAAAGAGATGCCAAACCTAGTGGGGTGGTAAGTGCCGGGTTGAAAACATTTGTCAAGAAGAAAGGTGTAGGTACATTGAGCAGAAAAAGGGCTATTCTGTAAAGAGTATACTCGACACTCAACTCAACACAAAATGCACCACTCGTTTCAATCTCACCGAACAGATTTGGCAGACATAAACGACAACAGGCATGAATGTAACCAATGGGTTCGTGTGTGTGTGGGCGATGTCAGTTTTAGCGAAGACCCTGAGGCGACAGCTGTCTCAGCTGCATCCGACAAACGCCATGAGCGGGGTTGACCCTCGTGTTTTGCTCAACAAACTTCGCTGCAGAACGTGCGGCCATTGAAACTCCAATATAGAGCTATCTTAACAAAGGAAACAAAGCCACCTTATATTGGCTACATATGTCATGAACAAATTCAGCTAGAAGTTCATCTGTTTCAACATATGCTATCTGTAGTTTGACCTGTAGCGGCAGTCCTCCTCTTCTAAACAGTTTCATTTATGGTATCTAGCGCTGCAGGGAGAGAGGAGGGCGGCGGCTGGTGGCGCAGGCGCAGGCAAACCCTACCGCCACTCCCCCGCTCCCAAAACACCCCCCCCACTGCTGCACGGGCAGCAGGGAGAGGGAGAAGGAGGGCGGGGTAGGGGCTGCGCGTGCAGTTGCAGATGCGCGCGACTGGTACCTTCATCTCATGCCTTGCAGATTCAGCCAGCTATTCTCCGGTCCAGCTATTCAGCCAGCCAAGCACATCCCACCCCCATTCCATCCACCCCACTCCGACCCACAAGGTACAGCCCCAGAGGATGCTGCCTGCAATTAAGGCAGCCAACTCCCCTCATTGCCCCATACTTCCCACTCGCCCTCCTCCCTTCACCCCAAGTATCCTTACCTCTACTCACCACAGTCATGCCTGAGGCTGTGGGGGACGAGGAGGATTAACAGAGCGCTGTGATGCCTGAGGCTGTGGGGGGGTGGGAGGGGAGGATTAACAGTGAGGAGGTGTGAGGGGGTTCTTTTGATGGTGGGGAAGCGGGGAAAGGAGAAAGCGAGAAGGGAAATAGCTTACCCCATCAGTCTTTGCCACAGTCTCATGTGCCTCTCTTGCAGCGCTGCCACTTCCATGTGATGGACAGACATATGCCATGTGGATTATGCCATGCCATGCAGATGACACAAACAAGCACGTGGATGACACACGCCATGTGGATGGGATGGGGGCAAACAGGGGGTAATGGGGACCAGAGGAGGCCAGGGGAGAGAACGAGGGGAGGGCAGGAGGAACAGAACCAAGCCGGCGTTGAACATTTATTGAGCTGCACAGCCGGGCTGCTCTCACGAGTGGCTGCATGGCGTATGAGAGCAAGAGAAGCGGTGCAACGAGTGTTGACACGCCTCAAAATGCAAGAGCCCGTGGGAGCAGAGCAGCGCAGGCAGTGCCATGCGTCGACCTCCCCCGTCTCTCTCGCTCCGCATCTCCAGCTCTTCCAGCGCGCCCGCCACCACCACCTCCTCATCCCCCTCCTGCACCCGCGCTTCCCACGCCTCCGCTCCGCGCCTCTTCTTCCCTCCTATCCCCCTACCATCTAAAATAAGCGTTCCCGCAAAAACCGGCTGTAGAGGCGCCTCAACTATCCTTGAGTGCTCCCCCCTGCTGTCGTCGGGTTGCTGAGGCCCCTCACACGCCTCCAGGGGCGCTGCATGAGAGCTCATAGGAGCGTGTGCAGCACTAGCCACCCCGTTATTAACCACCCCGTTATCAGGCAGCCGGCTATTAGGTATTTCTCCCTCGGGCAGACCTCCTGTAATAGCAGCTGCCACGAACCTTCCTCGTGTTTTCTGGCGCCTTCCTGACCGAACGGCGGCGCCCCCTAATCCGCCGCTAATCCCGCCGCCTGCTGCGGCGCCAGCGGCGCTGTTTACAGGATCTTCTGCTCCCGTCCCCGCTTTTCCCGCCGCCATTCCCGCTAAAGGCGGATTTGGCGCTGCTTTTGCCGTCGTCATCCCGGACAATGGCGGCGAGGCGGCACCGCCAGTCGCGCCGCTCATCACGGCGACATGCGCACTTCTGGCGGAGTGCGCACGCGCGGCGGCCGCTAGGCGCGGCTTGGATCTAGCGGGAACTGCGCGCGGGCTGAGCGTCTCGTCGTCGTCGAAAGCGACGCGCTTTAACTCGCGACCTCGGCTGCTGCGCCTCGTGGCCTCCATCGTACTCGTTACGATCCGCTTCGCTATAAGTGTCGCAATCGTTACACCGCTTACGTGTAACGGCCTGCCGTGGATTCAAGTTTCTTACAGTGTCGCAGCAACGGCAAAACGACTTGACGTGTAAGCGCTCCGACGTAAGGGCGTGTCACATGATCGGACGGTCACGGTCCACCACGGTCACGGACCTCGGCTGCTGCGCCTCGTGGCCTCCATTGTACTCGTTACTATCAGGTTGAGAATTTTGGAATGAAAGAAGGAAGCACTTTGTGAACAATACAAGGACTTTCAAGTAACACGGCTCACACTCGGCTCGTCATTTGCCTCCCGTCTACCGCGTTTCAGTAGGTTCCCTCGCGGTCAGGAACGGTGCCGTGACCTAACCCATATACGAGTTGATCAGGGACATTCAACCATTGCACAGCGCACTGAAGTAAACCAGCATGAACGCAAATAACTCGTTCTTCTCAGCTTCTCTCATCTGACAAGCTCTTCTCAGATTCCGTCGCCGCGCCGCCTTAGATACAGCTTCATAATCCGTTTGAGCAGCAAAGATTTTCTGTTGCTCGTCACTGGAATTCGGGCTAGGCAGTTCTTTTTAGTCCCTGACGAAGGCTGAGTAGACGCTGTTTCCGTAGACGCTGAACTACTCTATTCGATTCACGTTTGTCGCATGGAGGTGGAATGCGCGAGTTCGTATGGAGCCGTATCAATCGGGGTGCGTGCTTAGATACATGTTTTCTCTTACCTTTCCTTAAGTTAACAGTAGGTCCTGGTTCAGATCCCATCGGCAGCTAGCGCGATTGTGAGGCGCCTTGGAAATGGTTTCGATTGCTTCAGCCTCTGTGTGTTGCCGTGGCACGCGGAAGTGGTTAGCATTTCGGAAAGCGATGGACCATCCTTGCTGGATTTAGAAAATCATGCGCTAATTGACGCGGACCGTCGTGGGACGTCGTGGCATGCGATGGGAGAATCGTGCTTGGAGCTGACACTCTAATTACCACAGGTAGTTTTCATATCCTTGCATGAAGCATCACCATTTCGCGACTTCAGTGGAGATTGTTCCGTCGGAACGTGCATCAGCAAGAGAACGTAGGAGAAGATGACTGCCCTCACGGACTTGGGGATCTGTAAGGGACTCAAATCCCTGCATCCTGCTTTGGGTAACAGACAACAATCTCGCATGATGCTCTCCGCCTGTTCTGTTCTGCATGTGAACTAACCATTTGTGCATGGCTTATGCGTGGCTGAGCCTGCAACGTGACTTTTCTCACACGTGTTTGCGCTGCACACATCGTGTCACATGGATCACATTACAACATCACATGATCACCGTCTCACATCATAAGCCATCCATCCCACCCCGATGGCATGAGATCAGGACGGAGTTGGGCGGTGGAAGGATGCCTCATCTGGGTCACCCATCCACAGATGTGAATACGGTGGCGACTGTGGTCAAGCAGTTGCAACATTGAGGTGATTCAAGTGCTCCAATACCTTTCAGCCACTATATGTTAACATAAGCACTATTCTCCCAGACACCCTCCCTTTCCAACCCGCGTTTCCCCTTCCCTTTCCTGAGCCTATCCTTTTTACATGGTTTGCGTTGTTTAGACTACCTCCCAGTCCCAGTCCCATGGTTCGCGTTTCGTGCTGTCAGCAACGACGATCGTGAGTGAGGTGGCATGATCGTTAGTCTCCTATTCTTGTGTGTTTGTCGTCTTCACCCTCATCCCTCCTACTCTCATCCTTTCTCTACCTTCATCCCCCCTGCGCCCTCACCCCCTTGCGCCCTCATCCCCACTGCACGCTCATCCCCCCATCCCGCCTCTCCTCCCCCTCCTCCCTTTCTTCCCTAGAGGACGAACGAGGCGATGCAGGGCGGGCGTGGCGTTTCAAGTGAATGCGCGTAGGGAGGGGGAGAGGGCCAGCAGCAACACAAGATCGACTGTTGAGGCGCCTCAAAGGTAGCAGGGCAGGTGTGACGTTTGAGGCGAATGCGCATCCGCCTCAAACAGCAAGCTTGGAGGGGGAGAGGGCGAGCGAGCACCACGACATCTACCGTTGAGGTGCCTCAAATGATGCAGCGCGGGCGTGGCGTTTGAGGTGAATGCGCGCAGGGAGGGGGAGAGGACGAGCAAGCAGCACGAGATGGAGTTTTGAGGAGTCTCAAAGAACGAGGCGATGCAGCACGGGTGAGGTGTTTGAGGCGAATGCGCGTTCGCCTCAAACAGCAAGCTTGGAGGAGCTTGGAGGGGGAGAGGGCGAGCAAGCAGCACGACATCGACTGGCTCATGGAGGAGCTTCAACGCACCCAGGTGTGATGCAATGCGGTGTGGAGCGGTTGGGTGCAGTGGGGTGCTGTGGGGTGCGGTGGGGTGTGGCGGGATGAGATACAGAAGGGCGACGTGTGAGAGGAGGCTGAGCTGAGAGAGGGGCATCGGAGAGGAGAGGATGGTTGGTGGATTGCAGTGGGATGGGATGGGATGAGATCATGAGAGGAAATGGGGAACAGATGATAAGGTGGGGGAGGGGAGTGATAATTGGGTGTCCAAGGAGTGAGTTGTACCTCGTCTCGTCCCTCCCAATTTACCCTTCCGCCTTCCCTCCTTTCCCCCTTTGCCCGCCCCCCTTTGCACTTCCTCCTGTGCTGTCCACCTCTTTCTTTTCCCCCCTTTCCCCTTCCTCTTTTGTCCGTCCTCCTTTGCCCATCCCCCTTTGCCCGTCCCCCTTTGCCCATCAACCTTTGCCCGTTCCCCTTTGCCCATCCCCCTTTGCCCTTCCCTCTTTGCCCATCCCCCTTTGCCCGTTCCCCTTTGCCCATCCCCCTTTGCCCGTTCCCCTTTGCGCATCAGCAGCATCAGCATCAGCATCAGCATCAACATCAGCATCAGCATCAGCATCAGCGCATCAGCATCTGCATCTGCATCAGCATCAGCATCAGCATCATCAGCATCAGCATCAGCATCAGCGTATCAGCATCAGCATCAGCGCATCAGCATCAGCATCAGCATCAGCATCAGCATCAGCATGAGCATCAGCATCAGCGCATCAGCATCAGCATCAGCATGAGCATCAGCATCAGCGCATCAGCATCAGCGCATCAGCATCAGCATCAGCATCAGCATCAGCATCAGCGCATCAGCATCAGCGCATCAGCATCAGCAACAGCATCAGCATCAGCATCAGCGCATCAGCATCAGCATCAGCGCATCAGCATCAGCAACAGCATCAGCAACAGCATCAGCATCAGCATCAGCGCATCAGCATCAGCATCAGCGCATCAGCATCAGCATCACCATCAGCATCAGCATCAGCATCAGCGCATCAGCATCAGCGCATCAGCATCAGCATCAGCATCAGCATCAGCGCATCAGCATCAGCATCAGCGCATCAGCATCAGCATCAGCGTATCAGCATCAGCATCAGCGCATCAGCATCAGCATCAGCATCAGCATCAGCATCAGCATCAGCGCATCAGCATCAGCATCAGCATCAGCATCAGCATGAGCATCAGCATCAGCGCATCAGCATCAGCATCAGCAACAGCATCAGCATCAGCATCAGCATCAGCGCATCAGCATCAGCGCATCAGCATCAGCGCATCAGCATCAGCATCAGCATCAGCGCATCAGCATCAGCATCAGCGCATCAGCATCAGCATCAGCGCATCAACATCAGCCCATCAGCATCAGCATCAGCATCAGCATCAACATCAGCATCAGCGCATCAGCATCAGCATCAGCATCAGCGCATCAGCATCAGCATCAGCGCATCAGCGCATCAGCATCAGCGCATCAGCATCAGCATCAGCATCAGCATCAGCATCAGTGCATCAGCATCAGCATCAGCGCATCAGCATCAGCATCAGCATCAGCGCATCAGCATCAGCGCATCAGCATCAGCGCATCAGCATCAGCGCATCAGCATCATCAGCATCAGCATCAGCATCAGCAGCATCAGCATCAGCATCAGCATTAGCATCAGCATCAGCATCAGCACATCAGCATCAGCATCAGCATCAGCGCATCAGCATCAGCATCAGCATCAGCGCATCAGCATCAGCATCAGCATCAGCATCAGAATCAGCATCAGCATCAGCGCATCAGCATCAGCATCAGCATCAGCATCAGCGCATCAGCATCAGCGCATCAGCATCAGCATCAGCATCAGCGCATCAGCATCAGCATCAGCATCAGCATCAGCGCATCAGCATCAGCATCAGCATCAGCATCAGCGCATCAGCATCAGCATCAGCATCAGCATCAGCAGCATCAGCATCAGCATCAGCATGAGCATCAGCATCATCAGCATCAGCATCAGCATCAGCACATCAGCATCAGCATCAGCATCAGCATCAGCATCAGCGCATCAGCATCAGCATCAGCACCAGCATCAGCATCAGCATCAGCATCAGCATGTGCATCAGCATCAGCATCAGCATCAGCGCATCAGCATCAGCATCAGCATCAGCATCAGCGCATCAGCATCAGCATCAGCATCAGCGCATCAGCATCAGCGCATCAGCATCAGCATCAGCATCAGCGCATCAGCATCAGCATCAGCATCAGCGCATCAGCATCAGCATCAGCGCATCAGCATCAGCATCAGCATCAGAATCAGCATCAGCATCAGCATCAGCATTAGCATCAGCATCAGCATCAGCATCAGCATCAGCGCATCAGCATCAGCGCATCAGCATCAGCATCAGCATCAGCATCAGAATCAGCATCAGCATCAGCATCAGCATCAGCGCATCAGCATCAGCGCATCAGCATCAGCATCAGCATCAGCGCATCAGCATCAGCGCATCAGCATCAGCATCAGCATCAGCATCAGCATCAGCGCATCAGCATCAGCGCATCAGCATCAGCGCATCAGCATCAGCATCAGCATCATCAGCATCAGCATCAGCAGCATCAGCATCAGCAGCATCAGCATCAGCATTAGCATCAGCATCAGCATCAGCATCAGCGCATCCGCATCAGCATCAGCATCAGCATCAGCGCATCAGCATCAGCATCAGCGCATCAGCATCAGCATCAGCATCAACATCAGCATCAGCATCTGCATCAACGCATCAGCATCAGCGCATCAGCATCAGCATCAGCATCAGCATCAGCATCAGCACATCAGCATCAGCATTAGCATCAGCATGAGCATCAGCATCAGCATCAGCCCATCAGCATCAAAATCAGTGAATCAGCATCAGCATCAGCATCAGCCCATCAGCATCAAAATCAGTGAATCAGCATCAGCATCAGCGCATCAGCATCAGCGCATCAGCATCAGCATCAGCATCAGCGCATCAGCATCAGCATCAGCATCAGCGCATCAGCATCAGCATCAGCATCAGAGCATCAGCATCAGCATCAGCATCAGCATCAGCATCAGCATCAGCATCAGCAGCAGCATCAGCATCAGCATCAGCGCATCAGCATCAGCATCAGCATCAGCATCAGCGCATCAGCATCAGAATCGGTGCATCAGCATCAGCATCAGCGCATCAGCATCAGCATCAGCATCAGCATCAGCATCAGCATCAGCGCATCAGCATCAGCGCATCAGCATCAGCATCAGCATCAGCGCATCAGCATCAGCGCATCAGCATCAGCATCAGCATCAGCACATCATCAGCATCAGCATCAGCATCAGCGCATCAGCATCAGCATCAGCATCAGCGCATCAGCATCAGCATCAGCGCATCAGCATCAGCATCAGCGCATCAGCATCAGCATCAGCATCAGCGCATCAGCATCAGCATCAGCGCATCAGCATCAGCATCAGCATCAGCATCAGCGTATCAGCATCAGCATAAGGATCAGCGCATCAGCATCAGCATCATCAGCATCAGCATCAGCATCAGCGCATCAGCATCAGCATCAGCATCAGCATCAGCATCAGCATCAGCGCATCAGCATCAGCATCAGCATCAGCATCAGCATCAGCATCAGCGCATCAGCATCAGCATCAGCATCAGCGCATCAGCATCAGCATCAGCATCAGCGCATCAGCATCAGCATCAGTATCAGCATCAGCATCAGCGCATCAGCATCAGCATCAGCGCATCAGCATCAGCATCAGCATCAGCGCATCAGCATCAGCATCAGCGCATCAGCATCAGCGCATCAGCATCAGCATCAGCATCAGCGCATCAGCATCAACATCAGCATCAGCATCAGCATCAGCGCATCAGCATCAGCACATCAGCATCAGCATCAGCATCAGCATCAGCGCATCAGCATCAGCATCAGCATCAGCGCATCAGCATCAGCATCAACATCAGCATCAGCATCAGCATCAGCGCATCAGCATCAGCGCATCAGCATCAGCATCAGCATCATCAGCATCAGCATCAGCAGCATCAGCATCAGCAGCATCAGCATCAGCATTAGCATCAGCATCAGCATCAGCATCAGCGCATCCGCATCAGCATCAGCATCAGCATCAGCGCATCAGCATCAGCATCAGCGCATCAGCATCAGCATCAGCATCAACATCAGCATCAGCATCTGCATCAACGCATCAGCATCAGCGCATCAGCATCAGCATCAGCATCAGCATCAGCATCAGCACATCAGCATCAGCATTAGCATCAGCATGAGCATCAGCATCAGCATCAGCCCATCAGCATCAAAATCAGTGAATCAGCATCAGCATCAGCATCAGCCCATCAGCATCAAAATCAGTGAATCAGCATCAGCATCAGCGCATCAGCATCAGCGCATCAGCATCAGCATCAGCATCAGCGCATCAGCATCAGCATCAGCATCAGCGCATCAGCATCAGCATCAGCATCAGAGCATCAGCATCAGCATCAGCATCAGCATCAGCATCAGCATCAGCATCAGCAGCAGCATCAGCATCAGCATCAGCGCATCAGCATCAGCATCAGCATCAGCATCAGCGCATCAGCATCAGAATCGGTGCATCAGCATCAGCATCTGCATCAGCATCAGCGCATCAGCATCAGCATCAGCATGAGCATCAGCATCATCAGCATCAGCATCAGCATCAGCACATCAGCATCAGCATCAGCATCAGCATCAGCATCAGCGCATCAGCATCAGCATCAGCACCAGCATCAGCATCAGCATCAGCATCAGCATGTGCATCAGCATCAGCATCAGCATCAGCGCATCAGCATCAGCATCAGCATCAGCATCAGCGCATCAGCATCAGCATCAGCATCAGCGCATCAGCATCAGCGCATCAGCATCAGCATCAGCATCAGCGCATCAGCATCAGCATCAGCATCAGCGCATCAGCATCAGCATCAGCGCATCAGCATCAGCATCAGCATCAGAATCAGCATCAGCATCAGCATCAGCATTAGCATCAGCATCAGCATCAGCATCAGCATCAGCGCATCAGCATCAGCGCATCAGCATCAGCATCAGCATCAGCATCAGAATCAGCATCAGCATCAGCATCAGCATCAGCGCATCAGCATCAGCGCATCAGCATCAGCATCAGCATCAGCGCATCAGCATCAGCGCATCAGCATCAGCATCAGCATCAGCATCAGCATCAGCGCATCAGCATCAGCGCATCAGCATCAGCGCATCAGCATCAGCATCAGCATCATCAGCATCAGCATCAGCAGCATCAGCATCAGCAGCATCAGCATCAGCATTAGCATCAGCATCAGCATCAGCATCAGCGCATCCGCATCAGCATCAGCATCAGCATCAGCGCATCAGCATCAGCATCAGCGCATCAGCATCAGCATCAGCATCAACATCAGCATCAGCATCTGCATCAACGCATCAGCATCAGCGCATCAGCATCAGCATCAGCATCAGCATCAGCATCAGCACATCAGCATCAGCATTAGCATCAGCATGAGCATCAGCATCAGCATCAGCCCATCAGCATCAAAATCAGTGAATCAGCATCAGCATCAGCATCAGCCCATCAGCATCAAAATCAGTGAATCAGCATCAGCATCAGCGCATCAGCATCAGCGCATCAGCATCAGCATCAGCATCAGCGCATCAGCATCAGCATCAGCATCAGCGCATCAGCATCAGCATCAGCATCAGAGCATCAGCATCAGCATCAGCATCAGCATCAGCATCAGCATCAGCATCAGCAGCAGCATCAGCATCAGCATCAGCGCATCAGCATCAGCATCAGCATCAGCATCAGCGCATCAGCATCAGAATCGGTGCATCAGCATCAGCATCAGCGCATCAGCATCAGCATCAGCATCAGCATCAGCATCAGCATCAGCGCATCAGCATCAGCGCATCAGCATCAGCATCAGCATCAGCGCATCAGCATCAGCGCATCAGCATCAGCATCAGCATCAGCACATCATCAGCATCAGCATCAGCATCAGCGCATCAGCATCAGCATCAGCATCAGCGCATCAGCATCAGCATCAGCGCATCAGCATCAGCATCAGCGCATCAGCATCAGCATCAGCATCAGCGCATCAGCATCAGCATCAGCGCATCAGCATCAGCATCAGCATCAGCATCAGCGTATCAGCATCAGCATAAGGATCAGCGCATCAGCATCAGCATCATCAGCATCAGCATCAGCATCAGCGCATCAGCATCAGCATCAGCATCAGCATCAGCATCAGCATCAGCGCATCAGCATCAGCATCAGCATCAGCATCAGCATCAGCATCAGCGCATCAGCATCAGCATCAGCATCAGCGCATCAGCATCAGCATCAGCATCAGCGCATCAGCATCAGCATCAGTATCAGCATCAGCATCAGCGCATCAGCATCAGCATCAGCGCATCAGCATCAGCATCAGCATCAGCGCATCAGCATCAGCATCAGCGCATCAGCATCAGCGCATCAGCATCAGCATCAGCATCAGCGCATCAGCATCAACATCAGCATCAGCATCAGCATCAGCGCATCAGCATCAGCACATCAGCATCAGCATCAGCATCAGCATCAGCGCATCAGCATCAGCATCAGCATCAGCGCATCAGCATCAGCATCAACATCAGCATCAGCATCAGCATCAGCGCATCAGCATCAGCGCATCAGCATCAGCATCAGCATCATCAGCATCAGCATCAGCAGCATCAGCATCAGCAGCATCAGCATCAGCATTAGCATCAGCATCAGCATCAGCATCAGCGCATCCGCATCAGCATCAGCATCAGCATCAGCGCATCAGCATCAGCATCAGCGCATCAGCATCAGCATCAGCATCAACATCAGCATCAGCATCTGCATCAACGCATCAGCATCAGCGCATCAGCATCAGCATCAGCATCAGCATCAGCATCAGCACATCAGCATCAGCATTAGCATCAGCATGAGCATCAGCATCAGCATCAGCCCATCAGCATCAAAATCAGTGAATCAGCATCAGCATCAGCATCAGCCCATCAGCATCAAAATCAGTGAATCAGCATCAGCATCAGCGCATCAGCATCAGCGCATCAGCATCAGCATCAGCATCAGCGCATCAGCATCAGCATCAGCATCAGCGCATCAGCATCAGCATCAGCATCAGAGCATCAGCATCAGCATCAGCATCAGCATCAGCATCAGCATCAGCATCAGCAGCAGCATCAGCATCAGCATCAGCGCATCAGCATCAGCATCAGCATCAGCATCAGCGCATCAGCATCAGAATCGGTGCATCAGCATCAGCATCTGCATCAGCATCAGCGCATCAGCATCAGCATCAGCATCAGCATCAGCATCAGCATCAGCGCATCAGCATCAGCGCATCAGCATCAGCATCAGCATCAGCATCAGCGTCAGCACGAACAGATTTGAGACGTGGTGATGTGAGACCTGGTGTGTTGTGCCACGAACAGATTTGATGGATATGCAAATGCAATGCAACGGTAGCCTAACCTTGGGTGTTACGCTCTACAGAGATCAGGCGGAGGTGAGACCTGGTTAGTTTCGCTAAGAACAGATTGATGTATGTGTAAATGCACCGGGGTGGCGTGCGCATTGGTGGCGTGCTCACCAGGACGGGGACGGGACGGGGCTACTTCCCTTCACCTGGGCTACTTCCCTTCACCTGGGCTACTTCCCTTCACCTGGGCTACTTCCCTTCACCTGGGCTACTTCCCTTCACCTGGGCTACTTCCCTTCACCTGGGCTACTTTTCCCGTCACCTGGGCTACTTCCCTTCACGTGGGCTACTTCCCTTCACGTGGGCTACTTCCCTTCACGTGGGCTCTTCTCTCTTGTCTGCCTCGCCTGCATCTTCTGCCCTGCCAGGCGTTTCTGGCTCGCCATGCCTGCGCACCGTCACGGTGAGTCCCACACTCACTCGCTCGTGACAAAGCCTGCACTCGCTCGTGTCGTGTTCCCTCTGCTGTTTTCAGTCACCAGCCCTGGTTCTCAACCCTGTTCTATGTGCTTCCTCCCTTTTCTCCCTCTCCTTCTCCACCCCCCTTTCCCATCTCCAATCTCTGGCGGTCCATCTTTTGTCGAGCCTTTTCTCTGTGCTTTCAATCTATGTGTCACCCCATTTCCTCATTCAGGAATCAGCTCATTCCCTTATTCAGGAATCATCTCATTCCCTCATTCCGGAATCATCTCATTCCCTGATTCAGGAATCTCCGCATTCCCTCATTCATAAAGCATCACGCAACCCTTCTTCGGGCATATACCAATAACCCAATTAAGCTCTTCAGTAATAACCAGGTACAGCGTGTTTGTATCACTTGCATGATTCATGTTGGCATCAGTTACAGCATGCTTGCTGGAATGAGTTGTGGCATGCTCTTACCGCCTCATTCCCTCGGCCCCCCACCTCTTTTCTGTCACATGGCAGGCTGAGCGAGGAGGCAGAGGAGGAAACTTCCGGCATGGAGCAACGGGGGAAGACAGGCGTGAACAAGGCTGCAAAAGTACAAGTGCATCTATGCTGTAGGCTGTAGCTCCTAGAATTGGTTACACGAAGCTGTAGCTGGGACGTTGCTTTGCTCAAGTGAGTCTATGACTGCAAACAATGGGGAACATGTGACAAGCATGTCCCTGGTTTGGCTGACACAAAAGCATGTGACTGCATGTGTGACTTGTACCCCTAGAACAAGTTCACTGCAGTGTGGTACCCCTAGAACAAGTTCACTGCAGTGTGGTACCCCTAGAACAAGTTCACTGCAGTGTGGTACCCCTAGAACAAGTTCGCTTCAGTGTGGTACCCCTAGAACAAGTTCACTGCAGTGTGGTACCCCTAGAACAAGTTCACTTCAGTGTGGTATCCCAAGTTTATTGCATGTGTGACACCCCTAGAACAAGTTCACTGCAGTGTGGTACCCCTAGAACAAGTTCACTGCAGTGTGGTACCCCTAGAACAAGTTCACTGCAGTGTGGTACCCCTAGAACAAGTTCACTGCAGTGTGGTACCCCTAGAACAAGTTCACTCCAGTGTGATACCCCTAGAACAAGTTCACTTCAGTGTGGTATCCCAAGTTTATTGCATGTGTGGCGCCTAGAACAAGTTCACTGCACCCCCTAGAGGAATTTTACGGTACTGTATGTTCAGCCATCAACACCTATAAGTTCCAGCCATATCAACCCCTAGAACTTCTTTACTGCAATTTCAGCCATCAACCCCTAGAAATTCCTTACTGCAATGCAATTCCAGCCATCAACCCCTAGAATTTCCTTACTGCAATTCCAGCCATCAACCCCTAGAACTTCTTTACTGCAATTCCAGTCATCAACCCCTAGAACTTCTTTTCTGCAATTCCAGCCATCAACCCCTAGAACTTCTTTACTGCAATTCCAGCCATCAACACCTAGAACTTCACTGCAAGTCCAGCCACTTCCAACTCCAGCCAGCATCCCCTTCTCTTCACATTGCAGCCATCCATCCTTCACCAACCTTTCATCCCTTAAAGTTCTTCAATCAGCCATCATCTTTCACCAACTTCATTTCTCCATCCAGCCATCATCCCCTTCACTTCTCAATCCAACCATCATCCCCTTCACTTCTCAATCCAACCATCATCCCCTTCACTTCTCCATCCAACCACCATCCAGCCACCGTCCAGCCACCATCCAGCCACCGTCCAGCCCTCCATGGCCACCCCACCATGGAAAAGCACCCGTCTGTTAGTTTTTTTTTTTTTTTTAGGCCTCACCATCAGAGCCAGGGACAAAAATCCTTCCCATCAGCATCTCCGGGCGCGATGCTTACGGGATGAGACCCGGAGGCGTTAAACTCGGGTACTGCCGTGTAACTCGGCTAAAAATCCCCCGACGTAGAGCAACATTGCGCTTGCTCTAGCCACACCCACCCCAGTGTGGTCTTCCCCTTTGTAGAGCAAACGAATTCCAGCAGAGCTGAAACGAGCTTGCCCTAGCCACACCCACGCCAGTGTGGACTTTTTCCCTTTGATGCTGAGGTCTAGCCACACCAACCTGGGTGTGGACTAGCCTAGGAGACCGAGAACCCCCCACACCCACCCCGGTGTGAGAAAGCCTTCAAGTGACTGAGAGCGAACCCCCCACACCCACCCCAGTGTGAGAAAGCTCTTAAGTGGAAAGAGGAGATTTCTCCACACCCACCCCGGTGTGGACTACTCTCTCTCTCTCTTAAGTGGCTGAGGACCCTCCACACCCACCCCGGTGTGGTACTGGCCTCGATACCGCTCAAGCCCTCCACACCCACCCCGGTGTGGTACTGACTTGAAGAGCTCGTAACCGATTCCAGCAGTGAAGCTACCTGGCCATCCGGGTGCCCAGAACGACTTTGAAGGCCTGAACCTCCCTCCAATGTGCAGAAGCCGGCCGGCCGACTGCACACCGTCAGGGCTCCAAAGTCATCCCGGCCCGGTTGCGCATCACAGCACCACTGGAATTGGTATCCGAACTCTGCCCCCCACACCCTCCCCAGTGTGGGAAAGCGCAGCTGCATGTCTGTCTCATGCTTGCCATTCCAAGGCCCCATCAAGCCTTGGCCACGTCTCAGCCACAGCTCAGACCCCTCCTGGTCGAGGCACCCAGGCAGCCCCCATTGCGCGGCGGAATCGTTGGTTTCTGCACAGGACAAAAAAAATTGAATCAGTATACTGAAATATACGTGGCTGGGAAAAAACGGAAGTTGATTTAAGTGCGAAACAGAGAAAGGAGACAGCTTGCAAGGAGAAAGCTTGCAAAATGCAACTTACTTTATGGGTCCCAGCTTGAAAGTTGAAGCGTCGTGCAGTGCAGATCCTCCCAGCAGCGCCGTGCAGTGCAGATCCAACCAGCAGCTCCTCCCATGCCATGCCATCATGCCATACCATAACATGCCTTGCCATGCCATGCCATGCAATACCATGCAATACCATGCCATACCATGCCACGCCATTCCATGCCATTCCATGCCATACCATACCATTCCATGCCATTCCATACCATGCCATTCCATATCATTCCATGCCATTCCATACCATGCCATTCCATATCATTCCATACCAATCCATACCATTCCATGCCATTCCATGCCATTCCACGCCATACCACACCATTCCATGCCATTCCACGCCATACCACACCATTCCATGCCATACCATACCACACCATTCCATGCCATACCACACCATTCCATGCCAGACCATACCATTCCATGCCAGACCATACCATTCCATGCCAATCCATGCCATCCCATGCCATGACATGCCATGCCACGCCATTCCATGCCTTGCCAAGCCACGCCATGCCATGCCATAACATGCCATGCCAACTCCTCCCAGCAGCTTCCTGCACAGGACAAATCCACAAAGTCAGGATACTGAAAAAGACATGGCTGGAAAAACGAAGATAGAATCAAGCTCGAGACATCTTGCAAGAAGACTGGTAAAGGAAACATCTTACCTCTTAAGTAGCAGCAGCTCCTCCCATTCAGCACCTGCCAGCAGCTCCACCCATTCAGCACCTCCCAACAGCTCCACCCATTCAGCTCCTCCACGCAGCTCCTCCCCCCATTCAGGTCCTTTCAGCAGCTCCGGTCTGGTCCTTGCAGCTCCGGTCTGGTCCTTGCAGCTCCGGTCTGGTCCTTGCAGCTCCGGTCTGGTCCTTGCATCACGTGACTTCAGCTCCAGCAGCAGTGGTAGGTGCCTTCCCTGCACAAGCCAAGAAAACAAAGTCACAATCTGCCAAGGAGTTCCAAGGAGTGCCAAGGAGACAGCTTGCAAAATGACAACTTACTTTGTGGGTCGCAGCTTGGAAGTTGCAGCGTTGTGCAGTGCAAATCCTTACAGCAGGTCCTCACAGCAGGTCCTCCCAGCAGCTCCTTGTTTCCTGCACATGATAAACACACCAAGTCAGTATAGTGACAAAGACATGGCTGGGAAAAAACGGAAGTTGAATCAAGTGAAACAGAGCAAGGAGAGAGCTTGGAAAAAGACGTCTTACTTTGTGGATCGCAGCTTGAAAGTTGAAGCGTCGTGCAGTGCAGCTCCTCCCAGCAGCCCTCCAAGAAGATCCAAACAACACCTCCTCTCAGCAGCTCCTTTCAGCAGCTCCTCTCAGCAGCTCCTTTCAGCAGCTCCTCTCAGCAGCTCCTCCCAGCAGATCCTTGTTTCCTGCACAGGAAGAACACACCGAGTCAGCATAGTGACATAGACATAGCTGGGAAAACGAAAACTGAGTCAAGCTTAAAAGAGTGTAAAGAGCCAGCGTAAGGAGACAGCTTACTTAATAAGTTGCGGCGCCGTGCAGCTGCAACTCCCAACAGCTCCTTCCAGCAAGTCCCATTCAGGTCCTCCCTGCAGCTCCTCCCATTCTGGTCCTTGCAGCTCCGATCTGGTCCTCGCAGCTCCAAATTCGCTTTCAGCGCCAAGTGACTAGTGCAGCACGTCGGTTCCCTGCAGAAAACCACAGAACTGAGTTAGAATTCAAGAAGTTTTAAAACAACAAGAAAGCAAGGAAAACGAAAAATAGCAAATAGAAAGCAAGATGTTGAAGTGAAAGCAATAGCTAAAAGCAGCAGCATAAGGATAGGAAATAGCTTACTTCTGAAATTCAAATTGGAGGAATTGCGGGTGGCGGATGGCGTATGTCGAGTGTTGATTGGAGGGTGGCGGGTGGCAGGGGCTGCTTTTCTTGAACTCCAGCTGCATCACTTCAATGCCAGCAGCACCACTTTCAGCAGGATAACCAACTTCAGCAGCATCACCAACTTCAGCAGCATGACTTCAGTTTGAAGCAGCAGCTCCCTTCCTGCACAAGTCAAGAACCCAAAATCAGAACTTGCAACAACATAGAAAAAAAGAGGCTAATACAAAGCAAAAAAACGAAATCTGACTTCGGCATTAAGCAGCCTAAACGAAAAAACTTACATTGAATTTCGGATTGGAGGACTTGGCGGGTGGCGGATGGCGTATGTCGAGTCTTGGATGGAGGGTGGCCGATGGCAGGGGGCTGCTTCTCTTCAACTCCAGCTGCATCACTTCAAGTGCAGCAGCAATACTTCAACTTCAGCAGGATCACCAACTTCAGCAGCATCACTTCACTTTGAAGCAGCGTCAACTCCCTTCCTGCACAAGTCAAGAACACAAAATCAGAACTTGCAATGAAACAGAAAACGAAATCGGACATAGGCATAAAGCAACAGAAAACGGAGAGAGGGGGAATCTTACATTGAAATCCGGATTGGAGGACTTCAAGGTGGCGGATGGCGTATGTCAAGTGTTGGACGGAGGGTGGCGGATGGTAGGGGACTGGTTCACTTCAACTCCAGTTGCATCACTTCAAGTGCAACAGCACTGCTTTAACTTCAGCAGGACCACCAACTTCAAAAGCATGACTTCAGTTTGAAGCAGCAGCTCCCTTCCTGCACAAGTCAAGAACCCAAAATCAGAACTTGCAACAAAATAGAAAAAAAAAGAGGCAAATACAAAGCAAAAAAACGAAATCTGACTTCGGCATTAAGCAGCAGCTAAACGAAAAATCTTACATTGAATTTCGGATTTGAAGACTTGGCGGGCAGCGGATGGCGTATGTCGAGTCTTGGATGGAGGGTGGCCGATGGCAGGGGGCTGCTTCTCTTCAAATCCAGTTGCATCACTTCAAGTGCAGCAGCACCGCTTTAACTTCAGCAGGATCACCAACTTCAGCAGCATCACTTCAGTTTGAAGCAGCGTCAACTCCCTTCCTGCACAAGTCAAGAACCCAAAATCAGAACTTGCAACGAAGCAGAAAACAAGAATTGTATAGAGGCAAATAAAGAGCAGAAAACGAAATCGGACTTAGGCATAAAGCAACAGAAAACGGAGAGAGGAGGAATCTTACATTGAAATCCGGATTGGAGGACTTCAAGGTGGCGGATGGCGTATGTCGAGTGTTGGACGGAGGGTTGCGGATGGTAGGGGACTGGTTCACTTCAACTCCAATTGCATCACTTCAAGTGCAGCAGCACTGCTTTAACTTCAGCAGGACCACCAACTTCAAAAGCATGACTTCAGTTTGAAGCAGCAGCTCCCTTCCTGCACAAGTCAAGAACCCAAAATCAGAACTTGCAACAAAATAGAAAAAAAAAAAGAGGCAAATACAAAGCAAGAAAACGAAATCTGACTTCGGCATTAAGCAGCAGCTAAACGAAAAATCTTACATTGAATTTCGGATTGGAGGACTTGGCGGGTGGCGGATGGCGTATATCGAGTCTTGGATGGAGGGTGGCCGATGGCAGGGGGCTGCTTCTCTTCAAATCCAGCTGCATCACTTCAAGTGCAGCAGCAATACTTCAACTTCAGCAGGATCACCAACTTCAGCAGCATCACTTCAGTTTGAAGCAGCGTCAACTCCCTTTCTGCACAAGTCAAGAACCCAAAGTCAGACTTTGCAATGAAACAGAAAACAAGAATCATAGAGAGGCAAATAAAAAGCAGAAAACGAAATCGGACTTTGGCATAAAGCAACAGAAAACGGAGAGAGAAGGAATCTTACTGTGAATTTCGGATGGGAGGACTTGGCGGGTGGCGGATGGCGTACGCTGAGTGTTGGATGGAGGGTGGCGGATGGCAGGGGGCTGATTCTCTTCAACTCCAGCTGCATCACTTGAATTGCAGCAGCACTGCTTCAAATTCAGCAGGAACTTCAACTTCAGCAGGAACTTCAACTTCAGCAGCGTCACTTAAAAGTTTGAAGCAGCGTCAGCTCCCTTCCTGCACAAGTCAATAACCCAAAGTCAGTACTTGAAATGAAGCTAAAAAGAAGAATCTTAAGGCAACTAAAGAGCAAAAAACGAAATCAGACTTAGGCATAAAGCAGCAGCAAAAGGAGAGAGAAGGAATCTTACTGTGGATTTCGGATGGGAGGACTTGGCGGGTGGCGGATGGCGTACGCTGAGTGTTGGATGGAGGGTGGCGGATGGCAGGGGGGTGATTCTCTTCAACTCCAGCTGCATCACTTGAATTGCAGCAGCACTGCTTCAAATTCAGCAGGAACTTCAACTTCGACAGGAACTTGAACTTTAGCAGCGTCACTTGAAAGTTTGAAGCAGCATCAGCTCCCTTCCTGCACAAGTCAATAACCCAAAATCAGTACTTGCAATGAAGCTAAAAAGAAGAATCTTAGAGGCAACTAAAGAGCAAAAAACGAAATCGGACTTAGGCATAAAGCAGCAGCAAAAGGAGAGAGAGAGGGAATCTTACTGTGGATTTCGGATGGGAGGACTTGGCGGGTGGCGGATGGCGTACGCTGAGTGTTGGATGGAGGGTGGCGGATGGCAGGGGGCTGATTCTCTTCAACTCCAGCTGCATCACTTGAATTGCAGCAGCACTGCTTCAAATTCAGCAGGAACTTCAACTTCGACAGGAACTTGAACTTCAGCAGCGTCACTTGAAAGTTTGAAGCAGCGTCAGCTCCCTTCCTGCACAAGTCAATAACCCAAAGTCAGTACTTGCAATGAAGCTAAAAAGAAGAATCTTAGAGGCAACTAAAGAGCAAAAAACGAAATCAGACTTAGGCATAAAGCAGCAGCAAAAGGAGAGAGAAGGAATCTTACTGTGAATTTCGGATGGGAGGACTTGGCGGGTGGCGGATGGCGTACGCTGAGTGTTGGATGGAGGGTGGCGGATGGCAGGGGGCTGATTCTCTTCAACTCCAGCTGCATCACTTGAATTGCAGCAGCACTGCTTCAAATTCAGCAGGAACTTCAACTTCGACAGGAACTTCAATATCAGCAGTGTCACTTAAAAGTTTGAAGCAGCGTCAGCTCCCTTCCTGCACAAGTCAATAACCCAAAGTCAGTACTTGCAATGAAGCTAAAAAGAAGAATCGTAGAGGCAACTAAAGAGCAAAAAACGAAATCAGACTTAGGCATAAAGCAGCAGCAAAAGGAGAGAGAAGGAATCTTACTGTGAATTTCGGATGGGAGGACTTGGCGGGTGGCGGATGGCGTACGCTGAGTGTTGGATGGAGGGTGGCGGATGGCAGGGGGGCTGATTCTCTTCAACTCCAGCTGCATCACTTGAATTGCAGCAGCACTGCTTCAAATTCAGCAGGAACTTCAACTTCGACAGGAACTTGAACTTCAGCAGCGTCACTTGAAAGTTTGAAGCAGCGTCAGCTGCCTTCCTGCACAAGTCAATAACCCAAAATCAGTACTTGCAATGAAGCTAAAAAGAAGAATCTTAGAGGAAACTAAAGAGCAAAAAACGAAATCAGACTTAGGCATAAAGCAGCAGCAAAAGGAGAGAGAAGGAATCTTACTGTGAATTTCGGATGGGAGGACTTGGCGGGTGGCGGATGGCATACGCTGAGTGTTGGATGGAGGGTGGCGGATGGCAGGGGGCTGATTCTCTTCAACTCCAGCTGCATCACTTGAATTGCAGCAGCACTGCTTCAAATTCAGCAACTTCGACAGGAACTTCAACTTCAGCAGCGTCACTTGAAAGTTTGAAGCAGCGTCAGCTCCCTTCCTGCACAAGTCAATAACCCAAAATCAGTAATTGCAATAAAGCATAAAACGCAAAGCATAAAACGAAACGATTCATTGAAAGAAACTTGGCTGAGAATAAGAAACGTTATTGAAGGAATAACATTGCTTACTGTTGAAGGTCAGAATGGTTGAAGCTTGCGGTGTTGCAGCTTGAGTGAAGAAGCCAAATTGAGTGAAGTAGCCATCTTGAGTGAAGAAGCCATATTGAGTGAAGAAGCCGTCTTGAGTAAAGAAGCCATGATTGCTGAAAAACAGGGGGAAGGAACGACAGACAGTTGCACGAAGTTAGAAAACAGAGACTAACAGATTGGAAAGCAAAAGAAAACAAAAACAAGTAAACGAAAAGCGGAAACGAAAACAACACAAGGAAACGAAGGCGAAGGGATGGATGGGATGGGATGGACGTCCATGATACGCCGGCTGCAGCTAGCAGAGGGAGGAGAACTATGCTACCCAAACCCGCTACCCAAACCCGCGGAGGATCATCTACTAAACTGCAGCCAAGCATATCAGAGGGACGGTGGAAAAACACGAAATGGAGGAGGCGTGATATAGCGCGGAACGAGAATGACGAAACGAACGGAAAACGGACGACGAGGGGAAAGTGGCAAGGGGAAAGAGACTTCCCAGTTGATGCTGGAGGCGAAACGCTGGAAGCTTGAAAGGCGGAAGCGAAGACTTCCCCACGCACGACCACCCTCGTCACAAGGTGAAAACGCTGATCATGTAACCGGAAGCCAGAAGCTCCGGAGCTCCGAAATCGTTAAGCACACGAGATGCTAATGATGTCTTGTAAATGACTTGACAGTGTCTGCTCCCAAAGACGGTTACGGAAGGTCAAGGCCTTTGGGGGCGAATGGCGGTGGCAAACTCCAGGGTCATCTGTTTGAAAGTAGTTGATAAGAATCGTGGGCTAAAATTCTAGAATGCTAATCCCCTGAATGATAAAGTTCTTGCCAAAAGACGGAGGTGGTTCTGGATGAGAGAGCACCTAAACACCAGAACCGAGTGGCCGCGGTTCGTCACCTGGGTTGGAACTCTCAACACTAGAACCGCGTGACCGTGCGGCTCCCTGAGCGGATGTACTTCGCGGGTTATTTTGAGCCGCTAGAGCCCGCGGCGTTTTCCTGTCAGTGCATGTGAGGAGTTTCTGTGAGGCGGGTTGATTTCCCTAGTCAGACTCATCCAGAGGAGTCTGCTTGAGCAAACCCTAGCGGCAAGGGGCGGGTGTTGCAGATGATGAAACAGTAGTGTCAGATCCCCTTCCTATCTCAGTTCGATGAAATTTTGGCGAGCATTTTTTGAAATGCACCTCATTGTTCAAATTATGAGGAGCGAGTACTCAGTTAAAGGCAGTTCGAGTTTCAGTACTCTGTTAAACACAGTTTCTCCACCACGTCCTGGGTAAACACAGTTTCTCCACCACTTGGCTTTAGGATTGCACGAACTAGTCAGATGTGTCCCACCCCACGGGACTGGTACGGGTGTACTGTGGTTTTCCGAGCTTTGCGAACAAAATTAGATTTCACACCCGGTGTGTGAAGTGTCACCTGATGACGGAATTAGATTTCACACCCGGTGTGTGAGTGTCACCTGATGGTGACGTATACCGCACACCCAACCCACAGGCAGTTCGGTTATTTTACCCACAAGCAACTGCAGCGTTTCATACCCTGCCCGCTCATTGAAAGAGACGACAAACACACCACGTCTCAGAGGACTGTTGTGGTCCCCACTTGGCATGGTTGAGTCCCCACTTGTAATGTCATCACTTCGAGCTGTGGCCGAGGAAAGGGCTGATGGGAGAGCCATACGTGGTGATATTGATCTCCCTACGTCACCCCTGATTGGCTGACCCAACCGAGGTTACAAAGGCCGCCCGTGCTCTGACCTCGGAGGTACAAAGGCGACCCGATAGACTCGTTTCCGCGCCAATACACCACCAGCATAACACCCAGGTGCCGTGTACCGTGCGGGTAAGAGAATCGCCACATCACTCTGGCTGCCGAGCCGACCAACCAGCGACAGCGACCCCAAACCCATCCGGGCAGACAGAGCATCCATGGTGTGACTGACAAGGTGACGAGCGAACGAGGCTGTGCGACGAACTTTTGGGAGTTCCGCCGCCAATCTCTGCCCTTGACGTCACAAAAAGTGTTCAGGAACCTTCGCATAGGAACTCCGCGACGCTGGATGAAGCTGCCTTTCAACTTGACGACCACGGCGAATTCTGGTCAGGGAAAGTTGAACGATGATTCTCGCAAGTGTAATGGTCGTCGTCAATCTAAGCGGCTGCATGGTTGATTTGGCTGGTTGAGTTCTTCGCAATGGATTGGGCAGATCTGCCTTGCGACCTTGCGAGCACGGCGACATATACTGACGAGCCTGGGAATTGGGCAGCGAGGTCGTGCGGCCATGTTTTCGCCGATTCAGTCACACTTGGTAGTATACAGTTCACAACAGAAAATGGTGCACATCCACTATACAATCACGTGTATGTTACATCTGTGAGATTTGCATCAGAAGTTTTTACATGCAAATTCGTTTTATGTCAACAATACATCCAACAGCATCCCTGCTATTGTTATACCATCTGCTACACGTCTTGCCAAACAACAAGCTAGACAATGCCGTTTCTACATATATTTACATGCACGCATTAAAATAATCGTACGAATGCGCTTGGGTATAGTCCAGCAGAGTCTGTACCGTACGTGCGGTCCGCCACGGCAGTGAAGAGTGCTTCTGTATCAGGAGAAAACGAGATGCCTGAAATTTTGCCGAGAATGTCGATCTCCTGTGCTCGGGTGAACCCGCTGTTCGTGTCAAAGGCATGCACGAAGTCTGATGGCTCAGGCATGGCCATGCACCAGGGCGGAAGGGAGGAACGGTGGGGGAAGCAGGGTAGGGGGAAGGGTTGGGGGGGGGGAGAGGGGGGGGGGGGGGGGGGAGGGGAGAGGAGTGGGTTGAGGGGTGTAGAGGATTTTGAGGTGATGTGTCATGTGTAAGCATGTGGCCAGGAGTGAAAGGAGGGAGGAAGGGAGCAGGGTGACATCCAACACGGGAACGAGCATGTGGTGTTGAGAAAGAGAAGCTGCTTGCATTGAAGACATGCACCAAGTGTGTTGGCTCAGCCAAGGCCATCAACTTGGGTGGTGGAGGGAGGGAGAGGCAGGGAGTGACATGTCAAATGGGGATACGCGTGTCGTGAAACAGGCTGAAGTGTGTAATCTGCGGACCAAGAACCTGCCATTGCCAATCTCTTCCCCCCAGCCCCCCCAACCCCACCCCCGCCCCCTTTTCCCCCCTTCCTCCACCACACACCCTCACCTGCCATTGTTGATGAATCTGAGAAACCGAAAGGCCCCCAGTCGCCTCTTAAGCGTGAACAGGGAAGAGACAGCGCGCCGCCGGTCCCACACATGGCACGTGTCATCCTGCCGCCTGGCTGTAACGAAGGAGCAGTCCACGTGGCCTGAAAAGACAGTGCGGTTTGAGAGGCAGGGGTGGGAGTGTGGGGGATGAGGGGGATAAGGGTGGTGGTGTGGAGGATGAGGGGGGTGTAGAGGATGAGGGGGATGAGACAAGGATAGACAAGGACCGAGAACGGAAGAAAAGAAAGGGTTCATAGGGAGGTGAAGGTGGGTAAGTAAGCATAGGCCGGGAAAAAAAAAGAACCGCACTGAGAAAGGCAAGGGCATGGGCAGGGGTGGGGTGATCAGGCAGGAGGCCGAAAATGAGAAATTATAGAGTGCGCAGGGATGCAAGGGAGAGCAGGGGTGGGGCGGGCGGGAGGCACAGACCTTGCCAGTAGAGCCTCAGGATCTTCCCCCACCACTGACACCAGTGCTGTCCGGTGCCACTGCCGTGTGCTGATGGGGTGGGGAAAGGGAGGGAACGTGTGGTGGGGCGGATGATAGAGAATACGAGTCGAGAGAGTGATGGGATGAGAAAACAGGTAAAACAAGGAAGAGGCGGGGGGAAGGGAGATGAAAGGGCGGGGCTCACATTGACGGGCCAGGGGAAGGATGTCGTCGCGAACGCGGTCGCGAATGTTGTCGCGAGCGCCGTCGCGGATAACGTCGCGAAAGCCATTGCAAATGTCGAATAAAATTCCGCCACGGCCGTCGTCGCGAATGTGGTCGCGAACGTTGACGCGAAGGTCGTCGCGATTATCCTCACGAACATTGTCCTGGAATTTGCCGCGGCCTGCACGAACGGCATATTGCTTGTTGTAAGAAACGAAGGCGAACAAAGGCGACATGGCGAAATCGTCGGAAAACGGGGTACCAATGACAGAACAGAAGGAGAAGAATAACTCGCTCACCTACGACTATTTACCTTGAGACGGAAACCAGCGGCGAGAGGCCAACGGAGAGTGACGCGCAGCAGCGGCGAGTTGTAAACTCGGCGCGCTGCAGCGACGGCGAGCAGCGAAGATAACGGGCTCGATGATCGACAACTAGTAACGACCAGAGATCATCGGGATGAAGAGCTCATCGCGATAAGAGTCGAGCGGCTCTGCAACAAACAGATTCCGAGCGAAACTTTTAGCGCAAACGGCGCGCTTTCTAGAAGGAAAACGCGTCGTTGCTGGGCAAATTAGTTGGCAGAGCAGGAGGTGGGGGTAGCCTGGCAAGCTAGGGAAACAATGGCTATGGTGTCTGTGGGCTCGCAGGGGGCGAGGCAACACCTCCTCGCGTGTTCCGGCCGGGCCAACAAGCGTCAATCTAACCGGTTGGATCAGCGTTAGGCTATACGCGATTGAACATACTGTAGGTACAAATAAAGTTACGCACTATTAGGGCATACAGTTCAGACATACATTTGAATGCTTATAATGTTACTACTGAACCTGACAGCCAAACCTCCAAGCCACCCCACCGTTCCTAACCACTTAGTCAACCTCCTCAATCTTCGGCCCATCACCTCCGCTAGAGTAACCACCTCCCATGGGCACGTCCCCCATACCTCCCGCCCCTGGCACGGGTCCAGCCCCGCCTTGGTACATTTTCGCAATGATCGGGTTACAAATGCCTTCGAGCTCCTTTTGCTTGTCCTCGAATTCGTCCACGTCGGCGAGCTGGTTCTTATCCAGCCAATCGATCGTCTCGTCTACAGCCCTCTCGATCGCCTTCTTATCCTCAGGCGAGAGCTTCCCCCCGATTTTGTCGTCGCGAACCGTGTTACGCATGACGTACGAGTAGTTCTCGAGTGCGTTTTTCGCCTCCACCTGCTTCTTGTGCTGCTCATCATCGTCCTTGTACTTCTCTGCTTCCTCCAGCATCCGCTCTATCTCCTCCTTGCTCAGTCGGCCCTTATCATTCGTAATGGTAATCTTATTCTTCTGCCCCGTAGTCTTGTCCTCCGCGCTCACGTTTAGGATGCCGTTCGCGTCGATGTCGAACGTCACGGTGATCTGCGGCACACCACGTGGCGCCGGCGGAATTCCCGAAAGCTCGAACTTCCCGAGCAGATTGTTATCCTTGGTCCGAGCCCGTTCACCTTCGAACACCTGAATAAGCACCCCCGGCTGGTTATCCGAAAAGGTTGAAAAAACCTGCTCCTTCTTAGTGGGTATCGTGGTATTCCGCGGAATCAGCACCGTCATAACGCCTCCCGCCGTCTCTAATCCAAGCGAAAGCGGCGTCACGTCGAGCAGCAGCAGGTCCTGCACCTTCTCGTTCCCCTCGCCACTCAAAATCGCCGCCTGAACCGCCGCACCGTACGCCACGGCCTCGTCGGGGTTGATGCTCTTGCAGAGCTCCTTGCCGTTGAAAAAGTCCTGAAGGAGCTGCTGCACCTTGGGGATACGCGTGGATCCGCCGACGAGCACCACGTCGTGAATCTGCGCCTTAGACATTTTCGCGTCCTTGAGGCACTTTTCCACCGGATCCATGCACTTTCGGAACATATCCATGTTGAGTTCCTCGAAGCGCGCGCGGGTGATGGTGGTGTAGAAATCAATTCCCTCGTATAGCGAGTCGATTTCGATGGTGGTTTGCGCGGTGGAGGACAGAGTTCGCTTGGCGCGCTCGCAGGCCGTGCGAAGTCGGCGAAGGGACCGCGGGTTGTTACTCAGGTCCTTCTTGTACTTTCGCTTGAATTCCTGGACGAAGTGGTGCACCATGCGATTGTCGAAATCCTCGCCGCCCAAATGCGTGTCGCCAGCCGTCGCCTTCACCTCGAATATACCGTCCTCGATCGAAAGTAGCGAGACATCGAATGTTCCACCGCCGAGATCGAAAATCAGCACGTTCTTTTCGGACGCGCTGCTGTTCTTCTTATCGAGCCCGTACGCGATAGCAGCTGCAGTCGGCTCGTTAATAATGCGCATCACGTTCAGCCCAGCAATCACACCCGCATCTTTCGTCGCTTGGCGCTGAGAATCGTTGAAATACGCCGGAACCGTCACCACCGCGCTCTTCACAGTAGTCCCGAGGTATGCTTCCGCAATCTCCTTCATTTTCGTCAGCACCATGGACGAGATTTCTTCCGCGGCGAACTGCTTCGTCTCGCCCTTGTACTCGACTTGGATCATTGGCTTCTCGCCCGCGCCTGCGATCACTTTGAACGGCCACAGCTTGATGTCGCTCTGCACGGCCGCGTCGGAGAACCGCCGCCCGATGAGACGCTTCGCATCTGCAAACAGGAAAAGTGAAGAGTAACAAAGTGAGAAATCAGCAAATACGACGATTGAGCGAGGGCAGGCACATGCAAGGTATGCTATGATTTAATTTGGAAGGGGTGCAGGAAGCGGAGTGTCAGAAATGGTGGATGATTCAGCATGGGACGCATGAGACGTACCGAAAACGGTGTTGACGGGGTTCATCGACACTTGGTTCTTGGCTGCGTCACCAATCAGGCGCTCCGTGTCAGTGAATGCCACATAGGACGGGGTGGTGCGGTTGCCTTGGTCGTTGGCGATGATCTCCACGCGATCGTGCTGCCACACGCCCACGCAGCTGTAGGTCGTGCCGAGGTCGATTCCAATCGCAGGGCCTTCTCCCTTCGCCATGACTGAGATTTGGAAAACAAGTTTTCACGTACTGTGATGAAAATAATGAAAAGCTGAGAGTCCTTGGGCCTGAATGAACTCCAGAAAGTGTCAGAGAGTTATTAAAAGTTGCCTTGAGAGGCGCGAGAGCGTAATCGTTGAGAGAGATTTGAGAGCTATTTGCTGTTTTGATTTGATGAACCGTAGCTGCGAGTTTCACCCATATATAGCTATTGAGAGAGATGGGAGCCAAAAGCGCTTGTCCTGGATGGAATGGCTGGAGCTGTGGAAGCTGCCAGAAAGATGTCGAATGAGGAAGTTGGCGCTCACTTCAAACCTAGAAGCCGCTGGAATCAGGCAGATTGGCCTTGCGAATTCCACATTGGGCTGAAGCGCGGTGCGGGAATGTTAGAATGGGCGTCTCGAGAACTTTCAGATGCAGACGTGGCAAAAAATTGTTGGCTGGTGTCAAAGCGAATGTTATTGCTGAGCTTTCGCAAACCACCGGGAAACGAGTTCAAGAATCTCTGCGACTGCGACAGGCTAGTCTATACAGTTCAGTTACATGATGTTCTGTACAGTTACACCATCGGGTGGTCAGTGTAAACACGGTGGTTTTCCAAAGTTCCCTCGTTATAGGCAAAACAAGTCTTTCAGCTGACAAAATAGGTGGTAGTACTGACAACAAAATTCCCGCCTCTGCGGAAACTTGCCAAGTATTGTAAAGTTCGCACACAAGGACGGAAGCCCGATTCATTAGGAAAGCGATCTAGTGCGACAAGGTCCCTTGGTTACTAATGGTCGCGAATCCACCTGGCGGAATCCGAGATGCTTCAGAAGTCGCGTCTTCGCATTCAGCGAAACTTGTGACCTAGATAACCATCAGATAAAATGGAAGATTTGAGACCAATTTCTCATCGCAAGAATCTGGCTGCTAAGACTGGCGACTAACTAGCTACCGCAAAAAACGGGCTGCGACGACGCGTTAACGGCGCTACGGGTTTTTCATTGCGTATCCACTGCGCGCGTCGTACGCGAAAGTAACATAATCACAGCCCGAAATGACATCGGAAACGCTTCCAAAGCACGCTGGCGCGCCGCAGGTGGTGTCGCCTGGTGACGCGTCAGACGCGGATTGGGTGATCAACCTCTGGTCGGGACCGCGGTCTCTCAGCACGAGCCTCATGTACTCCTTCGCTCAGGCACGAATTATCCCGTCCACGACCGTCCCACTACCGTTCCACGACCGTCCCACAACCGTCCCACAACCGTCCCATTCCCGAATTGCGTGCTCACACCTCCCCGATCCTCTCTTCTTCCATCTCTCAGTGTCCAGACACCGAGGTGGTGGACGAGCCGCTGTATGCCGACTTTCTGAACCTCATTACCCCTTTTAACCCCCCTCATTTTTCCTCCTTCCCTCCCATCCTCCCTGCCTCATCTACAGCGCCCTGACACCGAGGTGGTGGACGATCCGTTGTATGCCGACTCGTTTAACCTTATGACCCTTCCATGTGCCCCCAATCCCGCCCCCTCTCCTTCCCCTCCTCCCCTTCTGCAGCGTCCAGACACCGAGGTGGTGGACGAGCCTCTATATGCCGACTTCCTGGCAGCCACACCCGTCCCACACCCAACCCAGATCGTATGCTCACACTCCACTGCACCCGCACTCCCCTCCTCTGTCCGTCCCTCCCTGCAGCGTCCAGACACCGAGGTGGTGGACGAGCCGCTGTATGCCGACTTCCTCACAGTCACCGGTGCTCCGCGGCCGTACAGGCAGCTGGTGCTGGATAGCATGGTGAGAGGCAGCATGATGTGGTAGTAGTGTGTGCTATGCGGTATGTCACGGTAGAGCATCATGTGGGAAACTCAGCCCTGACAGTCACTGGTGCTCCGCGGCCGTACAGGCAGCTGGTGCTGGATAGCATGTTGTAGGTTGGTGTTTTGCAGGATCGAAGGGTGCAATGGCAGCTCTGGCAGTCACCGGTGATGCCCGGCCATACAGGCAGGTGGTGCTGGATAGCATGGTGAGAGACAGTTTGATGCGGTAGTAGTGTGTGCTATGCGGTATGTCACGGTAGAGCATCATGTCGGAAACGCAGCCCTGACCGTCACCGGTGCTTCGCGGCCGTACAGGCAGCTGGTGCTGGATATCATGGTGAGATGGTAGAGTGTACTGTGCTGGTGCTGAATGTTGTGTGTGCTGTGTTGATCCGGCGCTGAATGGGCTTGTGTTCTGTGCGGTATGGCATGGTGTGGCATGGAGGAAAGGCAGCTCTGGCAGTCACGGGTGCTTCCCGACCGTACAGGCAGCTGGTGCTGGATAGCATGGTGAGATACGAGTATGTGCTGTGCGGTATGGTATGGTATGGTGAGATGAGATATGAAATTGGGAGAGAATGGGTCATGGTGCGACAGTGGCTGGATAGCAGATGGAAAAAGATAGAGTGTGAAGGGGAGCTCTGGCAGTCACTGGTGCTCCCAGGCCGTACAGGCAGCTGGTGCAGGGAAGCATGGTGAGATGAGACAGGGTAATGGTGAGATCAAAGGGGCTAGCCACAGTGGTAACGGTCGTGCTCATGCAACGCATCAATGGGCTATGGATGCAGCTGTGCCGAAACCGTGCCGTAATGATCCCTGCTCTCTTCTTGCTTCCAATACTCCAATGCTTCTATTGTTCGTCTTCCTCCTAGCCTTATTTCCAGCAATTCTGTTCCCTTGGTTGGTGTGGCAGGATATGAATGGCAAGAGGGTGGTGGATCAAGTTGTACACGGCCCTCGAGGCTCCAAACCCCGTCATTAGGCCCACGCGCAGCGGTTTTCTTCGTGCTTCTGCTCCAACTCCCCTCACTCCCCTCTCCCTTCCTCCCTCCCATGGCAAAAGGGTGGTGGATCAAGTTGTGTATGGCCCTCGGAGCTCCATCATTAGGCCTTCGTGCTTCTGCTTCAACACCTCCCTCCCGTGGCAGGATTCTGACGGCAAGAGGGTGGTGGATCAAGTTGTACACGGCCCTCGAGGCTCCATACCCTGTCATTAGGCCCACGCGCAGCGGTTGCTTCGTGCTTCTGCTCCAACACCTCCCTCCCCTCTCCCGTCCCGTGGCAGGACTCTGACGGCAACAGGGTGGTGGAACAAGTTGTGTATGGCCCTCGAGGCTCCAAACCTCTTCGTTTTGTAAAGGTTTGTGTTTGGAATTGTTAGCTTTCGTTACAGACAGTTCGTAATCTGAATGACTTGCTTTCTGTTTCAAACGCCTCTCCTCCCCCAACCCCCCTTTTGCCCCCATCTCTGAAGCGATTCATTCAAATTCGCAAACATTCATCATTGCGTTATTGTCACACTGCTTCCTCCTCCTCCACCTCCCAATTGTCAGCACATGGCAAAGCAGTGCCGAGAGGAGCTCCAGGCTCCAGGCTTCATGCTTCACAGCATATGGGGCGCCTTAAAAATGTTACACTTCTTACTCCTCTCTCCTGCCCCTCCACCCCCCCATTGTCAGCACATGGCGAAGCAGTGCCGGGAAGAGGTTGAGGCTTCACTGTTGTCACTCAGTCACAATCGCAACTCCCTTCCGCTCCACCCCACTGCACCCCACCAGCACATGGCGAAGCAGTGCAGAGAGGAGCTCCAGGGTTCACTACCGCTGTTGTCATGGAGGCGGCTTTTTTTCTCTCAATGCGTCGTCACTCGGCTTCTCCCCTGCTCTGTGTTGTCAGCACATGGCGAAGCAGTGCAGAGAGGAGCTTCTGGCTTCACTATTGTCACGCGGGCGGCATGTTATTCTCATCCGCGACCCCATGCTGCTCATTGTGAGGCGCACACTCTTTTTCGCTCACTCGCTGGCTCGCGCATTCACTCACTCACTCACAATGAATGTCCTTTGATTCTTCTTTTTCCAAGGGAAGACTTTTCTTGTAGATGCTGCTTCTTCCTCCCATCACCTGAAGTGCGCCTTCTAACCTTAAACCTCCTGTGCTACATCCTACCTTCACCGTCACTGCATTTCGCTCTCATTTTTGCCTCTCCCCACCCTCATCCCCCTGCCAGCCATCCTTCGGAGAGGTCTCCCCTCCGTCTCTCTCTGAGACGGCTCTCCCCCACCTCCTCACCATCCACTCCGCTCTCTCCCACATGGGGCGACCCCCACCCATCATCGACGCCACTAGGCTTCAATCCAACCCGCAGGTAGATGCTGCAGTCCCACCCGCAGGTAGATGCTGCAGTCCAACCCGCAGGTAGATGCTGCAGTCCCACCCGCAGGTAGATGCTGCAGTCCAACCCGCAGGTAGATGCTGCAGTCCCACCCGCAGGTAGATGCTGCAGTCCAACCCGCAGGTAGATGCTGCAGTCCCACCCGCAGGTAGATGCTGCAGTCCCACCCGCAGGTAGATGCTGCAGTCCCACCCGCAGGTACCTCTATCGTCACCCCCTACCGTTGTCTCTCTGAGAGACGGCTCTCCCCCACCTCCTCACCATCCACTCCGCGCTCTCCCACATGGGGCGACCCCCACCCATCATCGACGCCACTAGGCTTCAATCCAACCCGCAGGTAGATGCTGCAGTCCCACCCGCAGGTAGATGCTGCAGTCCAACCCGCAGGTAGATGCTGCAGTCCCACCCGCAGGTAGATGCTGCAGTCCCACCCGCAGGTAGATGCTGCAGTCCAACCCGCAGGTAGATGCTGCAGTCCCACCCGCAGGTAGATGCTGCAGTCCAACCCGCAGGTAGATGCTGCAGTCCCACCCGCAGGTAGATGCTGCAGTCCCACCCGCAGGTAGATGCTGCAGTCCCACCCGCAGGTACCTCTATCGTCACCCCCTACCGTTGTCTCTCTGAGAGACGGCTCTCCCCCACCTCCTCACCATCCACTCCGCGCTCTCCCACATGGGGCGACCCCCACCCATCATCGACGCCACTAGGCTTCAATCCAACCCGCAGGTAGATGCTGCAGTCCCACCCGCAGGTAGATGCTGCAGTCCCACCCGCAGGTACCTCTATCGTCACCCCCTACCGTTGTCTCTCTGAGAGACGGCTCTCCCCCACCTCCTCACCATCCACCTGTGATCGACGCCACCCACCTGCAATCGCCCTGACTTTTGAGTCGACTCAAAAATCACCCTCAGGTACCCTGTAGTCCCGTCACCGTCCCCCTCCTGCCGGCCCACTCCTGAGGGGGGTGGTGAGGTCTCCCCCCCTTCCCATTCTGAGACAGCTCTCCCTCACCTCCTCGCCCTCCACTCGTCACTCTCCCTCATGGGCGCACCCCCCCCCCCCCCCCCGTGACTAACGCCACTAGGTGCCAATCCAACCCTAGGTTATCAACGCCCCATGCACTGCAAGTATCTAGAGCATGCTGTATTCCCACGTCTGCTTCCCTGCCCATCCAACCCAAATTGACAGGGCGTGCTCATGGCTCTCTGCCAAGCTCTAATCATCCCGTTCTATCTAGCTCTTTTTGAGCATGTTGTATACACCCTCTCGCACCCCTGCGGCCCCCTGCATGCCCCACCACAATCCACAGGGCGTGCTCATGGCTCTCTGCCAAGCTCTAAACATCCCGTTCTATCCAGAAATGCTCTCGTAAGTGTATCTGGAGCAAGGTTTCTGTAAGTGAGTAGCTTATCTAAGTATGAAAGGGTACTTTCTGAAAGGGTACTTTCTGAAAGGGTACTTTCTGTTCCTCCTGTTTGTCGAGGTGTGTGATTCTTCTCTTCATTGTCTAAAGGTTCCTACTAAGACTTCTGAGTTTGAGTTGATGTTTAAGTTGTTCCTCCCTAGTTTTAGTTCCTGCATAGAACTGAATACGTACTAATCTGCGTTATAGAATCTTCTCTCTCTTGTACACAAATTGTATCTGTCCAGCCTATCCTGGCCCCACCACCCCCATGGGCAGATAGCCAATCATCCCTCTATGCTCCATCGCCTTCCACCACATCACTGCCTTACCCAGCTGGCCTGCAGGGAAGCGCCCAGAGGTCAGAAGGGGTGTGGGCACTGTGGTGGTATACCACCACACAAGCCACCGCCACACTACATGCTTGCAGAGCAATACACTTCCCTCTTCTGTGCGTCCTTCCCCAGCTGGCCTGCGGGGAAGCGGCCAGAGGACGGAGTGTGGGCTTCCTGGTGGTATACCACCAGCACGCTACACGGCAAATACACCACTCAATCATGCCATCACTCCCCTATCTCTCTACTGCCTTCCCCAGCTGGCCTGCAGGCAAGCGTCCAGAGAATGGGATGTGGGCTTCCTGGTGGTATACCACCACACCACCCAGCTATTACTTCCTTCTTTCCACGCCCCAATGCAACCCCCCCGATTGCCACTCTTACTTCCTTCCCCAGCTGGCCTGCAGGAAAGCGACCAGAGGACGGGGTGTGGGCGCCTTGGTGGTATACCACCACGCATGCTTCCACTGGTTTCGCTCTCCCTGCTCTTCACCCCAAGGTAACCCACAATTCTCTTCACTCGTCTGACTCTGCTCCTTATCTCAGTCACAAAGGAAAGGAGAAAAACGAGGTGTGGGCGCCTTGGTGGTATACCACCACGCATGCTTCCACTGGCTTCGCCCCCCTGCTCTGTACCCCAAGGTGACCCACAATCCTCTTCACTTGTCACACACTGCAAGTCACACCCCCGCACCGCTGGATGTTCCACACACGCTTCCATTGGCTTCACCCCTCTTGCTCTCTACCCCAAGGTGCCCTAAACCTCACTCCATTTCACTAGAAATTATTGAAGATTTGCCACCCGTTCTTCCCCTTTTCCCACTCCAATGCCCTCGTAACACTACTCGCCAGCACCAATGCCTCTCCCCATGGGCCATGGTCACAGCTCTTTGCTGAAAGCTGCTGTCCCTTCTTCCTCTCTGCTCCATGCCAAAGCCCTCCCCGTATACCACTGCAGACTGCAGCCAACTAGTCTTACCATACCTTGCTCATTCCTGTGTTCTCACTTTCTATCCCCCCCTCGCTTCCCTCCTCTCAGCCCTTCCCAATGGAGCATTACTCTCTACTAGAGGACTGCCGTCCATTCTACTCCTTGCTCCTCTCCAAAGCCCTCGTACCGCTCACCACCACTGCCAACTCCTCCACCACCACTCCCACCACCATCTCCCCCTATCCCTCCGCCGCACCCCTGCCCTTGCCCTCTCTCCCTGTGCCGGCTAATGAGAAGCTGCTGGTGTGGGTGGGAGAGGAGGGGCTGGTGCCGAGGAGAGACGCCAAGGTAGGGTCCTACCCTTTCATCTATGTAGAGTGGATAAGGTAACATGCCTCTCCTTCCATGATAAGGTAAGCGGCATATGGGTTACAAGTGCATCGCCCCTCCCTCGCCGCCTCTCTCTCCCTGTGCCGGCAAACGAGACGCTGCTGGTGTGGGTGGGGGAGGAGGGGCTGGTGCCGAGAAGAGACGCAAAGGTGTAGTTTTGTTCTCATGCATGTAGCATAGATGAGCTGTAAGGGGCATATGGGTTACAAGTGCATCGCCCCTCCCTCGCCGCCCCTCTCTCCCTGTGCCGGCAAACGAGCAGCTGCTGGTGTGGGTGGGGGAGGAGGGGCTGGTACCGCGACTAGAACCCAAGGTAGGGTTGAAACGTGTTCCTTAAAAGTCTTCAAGTTAGATATTGTGTTCAACTGTGCATGTGCCATGCCATCATGTGCCATGGTTAGGGTGTCAGGTGCCAGGTGTAGCGAGGTATGGGCATGAGGTGAAGGGTGTACCTGAGACTGAGAGTTTTCAAAACACTTGGCAAGATCCAGGTGCATCTGTGAGTATTCGCCTTTTCCGTCAGCCCTCTCCTCTCTATACTCGCACTGTCCATCCTATCTGTCCCCCCACTCTATCTCCCCTGTAAATATATGGCAGATTCACGTGCTTGACTCTGCCGTGCAGGGAGGGGACGCGGTGTGGGAGGGGAGTGGTTTCTGAGTTGACTAACAGTTGTCTCATGTTGAGCGATTTTTGAGACATCTCAAATATCCAACCTGCCCTGCAAACGGATGGGAGGTGCATGTGCTGGACTCTGCAGTGCAGGGATGCGACGCTGTGTGGGAGGAGCTGAGAGAGTGACTGTTGTGACTCCTTTGGCTGTGGTATGGGCGGATGGCAGGTGCATGTGCTGGACTCGGCAGTGCAGGGATGCGACGCCGTGTGGGAAGGGAGGGGCTGAGGAGTTAACTCTCCCCTCTGTCTTCCTTGTGGGCGGATGGCAGGTGCTGGACTCTGCAGTGCAGAGGGGAGATGCTGTGTGGGAGGGGAGCGGCCGAGAGAAAGACTCTTAGCTGCCTTCAGCAGTGTGCCCTTTCTGCTGAAGCTTCTACCTCCCGTTTGTTTAAATGGCAGATTCACGTGCTGAACTGAGAGCGTGACTGATGAGTTGACTCTGAGTTGACCTAGTCTCCTCTCCTTATCCTGTCCCCTCTATCTGCCTGTCGGCATGGATGGACGGCAGATTCACGTGCTGGACTCTGCAGTGCAGGGAGGGGACGCGCTGAGAAGCGTGACGTCTGAGTTGACTCAACTGAAAGAATTTCTGCTGCCTACCCCATGTGCCCTGAGTGCGGATGGCAGATTCACGTGCTGGACTCTGCAGTGCAGGGAGGGGACGCTGTGTGGGAGGGGCTGAGGGTGTGACTGTTGAGTCAATGACTCCTTTGGCTGTTTCCTCTATGTGCCCTTCGGTATGCACGGATGGCAGATTCACGTGCTGGACTCTGCCGTACAGGGAGGCGACGCTGTGTGGGAGGGGACGCGCTGAGAGGGTGACGTCTGAGTTGACTCAACTGAAAGAATTTCTGCTGCCTACCCCATGTGCCCTGAGTGCGGATTGCAGATTCACGTGCTGGACTCGGCAGTGCAGGGAGGGGATGCTGTGTGGGAGGGGCTGAGGGTGTATGATGGTCGTATATTCAAGCTGCAAGAGCACCTGGACCGGTGAGTGGGTGTATGTCTTTTGAGTAGGCTCAAATGTTTTGGTGCCACGTAAAGACATGGTTTCAAACTGGGGCTCCATCAGACTAGCTGCAAGAGCCTCTGGACCGGTAAGTGAGTTGTATATTACCTGCTGATTTCCTCATTCCCCCTGTTGATTTTCTCCCCACTCCCCGTCCCCACCATCACAAGTTTCTGTATAACTCTGGCAAGGCTATGTCAACTCCCATGTGCTGTGCTCAGGTGGCTTTTGAGTCGACTCAAAAGTCACCTGGGGCACTATCAGACTAGCTGCAAGAGCCTCTCCCCCTGCCCACCCAACCCAAGTATGACTCTGCTGCGTATTCCCCCCGCTCCCACTCCCCACCAAATTGACAGCCTCTTCGACTCTGCCAAGGCTATGGCGTTTGCAAACGTGCCTACACAAGACCACGTGGTGCATGCACTGGTGTCAACCCTTGCTGCCAACGGCATGAGGGATAATGCTCATGTTCGACTCACTCTCACTCGGGGGAAGAAGGTAGGGGACGGATAGTGGGAGGTGTGAGAAAGTAAGGAAGAAGAATAGGGTCAATGTTCCCGACTCACACAGAGAAAGGTGTGAGTCGAAGTCAAATGTGACTCACACTCGAGACTTGGGGAAAATTTGAAGAAGAGCCGTTTTATTCAATGTGTGCGTGTGTGCGTGCATGCGTGTGTGTCCGTGCTTGTGTCTGTCTGCCCTGCATCCAGACTACATCAGGAATGAGCCCTCAGTTCAATCTTTATGGCTGCACTTTAATCGGTGAGTGAATCGGAACTATTGCATTCCCTTCTTAGAACCAACTTTGCACCGCTTGCCCTGTGCTGTACTGCTTACCCTCAACAGTGCACTTGCCATCTTACCCTCTCCCACCCTCACGCATATTCCACACTCATACTCACCTGTACCTCCCACATTCAGCCCCTCTCCCTACTCCCACCGTGCCTTCTCAGTCCTGGCCGAGTGGAAGCCTCCAGTGTATGACAACACACGGGGCATCAAGCTCATCACTGCCTCAACGCGAAGGAACTCACCACAATTGGGATCTTCCCCTCCCTCTTCCGCTCCCACTCCCACCAACTTAACTAGTACTCGCGGAATGGAAGCCCCCTGTCTATGACAATGCACGGGGCATCAAGCTCATCACGGCATCAACTCGAAGAAACTCACCACAGGTGCGTATGCGTGTGTCACTCGAGAATTCTCAAGGGTGACACAGACACAAGGGGCATCAAGTTCGTGACTTCCTCAACTCAGAGGAGCTCACCTTAAGAAATATTCTACAATCCAGTCTGCATCTTCTCCCGCTCTCCCCTCTGCCTTTTCTCCAGAGATTATTGAGAGATGTTTCAAGGTCGAGGTTTCGCAGGTCTTTTCCAGATATTCTCTTTCGTGTGTGCTGCATGCAAGTGCTTCTGTACACACCACCCACATTCAAGATGTTTCGTTTCAATGCAGATTACTGCCTCCCCAGTTCTCTGAGTTTTGGGACGTCTCAAAAGTTACTAATCCTCCCCTCCCCTCCCCATCCACTTCCCTCTGCCCCGCCTCTGTTTGTTTGCCCTCCACTCTTCAACCTCCCCATCCCCATCCTCCTTTTCCTTCCCACCCATCCATCTTTTTCCTCCCTTTGTTCTCCCAAATGCCTTTCGGCGTTCTCTGCATCCATTGACGTACTATTCCCATTGACCTTCTTGCCCAAATTCTGCTATTCCCACATGCACCGTTCACTCTCCTGTTCATCCCTCCTTGCAAGCAGTGTGTGGACTCGCACATTCATCACAACAACCTCATCAATAACATCCTCGCTAAGGTGACTGACTTGTAGAGCTGCATTTTGCAAAGTTACATTGTTCATACAAATTCTTGAATGCAAATGAGTTGCAACTGATATTCCTCTCCTCTCATCTCGTCGTAGGCATGGACGTCCCCTCTTCAGCATAAAAGCCCATTAACCCTCGAATATTCAGGCTATAGTCATTTCATTATTAATGAGCCATCCTTTGTTGAGCTTTGATCTTGATGAGACGTTGCTGCATGCATGCAGATCGAGGGGAACAACGCAGGGGCAGACGATGCAGTGATGCTCGACGTGCATGGATACATCAGCGAAACCAACGCTACCAACATTGTAGGTGCTTCCTTTCCACTTCACTTCAGAGCCTTCTGTGCGTTCAACAGTGTTTTCTGTTATTCCTATCCGTCAAACAATCATGGCTCGTCTTCTCCTCGTTTCCCTTTTCCCTGTCAGTTCATGGTGAAGAGAGGACGCATCTTAACACCTTACGCCGACAGCTGCTTGCCAGGCATCACCCGAGCCACGGTACTGCATGGGGGGAAAGGGGAGCAAGAGAAAGGGGAAGAACTCGAGGGATTTTCATTGTTGATTTCCATGTTGATAGCTGCTCACCAGGCATCATTTGCGCCACTGTAGTGCATGGGGACTTAGAGTGGGGGGTGGGCGGATAGGGGCCAACATTAGAAATGGGAAAACGCGGAGTGAATTATGGCGCACACTATCCTCCGTACCCCGCATCCTGACATCATCCATTCAACCATCCATGCGTTGTTCTTGATCTCCTTCTGGTCTTACCTGGCAGGTAATAGAGTTGGCGAGGCATGAAGGCATTCCCATTGAGGAGTGCAACATCACTACGGCTCAGCTGCATGCTGCTGATGAGGTGAGGCATGAGGGCGAGATATATAGTTGAGGTGCCTGAGAAAGCAAGGCAGGAAGGCATTCCCATTGACGAGTGCAACATCACCACGGCTCAGCTGCACGCTGCTGATGAGGTGGGGCGTTTTGTTTGTGGTGCCTTAGAAGGTGACGCTGCAAGGTATCCCCGTTGAGGAGTGCAACATCACCACGGCTCAGCTGCATACTGCGGATGAGGTGAGACAGAATGCTTGAGGCAAGCCGTAGAAGGTGAGGTGAGACACCCATGCCTATCACGCATTTGAGCTGGCGAAGCAGCGAGGTATCCCCATCCAGGAGCGGGACATCACTGCAGCTCAGCTGCACGCTGCCGATGAGGTAAAGATTGCTTGCTCAAATTTTTGCTCTTGTGTGCATACAAGCTAGTGCCTATTTCGACCGTACTTTGTTGATTTCACAAACTCTTGCTTTTCTGATGGGCCTGGTCCCCTCCTCCAGATCTTCACAACGGGAACGATGGGGGAGCTTACACCTTGTGTGCTTCTTGACAGCCGTCCAGTCGGCTACAACCTAAATAGCAGCGGTTGCAGAGCAGACATCGGTAGTTGTGTTGGGCCCATCACCCAGAAGCTTCAAGAGGCATACAAAAAAATTACATCAGCTGAAGGCTGGCCATTGCCATTCTAATGCAATATTGTAGTAGTACAGTATCACTTCAGTGCTAATTTTCATGTAAAGAATGAATGAATGTATGGGACGTGATTGTTCATGGTAATTATGTGAGTTGAAATATACTAGGAAGAATGGGAAGGGTGCAACAAGAGACGGAGTTTGTAACGATAGCTACAAATGTGCGCACTAACATGCTAGATTCGTAAATGAGCACAGTGGAGCACGCCTTGTACTAATAGCGCGGCTCTCAGCAGACGAGGCCTAGGGATTTGCTTCCCTTCCCTCCCTCCCTCTCTAAAAACAACAGTCAAAGCGAAGTGGTAATTTCGGAAGCCTCACCTCGTAATTGTAATTTCTTCGGTTGGCCTCTCGCTATCTGCCGTAGATCTCACGCTCGCATCCTCTGTTCCGAAACTCGGCCGACGGGACGGCGGGTCTAGTATTGCAAAAACCGATATTTTCCGTGCTTGAGAGCGAGAGCGGCCATCATGCCGGAAATCGATCCGGATCTCGACGAGAAGAACCCGCCAGCCCTCGATGAGGACGATATCGCTCTCCTAAAGACCTATGTGCGTTGGCATGCGTTTTAGATGAGTACGATTAGACGTCTCGATGAGGACGATATCGCTCGTGCGTTTCGTTGGGACTTTAGGATAGGAGACTATTGCGGAAGCTTCATAGCCGTTCAGATTCTCTGCAGACGTTTGGAGCCAATTTGTCAACCATTCTTGTGTTCAGATCGTTACGTAATTCAGTCGTCCGGCATCCACGCTTCCTATTGCATGATCCCGTTTGTTTACTCTTTCCTTTTTCCGGATGTATCTCAACATGTAGGGTCTTGGTCCTTACTCAACGTCTATCAAGAAGGTTGAGAAGGATATCAAGGACATGGCCAAGAAGGTCAACGACCTATGCGGTAAGTATCTCGTAATCCGTTCAAGAGACGAATTGTTACGGATAGAGTATGAATTTCTGCTCCTAATGCATCAAGCAAGTTAGCTCTAGCTCTTTCTCGGGAGTTGTCAGTCTAGTGACCCATATATTACCTAGAATTCTTCTCAATTGGTTCGCTATGGAACTGGAATTCGTTACTCTATCTTTGTTCTCCGGTTTTTTATTGATGCCGCCTACTGTAAGCTGATGCCGTCTGTTGCCATATGATCTCGTCGGATCGCTCTGTGTCGCATGACATCGCCTGATGCCGCGTTATGTCGCATGGTGTCGCCTGAGTGTCTGTGATGTTTCCACTGCAGGGATCAAGGAGTCGGATACTGGATTGGCAGCACCAAGCCAGTGGGATTTGGTGTCGGACAAGCAGATGATGCAGGAGGAGCAGCCGCTGCAGGCAAGCACACACCTGCACATACCACCCTCCTTGCTTTCTCTAGTCTGATCCACTTTTAGTTGATTTACAAGGCACCTCGGAACTTGCAGCTCCGAGCCAGTGAGATCTGGTGTCGGACAGCAGATGATGCAGGAGGAGCAGCCGCTGCAGGCAAGCACACTCCCACACTCACACCCCCCTTGGTTTCCCTGATTCACTGTTGAATGATTCACTACAAGGCAGTTGCATTCTAGCCGCCCCGAGCCAGTGGGATTCGGTGTCGGACAAGCAGATGATGCAGGGGTAGCACGCCTGACTGACTGACCACAATTGACTGAATGAGCGTGCCTGACTGATCACGTCTGACTCATTACGCCTGACTGACTGAGCACGCCTGACTGACTGAGCGCGCTTGACTCAAACCTAGCTCACTTCTTCCTAGATCTCGTCGTTCAACCAGCGCACTATTCATTCTCTTCTCTTCTTTCCATTCCCTCTCTTCTCTCCTCTCTCCTCTCCTCTCTTCTTCCTCCTTCCCCCTATCCGCTCTTCTCCCTTTCAGGTGGCGCGCTGCACCAAGATCATCAACCGCAACACCAACGACGCCAACTCAGAAAATCAGCCATGCTCTATGCTTTCCCCTATCCCCTCTCCTTTCTCCTCTCTCCTCCCTCCCACCCTCCCAGGTGGCGCGCTGCACCAAGATCATCAACCCCAACACGGACGACGCAAAATACGTCATCAACGTCAAGCAGATCGCCAAGGTTCGAATTTTACTCTGCATACAGGATTCCACGAATGCGCTTCAATTATGGCCCTCCGCACCTCCTCTCCCCACCCCTTCCTCCCCTCTTCCCCCCTTCCAACCCCCCCCAGCGGTTGCACATTCACGCCCTTACTTTGCCAGATTCTTATCTTTATTATGATGTGTGCTGTGTCAAGATCTTTCTTGAGAAGTGCAGTCGCAATATTAAGTTGGTTCTTTTTTAGTCGCTGTCTGCGTTCTGTATGCAGTGCGGAATTTCCGTTGTTCCATTCGTGATAGAGTCCTGCATTTTTTACCCACTCATCGCTCTGTGTGTGCTTGCTCTGTGTGTGCTTGCTGTGTGTGTGCTTGCTCTGTGTGTGCTTGCTGTGTGTGTGTGCTTGCTGTGTGTGTGCGCTTGCTGTGTGTGTGCTTGCTGTGTGTGTGCTTGCTTTGCGTGTGCTTCTTGTGTGTGTGTGTGTGTGTGTGTGTGTGCGTGCGTGCGTGCGTGTGTGTGTGAGTGTGTGTGTGTGTGTGTGTGTGTGTGTGTCTGTGTGTGTGTGTGCGTGTGTGCGTGTGTGCGTGCGTGCGTGCGTGCGTGCGTGCGTGCGTGCGTGCGTGCGTGCGTGTGTGCGTGTGTGTGTGTGTGTGCGTGTGTGCGTGTGTGCGTGTGTGCGTGTGTGCGTGTGTGCGTGTGTGTGTGTGTGTGCTTGCTGTGTGTGTGCGTGCGTGCCGTGTGTGTGCGTGCGTGCTGTGTACAGTTCGTGGTGGGATTGGGCGACCGCGTCTCACCGACTGACATTGAGGAGGGCATGCGCGTGGGGTGAGTGCGTGTGTGCCATTTCATGCCACTCCCCCATTCCGTCCACTCTGCTATCCGTGGTGGGGCTGGGGGGCTGGGGAGGGTATGCGAATGGGGTGAGTGCGGGCATGCAAGGTTTGAGGTGCCTCATTAACGTGATGGGGTTGGGAGAATGCGTCTCACCGACTGGGATTGAGGAGGGCATGCGCGTGGGATGAGTGCATGTGTGTGCCATGTCATGCCATCCACCACCATGCCATCCACCATGCCATCCACCATGCCATCCACCACCATGCCATCCACCACCATGCCATCCACCATGCCATCCACCACCATGCCATCCACCACCATGCCATCCACCACCATGCCATCCACCACCATGCCATCCACCATGCCATCCACCATGCCATCCACCATGCCATCCACCATGCCATCCACCATGCCATCCACCATGCCATCCACCATGCCGTCCACCATGCCATCCACCATGCCATCCACCACCATGCCATCCACCACCATGCCATCCACCATGCCATCCACCACCATGCCATCCACCACCATGCCATCTTCCCGTCATCTGGTGATGCCCTGTTGCTGGTGGTTTCACGGTTCACCTGAGTTGATCAAACTAAACAGCAACTGTACGTACTTCTGAGTTTTCTTGTATGCAGGTGCAACATGTTTTCTGTTCGTTCTTAAACGTTCCCTAATCATGCTTATATTGTTGCCCTTGCACAGAGTGGATCGTAACAAGTATCAAATCCAGATCCCCCTGCCGCCCAAGATCGACCCGATATTCCCTATCCCTTCGTCCCTTGCACAGAGTGGATCGCAACAAGTATCAAATCCAGATCCCCCTGCCGCCCAAGATCGACCCGAGTGTAACGATGATGACGGTGGAGGAGAAACCGGACGTGACTTACGGGGACGTGGGCGGATGCAAGGAGCAGATTGAGAAGATGCGCGAGGTGGGTGGGAGCATTTGGGGAAGTGCGGGAGCGAGTGAGTCAGTGCATGATAGGGAGCACCAAGATGAGGACAGTGGAGGAGAAACCAGATGTGACGTTCGGGGACGTGGGCGGATGCAAGGAGCAGATTGAGAAGATGCGCGAGGTGGGTGAGCGTAAGGGAGTAGAGGGGCGTGATTGAGCTGGTATTCGAGGTAGAGCATTTGAGAGAGCGTTACTTGGGTAGAAAGTGTGACGATGACGACAGTAGAGAAGAAACCGAGTGTTCCTTATGGTGCTGTGGGCAGGCTATTAAATCTCTCTCATGCAATCGCTCACACTCGCACACACTCAATCTTACAATCACACACACTTCCAGGTGGTTTAGCTGCCCATGCTGCATGCTGAGAAGTTCGGGAAGCTGGGAATCGACCTTTCTAAGCGTGTGCTGTGCTACGGCCCATGTTTCCTAACAGTCATTCACACACTCACACATCACCCTCACACACCACGCTCACCCACACCCACAGATGGTGGAACTTCCCATGCTGCATTCGGAGAAGTTCGTCAAACTGGGCATTGACCCTCCCAAGGGCGTGCTGTGCCACGGCCTTCCCTCCCTCTCTCATCTCCGTTCCTTTCTCTCTTCCTTCGCTCACCCACACCACAGGTTGTGAAACTGCCCACGCTGTTCCTGAGAAGTGACGTGTGCTGGCGCACGCAGTGGCGAACCGCACGGATCCCTGCTTCATCCCCCAAGGGTGTGCTCTGCTATGGCCCAATTCCCTTTACTCCCTTTTTTTCTGTTTTCATTTTACCCCACATGCCCTCTCAGGTGGTGGAACTGCCCATGCTGCATCCTGAGAAGTTTGTCAAACTGGGCATCGACCCCCCCAAGGGCGTGCTGTGCTACGGCCCGCCCGGCACCGGCAAGACCCTGTTGGCGCGCGCTGTGGCGAACCCGCTTTGATGGTGGAGCTAAGAATCGACCCCCCCAAGGGCGTGCTGTGCTGCAATTCAGTCTCCCTCCCTCATCTCCGTTCCTTCTCCCATTTTGCACACACTCAGGTGGTGGAGCTGCCCATGCTTCACCCTGAGAAGTTCGTCAAATCGGGAATCGACCCCCCCAAGGGCGTGCTGTGCTACGGCCCGCCCGGCACCGGCAAGACCCTGCTGGCGCGCGCTAATAATGTGCTCTCACACACACTCCCACACAAACCCTCAGGTGGTGGAACTCCCCATGCTGCATCCGGAGAAGTTTGTGAAGCTGGGAATTGACCCCCCCAAGGGCGTGCTGTGCTACGGCCTTCCCTCACTCCCTCATCTCTGTTCCTTTCTCTCTTCCTTCGTTCACCCATACCACAGGTGGTGGAGCTGCCCATGCTTCACCTTGAGAAGTTCGTGAAGCTAAGAATCGACCCTCCCAAGGGCGTGCTCTGCTACGCTCAATTTCAATCTCCCTTCTTCCCGTCCTTTCCCCCTTCTCAGGTGGTGGAGCTGCCTATGCTTCACCCGGAGAAGTTCATAAAACTAGATATCGACCTGCCCAAGGGCGTGCTGTGCTACGGCCCTCAACTCCATTCCTTATCTCTCGCCAACATGTTCTCCCAGGTGGTGGAGCTCCCCATGCTGCATCCGGAGAACTTTGTCAAATTGGGAATCGACCCCCCCAAGGGCGTGCTGTGCTACGCTCCAATCCCAATCTCCCTTCTTCCCGTCCTCTCCCCCTTTCTCTAATCCTTTTAGGTGGTGGAGCTGCCTATGCTGCACCCGGAAAAGTTTGTAAAGCTAGGAATCGACCCCCCCAAGGGCGTGCTGTGCTACGGCCCGCCCGGCACCGGCAAGACGCTGCTGGCGCGCGCTGTGGCTAACCGCACGGATGCCTGCTTCATCCGCGTTATAGGCAGCGAGCTCGTGCAGAAATACGTGGGGGAAGGAGCGAGGATGGTTCGAGAGCTGTTCCAGGTGAGATTTGGTGCGGGTGATAACTGGTGCTACAGGTAAAAGCTGGTGCATGTGAGAGTTGTTCCAAGTGAGAGCTGCTTCAGGTGAAATCTGGTGCAGGTTACAACCGGTGATACTCCAGGTGAGAGTGCAGGCATCTGCGTTGAAGGCAGCAAGCTGGTGCAGAAATACGTGGGCGAGGTTTGACGATGGGGCAGGCATTCAGATGGCGCGCTCCAAGAAGGCGTGCATCATATTCATTGATGAGATTGACACCATTGGAGGGGCGTCCCTTACCCATCTCTCTCTTCCTGCCGCTCTCCCCTGTCACCTCGTTATGCCTTCCCGTATCCGCCCTCACACATGGCGCGTTCCAAGGAAGGCGTGCATCACCTTCTTCGATGAGGTGGACGCCATCGGAGGGGCGCCCTTCACCTCTCTAAATCCCCTCTTGTATCCTGCTTCCCCCTCTATTCTGTGCGCCCTTACACATGGCTCGTTCCAAGAAGGCGTGCATTATCTTCTTTGATGAGGTGGATGCCATCGGAGGGTGGAAACCCCCTTTCCCTGACCCCCCCATCCCCGCCTTCCTGCCCTGTACCCGCCCTCACAGATGGCGCGCTCCAAGAAGGCGTGCATCATATTCTTCGATGAGGTGGATGCCATCGGAGGGGCGCGGTTTACCACTCTAACTCCCCTCTTGTATTGTATCCTGCATGTCCCTCGATCCCCCATTCAGATGGCTCGCTCCAAGAAGGCGTGCATCATCTTCTTTGATGAGGTGGACGCCATCGGAGGGGCGCGGTTTACCACTCTAACTCCCCTCTTGTATTGTATCCTGCATGTCCCTCGATCCCCCATTCAGATGGCTCGCTCCAAGAAGGCGTGCATCATCTTCTTTGATGAGGTGGACGCCATCGGAGGGGCGCGTTTCGACGACGGGGCGGGCGGAGACAATGAGGTGCAGCGCACAATGCTTGAAATTGTGAATCAGCTGGATGGCTTTGATGCACGCGGGAACATCAAGGTTCTCATGGCCACCAACAGGTGTGTACTGGTGTGAACAAGTGTGTGTGGTTTGTGTTGCTCCTTCTCTCAATCGGACAACGAGGTGCAGCGCACGATGCTTGAAATCGTGAATCAGCTGGATGGCTTTGATGCACGCGGGAATATCAAAGTGCTGATGGCCACCAACAGGTACTCTATCAACAGGTGTTCCTCTCCCTCTCACAAAGACAATGTGGTGACAACAACGAGACGTGCAGCGCTCGATGCTTGAGATAGTGAACCAGCTGGATGGGTTTGATGCACGCGGCAACATCAAGGTCCTCACGGCTACAAACAGGTGTGTTGCTCCTCTCTTGATGCGACAACGTGGTGTAATGAGATGCCCAGGTGACAACGAGGTGCAGCGCTTGATGCTTGAAATCGTGAATCAACTGGATGGGTTTGATGCGCGCAGCAATATCAAAGTGTTGATGGATACCAACAGGTGTGTATTGGTGGTGTGCTGCTGCCAAGAGTGGTGGTTTGCCTTCCTCCTCCTTGTAATGACTCAACGAGGTGCAGCGCACGATGCTTGAAATCGTGAATCAGCTGGACGGGTTTGATGCGCGCGGGAACATCAAAGTGCTTATGGCCACCAACAGGTGTGCACCTCACTCAGCTAGGCAATCAGGGTAATGAGACGACGTGTTGGCAATGAGAGAGGTGCAGCGCGCGATGCTTGAGATAGTCAACCAGCTGGATGGGTTCGATGCATGCATGCATGCATGCGATGTATCAAAGTGCTCATGGCCACCAACAGGTGTGTACCGGTGTGCTTGCAACTGCAGTAGCATTGCTTTGTGTTGCTCCTTACCTGCCCTCCACCGCCCCTCGTCCCACTACCCTTCTTCCCAGGTTTGACACCCTTTATCCCGCTCCCTTGCGTCGTGACAGCAAGGTTGCCCTACCTACCTGCCACTCCCTCTCATCCCACTACCCTCCTTCCCAGGTCCGACACCCTTGATCCCGTTCTCTTGCATCGGGGTTGTCTCGCCGGCAAGGTGGAGTTTGGGCTGCCGGATCTGGAGGGGCGCACGCACATCTTTCCTTCCCTCTGCCTTATTTCTCTTAAGCCCATCGTCGCCCCTCCTGTACTGCACACTCTCTTCCCTCCCCCCCTCCTCTCAGGCCTGATACCCTTGATCCTGCTCTCCTGCGCCCCGGTCGCTTTGACCGCAAGGTGGAGTTGGGTCTAGCAGACCTGGAGAAGCGCATTCACATCTTCAGGATCCACATCTCGAAGCTTCCAACCCTCTCCTTTCATCTCTCCTGCCCCAATCTTCCCTTCTCTCCCCCCCCTCCCCCATCCCCTCCCAGGCCCGACACCCTTGATCCTGCTCTCCTGCGCCCGGGTCGTCTCGACCGCAAGGTGGAGTTTGGACTTCCAGACCTGGAGGGGCGAACGCACATCTTCAAGATCCACACGCGCACCATGAACTGCGAGAGGGACATTCGATTCGAGCTGCTGGCTAGGCTCTGCCCCAACTCCACCGGTGAGTTCCTGTTGTGTGTTTGTGTCTCTTTGGGTCCTCACACACTAGCCAAAGCACGCGCATCTTCAAGATTCACACTCGCACAATGAACTGCGAGAGGGACATTCGGTTTGAACTACTGGCCCGGCTGTGCCCCAACTCCACCGGTAAGTTCTCGCTACTGAAAACACGCACATTTTCAAGATCCACACTCGCACGATGAGCTGCGAGCGGGATATTCGGCTTGAACTACTCTCTCGGCTCTGCCCCCAACTCCACTGCTCACTGGACTTGCTTGTCACGCCCCTCACACCTCTCCAGGGACCTTGCACACCACTGAAAGCACTCACATGTTCGCATTCACACCATCAATGAACTGACAGGAGCTGGCATATGCAGTGTGTGCACGGAGGCGGGCATGTATGCCATAACATCACGTCACATAGTGGCACATGATCATGTGTCCATCTGTGTGTCTACATATATGTATACTGTGGGCATGCATATGTCTCCCCCCCTTCCCACCCACCCCTCCTCCCCCCTGCCAGGTGCCGACATCTGCAGTGTGTGCACGGAAGCAGGAATGTATGCCATTAGGCGTTGTGCACAACGGAGGGTCATTGTGCACAAGACAGCATCCATCCCCTACTCGTTGCTCACCTAGTTGGCCTTCTTCCCCCATTCCCCCAACCCCTTTTACAGGTGCCGACATCCGCAGTGCGTGCACGGAGGCAGGCATGTATGCCATCAGGCCTCGGCGCAAGACAGTGACTGAGAGAGACTGTCTGTCTGTGTGTGCTTATCCGTACCGTCTACCTCTCTGCCCCTGTTTCCCTTCCCCCCCACACGCAGGAGCCGACATTCGCAGTGTGTGCACGGAGGCGGGCATGTGTGCCATCAGGGCACGATGGGCACATAGTGATGCATATCTATGTGTGTGCGCCCGTCCCCACACTCTCCTGTTCTTTCCACAGGAGCCGATATTCGCAGTGTGTGCACGGAGGCGGGCATGTATGCCATCAGAGCACGGCGCAAGACAGTCACGGAAAAGGATTTCCTGGAGGCGGTCAACAAGGTCATCAAGGGATACCAGAAGTTCAGCGCTACACCCAAATACATGGTGTACAATTGAGTGTATACATGCTGTTGATACATGGTGTACAATTGACTGAAATGTTGATACATTGTGATGCTGGTGTAAAGAGGTGCAAAGACAGCGGCAGAAGGATTTCCTGGAGGCGGTCAACAAGGTCATCAAGAGGTACGAGAAGTTCAACGCTACATGGTGTAAAATTAATTGTATATGTGCTGTCTTAGGTGTACAACTGACTGTTAATGCTCTTGCCGTGCATTGTAATTTTGGTATGAAGGTGCCGCTGAGTTGCAATAAGGAGTGCCCCTGAGTTGCAATGCGGTACCTATATAGGTTACGGTACATGACAAATCCTTCAAAATAGTACACAATAAGCACTGGAACACACAGACAAAGATACACTGCAACATACCACCATCCCAGGTGACTTGCACCACCTCAACCTACGGTACATCCTATGGTATCACCCCCTTTCCCCATCAGCAGACTGCACTGCCAGTAGAAACCCCACAAGCCTCTCCTTGATCAACTGCTGTACTTCCACCATGGGTAATCTCCATCACCTCACAAAATATCTCCTATCTTTACCATCTCCCCTCTCCCCTTCAATCTTCCATATCATCCACATCATCATCCTCATTCATCAACCTTAGCTCTCTTCCTCCCACCATCCCCATCAGCAAGTTGCACTAGAATCTCCCCAAGCCTCCCTCCTCAACTGCCATAGTTCCACCATGTGTACTCCTTCACCACCCCACATCAGAGGGTAACTTTCATGCTTACCACCTGCCCCTTCAATCCTCCATATCATCCACATCATCATCCTCATCATCAACCTTAGCCCTCTTCCCCCCACCATCAGCATCAGCAGGTTGCACCAAAAACTCCCCAAGCCTCCCCTTGGCCTTCTCAGCCGCAATCCCCCCAGTCTTCTCCACCCGATACACCAACCCGCTTATCGCCTCCTCATCCGCAATCCCATTCTCCCCCACACCATCACCAGCACCGCCCTGAGCGTCGATGAAAACAGTGCAGTTATCGTCAATCTTCCCTTCCACCAGCATCTTAGATAGCTGGGTAACCACCTTCCTCTCAAGCCATCGCCGCAGCGGCCGCGCTCCATACACCGGATCATACGCCTCCTTCAAGACAACATCTAGGGCCGCATCGGAAACCCCCAGGGCAATCCCCCGATCCGCCAGCCTGGCCGCCACCTGGCGCATCTGCAGCCGCGCAATTTTCCTCAATTCGGGGAGCGACAGCGGCTCGAACACCACCATTTCGTCGAGCCTGTTCAGCAGCTCCGGGCGGAAGTGCTTCCGAACCTCCGCCAGAACCTCCTTCTTAGCCTCGTCCATCGAAACCTCTCCGGACAGACCCGCCAACAAATGCTGCGCGCCCAAATTCGAAGTCATGATGATCACTGTGTTGCTGAAATCGACGGTGCGACCTCTTCCGTCAGTCAGCCGCCCGTCGTCCAGAACTTGCAGAAGCGTGTTCCAAACCGACGTATGCGCTTTCTCCACCTCATCGAACAAAACGACAGAATACGGACGCCTCCGCACCGCTTCCGTAAGCTGACCCCCCTCCTCGTGTCCCACGTAACCCGGGGGAGCACCGATCAGCCGCGCGACGCTGTGCTGCTCCATGTATTCGCTCATATCGATGCGAACCAGCTGGTTTTCGTCGTCGAATAGCTGCTCGGCGAGAGCTTTCGCCAGCTCCGTTTTTCCCACGCCGGTCGGGCCGAGGAACAGGAACGAGCCGGTGGGCTGCCCAGGCCTGCTGAGCCCGGCTCGGGACCGAAGCACAGCCTCGGCGACGGCTTGGACCGCCTCGTCCTGCCCCACCACGCGCTCGTGTAAGCGCTGCGCCAGGTGTAACAGCCGCTCGCGATCGTTCTGCCCGAGTCTGGTAACCGGGATACCAGTCCAGCGACTGACGACCTCCGCGATCTGATCCGGACCGACGGTTTCCGTCAGCATCGGCTTCCCCGGGCCTGCCGCGTCGGCTTGCGCCGCCGCGGCGGCCTCCGCCTCCTTCTCGTAGCGCGCAATGGCGGTGTCGAGCTCGGTGAGCGCTCCGTACTTCAGATCCGCGACGCGCGCGAGGTCCATGCGCGCCTCGGCCTCCTGCACCGCGACGAGCACCTCCTCGCGCTTCCGCTGGAGTCGCCGCAGCTCGTCGACGCGCTCCTTCTCCCGCCGGTACCGCATCTGCAGCGGCTGCAGCTTGTCGCGCAGCTCGCCCAGCTGCGCGCGCACCTCCCCCGCGCGCACCGCGCTCGCCTTGTCCTTTTCCTTCTCCAGCGCGTGTAGCTCCACTTCCAGCTGGATGCGCTTCCGCTCGAGCGCATCAATCTCCTCCGGCTGGCTGTCTAGGGTAACCCGAACGTTCGCGCACGCTTCGTCGACGAGGTCGATCGCCTTGTCGGGGAGCCGCCTCCCCGTGATGTACCTTCCGCTGAGCTGCGCCGCGACGACGAGCGCGCGGTCCTGGATGCGCACGCCGTGGTGCCCCTCGTAGCGCTCGCGCAGCCCGCGGAGAATGCTGATTGTATCCGCTACAGACGGCTCCGCTACAAGCACTTGCTGGAAGCGCCGCTCGAACGCCGCGTCCTTCTCGATGTACTTGCGGTATTCTTCGAGCGTCGTCGCGCCGATACAGCGAAGCTGCCCGCGCGCGAGCATGGGCTTGAAGAGATTCGCGGCGTCCATGGCGCCCTCCGTGCGGCCCGCGCCGAGAATCAAATGCATCTCGTCGATGAAGAGAATGATCCGGCCTTCGCCTTCCTCCACCTCTTTAAGGACGGCTTTCACGCGCTCCTCGAACTCTCCGCGGTATTTCGCCCCCGCGACCAGCGCGCCCATGTCGAGCGCAACGAGCCGCACGTTCTGAAGGTTGCTCGGCACGTCGCCGCGCGCGATGCGCTGCGCAAGCCCCTCCGCGACGGCGGTTTTCCCGACGCCGGGTTCGCCGATTAGCACGGGGTTGTTCTTCGTCCTTCGAGAAAGAATTCGCACAACTCGTCGGATTTCGTCGTCGCGACCGATCACGGGGTCGAGTTTCGCCGCAACCTCGACCAAGTCCCGCCCGAATTTCTTGAGCGCTTGGAAAGTACCCTCCGCCGTAGCGCTCTCCACCTTCCGCTCCCCGCGCGCCTGCGCCAGCGCGGCTTGCACCTTCCCCGCATTCACTCCCGCGTCCTTCATCGCCTCGGAGATTTGCGAATCTTCCATCAACGCGAGCACGAGAGAATCGACGGCCAGATGCGAGTCTCCCGCCTTCTTTTGAATCTGCTGCGCCTTTCGCAGCGCCTTCACGAGCGCGGGGTTTGCGTGGATTTCATCTGGCGGAGGTTGCTGCGAGGGGATTTTCTGCAGAAGGCGTTTGATGGCACGTTGGAAGGCTTGAATCGTGTCGCCATCGCCCCTCGGGGAATGACCTGGCGCGGACGCGTTGTAGTTGATGACGCTGGAATGCGCGACGGCGTAGCGGAAAACGCCGTCTTCGTCCTGCAGAAGCGCGAGCGCCACGTGGGCTGGCGTGATTTCCGCGTGGCCGTTGGACTCGGCGAGCTCGCGCGCCGCGACGAGGATTTCGTTGGCCTTGTGCGTGAAGGAGTTCGGATCCATGGCGTTTCAGAGACAGTGACTTTGGAAAATAGAATAATGAAACAAATTCAAGAGTGAAGATAACCACGAGCAGTTGTTAAGAGTAAGTTATTTGCTGAGAACTTTGTGAAGAGCAGTAGATATAGATGCCTTGCAACCTGCTGCTTGGGCTATTTATACTGGGGTTATGAAGAGGGAGCGCTTGCTCGGGCAAAGGGGAGGCGGAATGTTCTGGAAATTGGCGGATAGCGCTCGAAGGAGCTGGACGGAGCGAGATTACAGGGGCGAATTCGGGAAGTCAAAAGCGACTTCGCGAGAATTCGCGAACAATCTTTCTCAGTATTAGACGTAACCAGGAGAGTCTGGGTCACAACCCTGCTTCGACAGTGCCTGAAATAGGTGAAACCGAAAGCGAGGTGTGGAGGTCGAAGAGTGAATTGGTCGCACTTCTTCGCCTATCGTTGGAAAATTGCGATGTAATGTTACCAGGGTCCGCGGCATGGGCTGTGTGTGGGTGAGGGGGCGTGCGCCTGTGTTCTTCCGAGGCGGGGAAGCGCGAGATTCCCGTCACTCTCTTCTCCCTCCTTGATTCGTTGGATGAGTGAATGTTCTCTGATTTGGCAGTTCTTCGAATGTGAAACTTCTCCAACGTGGACATCCTACCTGCCAGCTGGAAACTTACGGGCACGTTGCTGGGTGCTTATGTTGGGGCCGTATCACATTCGCTGGTTATATTTCGACATGTGGATAAATTCACACCAGCGAATGTCATGAAGTTGAAGTGTGACAATGGCTTCCCGGCGTTATAGCAAGTACAGAAAACACAACACGAAGAAATTGACTACTATGAGGTTTTGTGAATTTGTGGCAAGGGCTCACGCGAGTATAATCTAAGGACTTCAAAAATCATAACGAAGTCACCTAATAGTCGTTATCGCGAACAGAAACCTCCGCCGTGCCTGCTTTCCTTGCGGAATTCTCTCTTGATACCAACCAATAGCAAGCAAGCTTACGCCCTCGACTCGGAGCGCCTGGACGAGCCGCACATTTCTCCAGGTGTCGCGACCCTTCGTGACTGTCCTCATGTCCCGTTCGATTGGTCCGACATGCCTCACATGCAGCCCGTTTACGCCACGTGTACGGCAAATTCAAGAGAATTCTTCTTGTCGCTGCACCTTCGCGAAATTCGCCCATGCCATACAGTACTCCTTCCCTTCCCCATCAATCACCTCCCAACCCTCCCACAGCGCCTTTCTGCCGCAGCGACTTCGCCCTTCCCTTCTCCCATGCTCTACTCTGTAACCCCTCTCGTAACCCGTTCTCCCCTCCACGACAGAAAGCCATAACACATCCATCCACCATCCCAGCTTCCTCGACCTTATCCTTTCCAAGCCGGAATCGCACTCCGTCCCGCACAAGGGACACTAGCCTTGGCCGGTTAGCTGTTGGCGACTATGCCTTGCGGGCCCTCCAAGGATCTGTGAAGCCCCTCCCAGAATTCGGGACCGACAGTCGGAGCGTGCTTCCCAAGTGGACCGTCACGCTGCGAGTAGGATTACGTACTTCTACGAGGTGGGGTTCTTGCTTTTTAGGTAACGAGTCTAGGCTATTTGATCTCAAGTCGTGTACAGATCAACCCATTTCGCTTCCCGAAATAGGTCGCGTCCCAAGTTATACTACTTCTGCAGAACAGAAATATTCCTTCCAGTCGGACGTGTGACACAAGTACTTCGTTTAGACGTTGGCAATCAGCGCTGAGCTTTGTTGACTAACAGCTCGGAGCTGTCGACGTATCATGATGATGATGATGTCGAATTCCGCCTTGAGCTTGGGCCAGCCCGATCTGGGTATGAGCGCTCGCCGCAGTTTGCTGGCTTCTCGTAGTAAGCTCCCAGGGCCAGCTGAAATAGTTGTTATAGCTCAAGGCGACAGTTACTCGGTGTCGCCTTCCCGCCGTTAATTCTCTCGTATTATTTCTCGATTAATAATCTATTTTGTTCCAAAATTGCAATACTTCACGAAATATATCCCTTCGATAGAGTTTTTATGCGCGCGAAATCTCCTCCTTTTATCAAGTCACATGTTTATCGGTGCTCTTTTGAGTCGACTAAAAAATTGCGTGAAATGCCCTCCTGACAGGTTCAACGGCGCTCGGAATCGGGAGCTCAAATCGCATGCCGCACCGGGCCGCTTTCAACTCTCTTCGCTCACTTGGAAGCAGTCCCATACACTCTGGCACGGCGCAGGCCATTCCGACAACCAATTCAGAGGCCGCATTCAGTCGTCGCGCTCTCCACGTGCCAGCGTCGGTCCGGCACGTGCCACGGTCCGCTGCATACGGCGCCAGCAGACTGGCGGGCGTAACGAACGAAGACAAAAGCCAGGTGCGTCTCGAAGCTTTTGTATTGCCACGTACGGCCGCGCGAACAAGGGCAGCAGTAAGTTGCGTCGGCACTGACAGCAGGAGTTGCGCCGGTAACGCGGAGAGTAGGAGTGCGGCCGTGGTCCCGTCTTAGATGCGATAAACCTCGCGCCCGAGCTGACAACATTTTAAATGTGCTGTGATGTATTCGGCGTCTCACCCGCTGCTCTACTGTGCATGTCTGTGCGCGTTGACGTGTGTCTCAGGGTAGGAGCGGTGGGTTTATTTTGCCGCTCGGATTTACTGGAAAAACGCGGAGGGGAGGTGCGGTGACTGCCGCGGTTTTTGGTCCGAACGACGCGACAGGTAATGGCGGTTCTGTAAGCTGTCACGCCAGCCGACGAAGAAAGTCAAACGTGATTCACATACGACCCTAAAGGAAAGCTTTTTCTAAAAAAATTTCAACAAAGAAATAGGATGTGATTTAGATGCATTTTGCTCGTCGGCCTCGAATCTTGCGATCGTCTCACCTTGTTCGCCACGCCGTTTTCCGCGCAGGCCGGTCGCAACAATCGCCGCCACCTCGTCGCAAGCTGACGTCATCACCAACTCCTGCCGGGAGAGAGCGAGGTGGCACGGATCGCGACGGACCTCTTGTGGATCGCGCCGGTGCTTCCGTGGCTAAGAGCAGTCCTAGTACTAGGAGCCGCGAGGCTAAGAGCAGCAAGGTTCGCGCGGGTTTGGTTTCCGAGACGGCTGAGGAAGGGCGCGAGGAGGGGCGCGAGAGGCGCGAGGGTCGCGAGGGACGCGACGAGGAGCGAGGCGAACAGGCGACGGAGGCGATGGAGCCGGGTGCGACGGAGAACGATCTTGGGCGACCTTTGCTGTCGCAAGGTGAGTGCGCGTGCCTGTAGATTTTCCTTCCTTTCGATGAGCACCGGGAAAAACAAAAAGAAATTATTCGCGAGGCTATGTGAAATGGCGTGACTGTCTTCCTAGACGTTCTATCCTACTAATACCTAGATCGTTCGTTCGATTCGTTCGGGCTCCACAATCTCGACACACTATGCCACTATCCACATTCCGTGCTGAATTATTGGCAGGTCTGCTGAACAAGGAGAAGCGCGGAGGACGACGGAAGGCTGTGGGAGGGGCAGCGCCGCGAAAGGCTCTGGCATGGCGAGGCGTTTTGCCTCATGTGCTCACTTCGTCAATAATTGCGTTTCTTTTCGGTTACCACATGTCGTAAGTAACACTTTATTTTGGAAAATGAGATTCGTACTTACACACTTCTCCTCATTAGTGTACAGTTTCAAACTATACCATTTTAATATTGTGGAGTGTTTTCGGTGATCTACCCTACTTGTACAATGTGCAGAGTGGTGAATGGACCTTTGGAATCCATGGCTGTCGAGCTGCTGTTTGCCGAAAACGCTCTCGCCAAAGGTAATGTCTCTATGGCAATAAGTAGCAATCTTCCATGCTATTGTAGTTAATATGGCGCTTGCATTGTATTCCATTTTGACAATTTCCTACAAGAATTTATTTTTCTTCCCTGTGCAGCTTCAGCTGTCAATGTCTTTCATTTGAGGTACAACTTCTTTAGCATGCACAGTAACAAATCCCCCCCCCCCCCCGCCCCCCCTCCTCCCCCATGTGCAGCTTCTGTCGTCAGTGTGTTTTTGCTTGGAGCATTCCTCGGTTGTTCCGCCAGCAGCACGGTGGCTGACAGCGCCGGCAGGAAGAAGGGGTTTCAGATCTGCAGCGTGCCCATTCTGATTGGCTCCATTCTTTGGTGGGTGCGCTTCTTAGATACCACATTCATTTTCTTGTTGGGTTTCATAACTTCTATGCCTTGGGGCTATTGATTTTAGTCTGATATTTGCTGATTGGACATTTTGTCTCATCTTTATTTGATCTAATTGTGTGTGTAACCCACCAGTGCTATGGCATCATCACTATCTCTGGTCGTTACCGGCCGTTTCCTTCTGGATTTTTGAGTTACTCAAATTCCCTTCTGTCCCCTCTATTTCCCCTCCAACCCTCTGTGCACAACACACGTGCTTGAACCACCAGTGCCATGGCGTCATCTCTGTCGCTGGTCGTCACCGGCCGGTTCCTGCTGGGCTTTGGACTGGGCATGGCCATCCCCATCATGGCTCTCTACATTCCTGAGGTGTGTGTGTAGCGCCGCATGCGTTTCTTCCGTCTTCTCTGCGTCAAATTAAAAGTGTTCTCTCTTTTGTCTTTTGAGTCCGCGTCAGCCACTCCCTCCTGGGATTTGGGTTGGGCATGGCCATCCCCATCATGGCGCTCTACATTCCCCAGGTGTGATTCTTTTGTATTTCGGTCAGCTCAATTAATGTGTTTTTGTCAACTAAAAGTTAGCTGGCTCTTCCTGGGCTTTGGGATGGGCATGGCCATCCTCATCATGGCCCTCTACATTGCCGAGGTGCGTTTTTTCCATCTCTCTGCGTCGAATCATAAGGCGCATCGGCCTTTTAGCTGTGCTGCTTGCACCCACTCGTGTTGTTGTATTAGGTGCCCAATATTCAATCTTTTCAGCTCCGTTTTTTCCCATTTCTTCTCTCTACAGAACTCGCCACCACAGCTGAGGGGCACGTTTGGCGCCATCCCTCAAGTCCTCTCCTCACTTGCACCAGCATTCTGGCTGCCCTGCTTGCACCCACAGTTGGTGTATGAGGCGCCAACCTTTCAGCTCGTTTCTTCCTTTTCTTCTGCAGATCTCCCCACCGCAGCAGAGGGGAACGTTTGGCGCTATCCCCCAAGTCCTCACATGCACCGGCATTCTGGCTGCCCTGCTCGCTGCTGCTCTCCTGCCCGCCTCATCGTAAGCTACCTCCCCACTCTTGCTGCTTGGTGCACTGAGCTTGCTACTCGCAGCTACTGCACACAATAAGTGCTGTTGCTTGCTTGCTATTACCTTGTCGCTTCTCCCCCCCCTAGCCTCTGCTCTTCCCCTTGAGGCGTGAAATGAGGGAGTTTTTGAGACGTCTCAAAACCCCCCTAGCCTCTGCCCTGCTCCTGGAGGCGCATATGCTTCTTGTTTGACATGTCGTGTCTTTCCTTGCATCTTTCTTTCTCTTACCTCACGTGCAGGTGGTGTTTGTGCTTCTGGATCGCTGCAGTGCCAGCAGCGCTGTTCTCCCTGAAGACGCATGTTCTCATTTCTCAACTCTTTCTCACCTCCTCCTCACCTCCTGCTCCTTCTCATGTGCAGGTGGCGCATGTGTTTCTGGATTGCTGCAGTGCCAGCAGCACTCTTCTGCATGGCGTGTGAATTCCTGGTGGACAGCCCCAGATGGCTGGCGCAGGTGAGAAGAGGGAACGATTTGAGAGTGAAGGGTGGTGGTATGCTAAGGATTCAGACACAGCCCCCATCAAAGTCAGCAGGCAATAGCGCCAGTCCCAGTGACAGCTGGCACGGTGCTGTTCTGCATGGCATGTGTATTCCTGGTGGACAGCCCGAGATGGCTTGCGCAGGTGAGAAGATGGGACATGGTGGGGCATGCGCATGGTGGAGAGGTGGTATGGTATGATTGAAATGAGATCATCATTAGAACAGAAGCTATTGTTGAGGCGGCCCAATAGAGGGTGACATGGTAAGGCATGGAGTGGCGGTATGGTATGGTATGATTGAAACGTATCATCCTTGGAAGCAGGCATACAAGGATGTAGACTGGCACTTACCATCCTTGGCAGCAGTGCCAGTCTCCATCTCAACTCACCCTCTCTTCTCCCCCACTCTCCCCAACCAGAAATGCAAGTGGGCAGAAGTGGCAGCGGCAGTGAGCAGCTGTTGAAAACCCACCATGGATGATCATCCATGAGAGGAGAGTGGGGGAGTAGATAGGGGTTTGACCATGATCCTTCTGCGGAGGCAGTCAACTCCTCTCATCTCCCCCTATCTACTCCCCCACTCTCCCCCACCCCCCTGCCCTCCCACTCCTTCCAGCATGGGAGATGGACGGAGGCAGAAGCAGCAGTGGGACAACTATTGGGTGAGGCAAAGGTGAAAGAAACCATGGAAGATTTGCACCACTCGTTTGGGGGAAGAGGCAGCAGGGGGCATGGCGCAGGGTGGGAGGAGGCTGCTAAAGGGGAAAGCAAGGAGGGGAAGGGGGAGCAGCAGCACGCGGGGTACACAGTGCTGGAGAAGGGGAAGGGGGTGGCTGTGGCGGGGAAAGGGGAGGAGGAAGGTGTGGTTGAGAAGGTGACGTGGCGAAGCCTCTTCTCTAAGCGATACGTGCACGGTGAGTAGCACAATCGGTGCGTGCACATGTGTGAGGTGAGTAGCACAATCGGTGCGTGCACATGTGTGAGGTGAGTAGCACAATCGGTGCGTGCACATGTGTGAGGTGAGTAGCACAATCGGTGCGTGCACATGTGAGTGAGGTGACACGTGTGTGAGGTGACACGTGTGTGAGGTGACACGTGTGTGAGGTGACACGTGTGTGAGGTGAGTAGTGAACTTTTGAGGCGTGTCAAAAGGTTGGCTGAAGGAGGTGGGAGCGGTTGAGAAGGTGACGTGGCGAAGCCTCTTCTCCAAGCGATACGTGCGCGGTGAGTAGCACTCCAACCATTTTCTGACACGTGTAGTAGGGTAATTGGCACCCAGGAGGAATCGGCCCTCGTGTACTGTTGGTAACGCTCATATTTGTTTTTACCCACTGACAGCTCAGCAGCTTCAATGCCAGTCTTCTGCTCCTCGGGAATCACCTTTGAGAATTCTCAAAAGTGATTCCCTAATGAATCAGCCCTCGTGTACTGTTGGTAACGCTCATATTTGTTTTTACCCACTGACAGCTCAGCAGCTTCAATGCCAGTCTTCTGCTCCTCGGGAATCACCTTTGAGAATTCTCAAAAGTGATTCCCTAATGAATCAGCCCTCGTGTACTGTTGGTAACGCTCATATTTGTTTTTACCCACTGACAGCTCAGCAGCTTCAATGCCAGTCTTCTGCTCCTCGGGAATCACCTTTGAGAATTCTCAAAAGTGATTCCCTAATGAATCAGCCCTCGTGTACTGTTGGTAACGCTCATATTTGTTTTTACCCACTGACAGCTCAGCAGCTTCAATGCCAGTCTTCTGCTCCTCGGGAATCACCTTTGAGAATTCTCAAAAGTGATTCCCTAATGAATCAGCCCTCGTGTACTGTTGGTAACGCTCATATTTGTTTTTACCCACTGACAGCTCAGCAGCTTCAATGCCAGTCTTCTGCTCCTCGGGAATCACCTTTGAGAATTCTCAAAAGTGATTCCCTAATGAATCAGCCCTCGTGTACTGTTGGTAATTTTTTACCCACTGGCAGCTCAGCAGCTTCAATGCCAGTCTTAAAATGATTCTTAAAAGTGAATCTTAAATGAATCGGCCCTCGTGTACTGTTGGTAACGCTCATATTTGTTTTTACCCACTGGATGGAAGCTTAGCAGCTTCAATGCCAGTCTTCTGCTCCTCCTCGCATTACTCCTCAGCATCCCATCCCTTCCCTTCCCTTCCCTCTCCTTCCCACAATCTCTTCCCCCTCTTCCCAGTGGTCACCACAGGAGCCACATTATTTGCTCTGCAGCAGCTGAGCGGAATCAACGCTGTATTCTTCTTCTCCTCACAAATCTTATTCTCTCTTCATTCCCTCCTTTCTTCTGTGTCCCCAACCTTCCAGTGGTCACCATCGGAGCGACCCTCTTTGCCCTGCAGCAGCTGAGCGGAATCAACGATGTCTGCTTCTTCTTCTCGCACCTCTCGTGATTGTTGTTCACCTATCCCTTCCCTCCGGTACCTCCGTGTCGCCCTATTCCCTCCCCCCCCCCTCTCCCCTCCCTCAGTTGTCACCATCGGAGCGGCTCTCTTCGCCCTGCAGCAGCTGAGCGGCATCAACGCCGTATTCTTCTACTCCTCCTTATTCGCTCTTACTTCCCTCCCTCCCTTCTTCTGTGTCCCTAAACCCCCCAGTTGTCACCATCGGAGCGACCCTCTTCGCCCTGCAGCAACTCAGCGGCATCAACGCAGTATTCTTCTTCTCCTCGCACCTCTTCAAGTCGGCCGGCATTCACTCCGGCGCCCTGGCCAGCGTTGCCATGGGCACACTGAATCTCGTTGGTAAGTTCACTGATACTTACAAGGCCCACCTCACCTCTCCCTGCTGCCTCCTTGCGTCCTTCAAGCCAGCCGGCATTCAGTCCGGCGCCCTGGCCAGCGTTGCTATGGGCACGCTCAATCTCGTTGGTAAGCTGCTGTGCATGCATGGACTTTCAGGTTCAATTTCGCTGCACCCCGCATCCAGTGCCGCCGACCCAGCCTTTACCACTCCACTTCCTTAACCCTTTCCTTCAATCTCCCCACAGCCGCACTGGTGTGCTCTGCTCTCATTGACCGTGTCGGCAGAAAGGCCTTCATCACAGGGAGCTCTGTTGGCGTTTAAGTCCCACAAGGCTCTCACAACTCATACTTTCCTTTCCTTGCCTTCCATTCCTTTTCTTCCTTACTCTCTCGTGCAGCATCGCTGGTGTGTTCTGCTCTCATTGACCGTGTTGGGAGGAAGGCCCTCATCACAGGAAGCTTCGTTGGCATGGTGAGTGCATTATCACTCCCTTCTCTAATCTTCTGTCTAGGGAACTTACGCAAAGTTTCAAGATTCGAATCCTTTTAAGTTGCTACTGCTGCTGTTGCTTCTTTTAGATTGCGTTGCCCTGAATGGCACCCATGGTTTACCTGTTAGTTGATGCCCTCTTTCTTGATCCCTCTCTCCCTATTCTCTTTCTTCTCCTCTGTCGCCTTTCCCAATCAGGGCCTGTGCATGGCGGTGCAAGCAGCAGCGCAGGTTCTACCCTGGATGACCCCGGCAGCACCGCTCATAACGCTCACTGCAACCCTCGTGTGAGTATCACTTGGTGTGGTTGAAAGGGGTTGAGTGTGGCTGAGTGTGGCAGTGGGGCTCAGTGGGGCTGAATGCGGTTTATTGCGGTTTGCGGCACTTTGTATGACAATTCAAGTCCAACCTTCTCCACATGGCACTGCCTGTCACGCACACTGACATGCTTGTGTCCCCGTCGACTTTTGAGGCGCCTCAAAAGTTTTGGGGCGCATGTCACGCACACTGACATGCTTGTGCCCCAGGCGAAGTTGCAAAGTATATATGACATTAACTCAGAATCACCCACTCAATACGACCCTTTCCCTTCCTCCATCTCCCCTCTCACCAGTTATGTGGCTTGTTTCACCATGGGAGCCGGGCCTGTGCCGGGCCTGATGCTGCCTGAGATGCTGCCGAACCACATCCGAGCCAAGGGCATGGCCTTTGCCATGTGTGTGCACTGGGTGAGTGCATGGTGTATGGTCTATGGTGTATGTATGGTGTATGCTATATGGTGTATGGGGCATGGGGTATGGGGGCCTGTGATGTGCTGGTGCTGCCTGAGACGCTTCCCAACCCAACTGCATCCGAGCAAAGGGTATGGCAATTCCCGTGTGTGTGCACTGAGTAAGTGCATGGTTAAGTGTATGTTTATGGAGTAAGTTGCGTGAGGTTTGGGCTGCCTGAAATGCTTCCGAACCACATCCGAGCCAAGGGCATGGCCTTCGCCATGTGTGTGCACTGGGTGAGTGCATGGTGTATGTGGAATAGGGAATGGAGTAAGGCGTATGGTGCAGCAGGCACTGGGATGTATGGGGTATGCAACCTCATGGTCAGATTCTCCTACCTGCCTCTCATGGTCCACTTCGGCCCAACCACCACCCACTTCTCCAGAGTCACCCCAGCCCTCTTCCCATATGTTTCTTTTTCTCCCTTCCTCACCAGGTCTTCAATTTCATGGTCGGTTTCTCCTTCCTGCCTCTCATGGTCCGATTCGGCCCGGTCACCTTGTTTTCTTTCTTTGCCTGCGTATGCTTCGGTGGTGCACTCTTCACCAGCACCTCCCTTGTCGAGACAGCGGGTCGCTCTTTAGAGGAGATAGAGGAGCAGCTGCTGCCTCCGGCCTAGGGATGGCCATCTTAATGGCTCCTGTGTTTCGCCTTACCGGTACATATGCAGATGTCTGAATCTGTAACTTTCGTTCTATTAGAAGCAAGCCTGGAACAGGCACATGATGGGCGGGTGTTGATACGGTGAAACGAAGCAATGTACATATGTACACTATGTATCATATATCGCATAAAGTGAGTATCAGCTGGTTATAATCCTCATTACAACAATTACGGTATATGAAAGAGCATACCAGCGGTAGCTGTTCATGACATGGTTTTTGAAGCCTAATTTGTTCAGATATGAAGTTAACATTCAGTTAACACTTCCTAAAGAGGCAACACCCCTATGCTGAAATATTTGCACTTCCCTCATGTGTAAGAAACAAAACAAAACAATACTGTTCCCATTATACATGTGCAGCAGGCCTCCACCCTTGCACCACGCACATGCTTTCACATGTGTTTCATACCTTTAGGCAAGGGCACATGCATGCACCTGCACACATTTCACAGCATCTACCACCTGTTTCCAACAAACTTAGCTCCCTCCACCACCTCATCTCATCCTGATAGGACCCATTGATCAGAATCCTTGTTTTTCGCTTCTCCTCCTGCTGCTCTTACCACTGCCAGATCCATACTTCCCAGCCCCCCCTGCCCCTCCCCCTCTCATTTCCATAGCCTCCATCCGTGCAGCCAGCACTGCCAGCTGCGAGCTGTAGTGATGCGCCACTGCATATGTCACAGAGCACTCATCTCGCTATTGCATCCCTATCTGCCACCGCCCCTGACTTTTAAGGCGCCTCGAAAACACTGCCAGCTGAGAGCTGTACTGAGCCGCCACTGTATATGACGCAGAGCACTCATCTCGCTATTGCATCCCTATCTGCCACCGGCCCTGCTGCCCCTCCTGCTGCTCTTCCCACTGCTGAAACCATGCTTCCCAGCCGCCCCTCCCCCTCGGATTCCATTGCTTCCATCCGAGCAGCCAGCACAGGCAGCTGACAGCTGTAGTGATCCTGAGGGGATGCAGACACCTGCATTGCCCCTGCCGCTCCTCCTGCTGACGCCCTTGCCATATCCCCTGCCGAATCCGTTGCTTTATCTGCGGCTTCCCCTGCTGCCTCACTGGATGGGTTGATCGCAGCTGCTGCATCAGGAAAGGTCCTCCTGTTCTTGCTGCTGCTCTTGCTCCTGCTGCCGCTGCTGCCCTTGCTGCTGTTGCTACCGTTTCTGGAACTGCTGGCAGCATCAGCAGAAACAGCAGCAGCAGCGGCTGCAGCCATCTGCAGTGCTTGCATCCAGAGGGCATAGGACTCACGGTCCAGCCTGGATGGGATATACAAGTGAAGAGAGAGAAGATAGTGGATGCAACGGCAAAAGAAAGGAAGCAAATGAGTGGCAGTGGCATGGCAGTATCACCAGCAGCAGCAGAGGCAGCCATCTGAGACGGCTTGTATCCAGAATGCATCGGAGTCACGGATAAGCCTGCAAAGGATGGCCCAGCGACCACAGAAGCCAGGGCAATGGCAATCAGAGGCGGCAGGGGGGTGTGTCTCAGCATCTCAGCATGCACCATTGCTTCGCTCCTGCTGGCTCTTCTTTCTGCTGCCTCCATCGCCCTGACGGCATCAGTGGGTCTACCAGCAGAAATGCAGCCAGATGCAAAGGCGTTGAGAGCAGCAGGGGAGAGGGGGAGTGTGAGGGTGTCATGGCCTCTCACCCTTGCCTGCTCACCTGCCAGCGCGTCTCTCTGCTGCCTCCATCGCCCTGACAGCATCAGTGGGCCGCCCAGCAGAAACGCAGCCCGAGGCAAAGGCGTTGAGTGCAGCAGGGGAGAGGGAGAGGGCAGCTGCCTCGCACTCTGCCACGTATCGACTTGCTGCCTCCACTCGACCCACCTTGCTGCAAGAGGAATATGTGGGCAATGCAAGTCATAATGGGAATGAATGAGAACCAAGGCAAAGGCGTTGAGTGCAGCAGGGGAGAGGGAGAGGGCAGCTGCCTCGCACTCTGCCACGTATCGAGATTCTGCCTCCCACTCTTCTTACCTTGCTGCGAGGGGGAACACATGTAGATTGTGCAAGAAGGTCACAGGGAAACCAGGTATTGAGTTGAGCGCAGCAGGAGAGAGGGAAAGAGGGAAAGAGTGACCTAAATACCAGAGCTGGTAGGCAGGGGATGAGAACGATGGATGAGTGTCGATGGATGAACTATCTCGGGGATGAGTCAGTGTCGGAAGCACCTACCAGACCTCATTACCAGAGCTAACTACAAGAGCTAATTAGCTTACCAGAGCGTGAGAACCACCGAGGAGAACGAGACAGCGTCCGGAGCAACCCCTCTGGCCTTCATGCCTTCAAACTCGCGCTCCACACTCTCACTCATGCCCTCCCGCCCATACACACTCATCATCACGTTATGAGTCACCACGTCCCCCCCCACGCCCTCCCTCATCTCCCCCCTCACCCTCTCCGCCCTCTCCACCCTCCCCAACCGCCCGTACATCCCCAGCACCGCATTCCACACCACCAGATCGGGCACATGCCCCATCCCCCGCATCCTCTCTAATGCCACCTCAGCCTCCCCCACACACCCACACTTGCAAAACGCCAAAACCAGCGACTTGTGCACCTCCCAGGGGCACCTGGGGGAGGTAGATCTGGGAATCTTCCCGGTAGCTTCCAGCCGGGAGACCGCGTCTAGAAGCCGGCTTGCATCACCAGCTGCAGCATACGCGTGAATAAGACAAGAGTAAGCGAGCGCATCGGGGGCGTAACCGGTTCGTCTCATTGTCTCGATGGTGCTTTCGGCTTCTTCCCATAGGCCTTCGCGTGATTGGGCAGCAAGAAGAGCAATATACGTGGCAGTGTTAGGCGTGTGCCCGGCACACTTCATCGCTTCGAAGACCGCTGCTGCGTCAGCGGCTGATCCGCACCGTCCAAACGCGTCGATCAGACCGTTGTAGGTGCGCCGATTCGGGCGGCAGCCGGATCGCCGCATCGCCTCTACTGTAGCCTCGACTTTCGGCAGCATCTGCGCCTGGCCGTAGCAGCGAATCAGGGTGTTCCACGTCACCACGTCGGGCTTGATCCCGCTCGCTGCCAGCTCATCCATGACCCATGCCACGTCAGCAAAGAGCTTGTTCTTCCCGTAAATATCCAGGAGGATATTCAAGGTGAAAAGGTTTGGGAAACAGCCCTGCTCTAGCATGGTCTGGTAAGTTTGTCTCACTTTTTCAACCTGCCCGCCCTTCCCGTACGCTGCAATCAGGGCAGTGTAGGAAAACACATCCGGTTTAGGAGGGAGAATAAGATCCTCCTTACTATCCTTCTTCCTCGAAGCTTCTTGCACTGACCCCCCAACCCTTGCCCCTGCCTTCTCGCTCCCTCCCTCCTCCCTCTCCGCGCTCCCACTCTCAACTACACTACTCACCCCTTCTTTCCTCCTTTCCGCCACCCCTTTCCCCACCACCAATCCTCCCTCTACCTTATCCGCCCCAACCATCGCTTTCCCCTCCCTTTTACCTTTCCCCTTCGCCTCCCCTTCCCCCTTCCCCTCCTCCTCCCCCTCCCCTTCCCCCTTCCCCTCCCCCTCCACATCCCCTCCGCGGAGCATGGACTCCACAATCCCCCTTGCCTCGCGCCACAGCCCCTTGCGCGCGCACGCGCTGATCATCTCGTTATAGGTCACCAGATTCGGCCGCACGCCCGCTGCCAGCATGGATTCCAGCACCGAATGGGCGAGTGCCACGTGGCCTGCCTTCCCATACACGTCCAGCAGTGCGTTGTACGTGACACGTGTCGGTTTCAGCCCTGCCGCCCGCATCTCGGAGAAGATTCGCTCCGCTTCTTGGATGTACTGGGCGGCACTGCTGCTAACACTATAGCTGCTGCTGCCGCTGCTGGAACTGTAGCTGTCATTTGTCGTGTTGTGGCTGGTACTGTAGCCAGTGTCACTATCGCTACTGTCACTGCTGCTATCTGCTGCTGCTGCAGCTTCTGCCAGGGATGCTGAAACTGCTGCTGCTGGTAGCCCTTCCTGTGCTACTAACACCCCCTTCCCTCCCTCCCATGTTACCACTACGGATCTTGCTCCTGCTGCTGGCGCTGCTGCTCCTGCTGCTGGCCTAGCTATAGCCGTTGCAGCAGCTGTTACCGCCGCTGCTGCTGTCACTGTTCCTGCCGCCGCTGCTGCTGTTCCCGCCGCCGGTCCCGTCACGGCAGGAGCAACACAAGGCGCATCCCCCGCCTCCTCATTCGCAATCGCATCAGCACACGCGGAAATCATCGTGTTATACGTATACTCATCGGGCGTCAATCCAACGGTCCGGATCTCCTGCAGCAGCGCCGCCATGTGGTGAAAGCACCCGCGCTTGCGCGCGTACGCGGCGAGCACCACGTTGAATGTGACTATAGAGGGCGCCACGCCCGCGTCCGCGCGCATCGAGTGGAAGAGCGCGATCGCGTCGTTGAAGCGCCCCGCGCGCGAAAGCGCGCTCATCATCGCGGTGTACGCGTATACATCGAGCGCGCACCCGTCCGCCACGAGCGCGCGGAACAGATCGTCCGCTTCCTGCGGCAAGAACGACGGGTTGGGGGGAAAGGGGTCGGGGGGAGAAGGGAGGGTAGAGGAGAGTTGAAGCGCCCTCCGCGCGCGAGAGAGCGCTAATCATGGCGGCGTACGCGTGTATATCGAGGGGGCACCCGTCCGCAACTAGCGCGCGGCCCCCTCCGTCGTTACACTCACATTCGGCCGGTCGCATCGGCTCAGTATGCGCAGCACCAGCGACACCATCGGGTTCCCGCGCTCCCGCCACGCCTCTTCCCCTTCCGCGCAGCTTCCGCCGATCTTTCCGCACCCGCGCGCCCAATAAAACACCGCAAGCGCATCGCGCCACCGCCCCTTGTTCCCCAACCCCTTCAGAATCGCCATTATATCACTCGCGGATATCTCCCCCGACGATTCCCCTTCCCCTTTCTCCGCCATTTCCCCGACCTTTCCGCGGAGCTCCAGCGCGCGTCCGCCCTCATCGCATCCGGGACCATCCGCACGCCCATCGCCCGCCCGCCCCTGCTCCCGCCTCGACCACCGATCCACTCTCCCAAAGCTCCCCGCCCTCCCCTGCTGCCTCTCCGCCTCCGCTTCCGCAGATGCGCTGAGCACACGTTCCGCCTTCCCCCGCTCCCCGTCCGCGCCGAGCAGCAACCGGCGGAACGCGCGCTGGCCGGCGGGGGAAATCCCCGAATTCCACGGCTGCCCCAGCCGCCGCTCCTTTCCCAGACGCACCCTCCGTCGATGCCCCTCCTCCTCCTCCTCGTCAGTCAAACTCCCCCCGTCTTCCGCCCGGGTTCCACCCTGCTCCCACCGCTGCTCCGCCTGCCCGCTTTTGCGCCTCTGCACTTCTCCGCTCCGCCCGCTGTCGTCCCCTTTTCCTCCGCGCGTGGCGTCAGCGGAAGGCGCCAGGCGGAGGACGCTGGAAATCGCCCCCGCGGTCTGCGTGGTAACACGGGCGCCCCGTTTCGCTCCTGCACCGACATTCTGCGCGAACACTGGCGACGAATCGCGAGTTGTCGCGCATTCCACTCGATTCATCGCATTGGGTCGCAACAGCGACGGTTTCCGCGACCGAAACAATAGCGCAGTCGCAGCAGCAGCCGCAGCGGTGGCGTCGCTATTCGAGCCGCTCTGACGATCATGCGAGCCAGGACTCAACTGCGAAACTGCCGCGAAGGCACTAGCCCCGGCGGCTTCAACCGCGGGGATCACGGCGCCGGACGCGCCGGAAAACGTGGGCGCGATCGCGTCTCCGTCTGCAACGGCGGCGGCGGCTGTGGCAGCGGTGGAGGAATGCTGGCTGTGTCCGCGATAAGAACTGGACGCTGTTAAAAGCGAAGATATTGGCGAGGCGGTACTATGGTGTACGAGGCGTGACGGCGACGCGGCAGCTCCAGACGGGAGTGAGTGGCTGGAATGTAGATGGCGAATGGAAATCGCTGTCGGAAGAGCGGGAATGGATGCGGAAAGCTGTGGCGGAATGATGGCGACTGGCGGAGGAAACGCCATCGTGGGAGCAGACCCCTCCCACTGTCGCCTAGGCTTGTGCTTGCGAGTGGACTCACAAGCCGAGGAGTCGACTCGCAGAGACCGATCGACTAAGAAACTCGACCTTACGCACCGTCGCGCACGCTTCTATCGCGGAAGGCCACACGCTCCGACGCTGCGAAACGAGTGATTTCGTTGAATCGTCAGGCGCCACGGCTCGATGGCTGAACCAGCCCTGACCTAAGGAGCTACGCACACATTTTTCAGGGCGTTTGTGGAGAAATGATGATTGTTGGAGGTGAGGGGAGAGGGTTTGGGAGTGGGATGGTGAGCAAGAGAAAATGTCAAGGTGTGGAGGGATGCTGCGGGGTTTAGGGACGAGTGTGCAAGAAGGACGATAACGAAAGAGTCAACGAGTGGTTACCGAGAACAAATCAAATTCGCATAAGAGCTTCGGATTGCGGGAAATCCTGGGCTACGGGGCGACGCGGACGTGGCACTTTGGTTGAGATTGTGTACAGGCAAATCTATAACGAGGATTACCCGATTGGAGCACTTTCGCTAAGACGAGAGAGTTCCGAACATAGCAATGTTATGACCCATTTCTATTGAGGATGGTAGGCCTCGATATCAGGGAAGATGTTCCTGATATAGAGAATGAATGATGGCAGAAGTTTGCTTTCCAGCTGGTGAACTGGCCGTTTGTAGGCTGGTTCCCCCAACCATTTAACGGTACCACTACCCCATTTTTGAAAATTGGCGGGCATATTAAATCAGTTTGCTGGCCAATCCCAACAACATGCGACCCATTAATACATTCAGGCGCAATCAGCAACCTCTTCACTAAATGCTCTACATTCTACCACTGTACAACCCTACATATCCACAGAAACAGTGACATCGCTCAGGCCCATCATATGTACAGCACGCTTCATAACCAATTCAGACTAAGTAAATCCTCCTCGCCCACTTCACACATTATTCTTCAAACAGCCTTAGACCCATCATCCTCGCAGCAAGACTCTGTTCCAAAGACAGGCTCTGCAAATTCCTTTCCCGCACTCCGTGTTCCTGGTGAGCAGACCACACACGCCGGAATGTCCCGACACTTGCACGAATCGACGCTCACGCTAGCAGCCTCGCCTGGAGACACGCCATAGCCGGATAGAGACGCTGGATTGGACGAGAGATTCGGCGCATGTATGGCGCAGGTGCACTGATGATGATGCTGCAGATTCTGTGGTTTCGTAACAACCTTTGCTTCTTCCATGGCGTTAGACTGTCACGGTTACAAAAAGGAAAAGGAAGGCACACCATTAAAAGAAGACAGTTGGCAAGAAAAAACATGTCGACTTGTTCATGACGGGCCTTGTCAGAATGCTACAGAAAGTGGATACCCTGACGTAGCTCTTTATTATCCAGGAAGCACGACGCGGGAGATAAATGATGCGCTCCAGCTCGTATGAATTAATTGAAAGACGGCGGAGGAACAAAGCGCTTACCTTTGACAGGAACAGTGACGGCGGAAAATCCAACAAATAACGGAAATCACGTCGGGGTGCTTTTAACGAATCGCGATTGTAAGTTGGAACCCTGCTGGCGTAACTCGAACTACATACACGAATCGTGTCGCTGAAGTCTCGTGCTGCGTGCTACTTACTATAGTCCCTGACCTACTAAGGAAGCTTGTCAACTCGACAGATGATTGTCCGCAAGACTCTTGAAAGCTCAGCCCCATTTTGCGGTGAGCGGTGAACTTCAAATGTCAAATGTCAGCTCAGGTCGCATCGAAACGTGGCATCGCTGGGGAGTTTGGCTTGAATTGCTGACGTGTTATGAGGATGCTGGATGAAGCATGTGATGACGATGTTTTGGATGCCACCACCTTCAAGAGTCGTGGCACAGACAAATCATGAGTCACCCATCCATACTCTCCAAAAGCATCTCCGGGATTCCGACGAGGTGCATAACGTTTGTACAGCTGATGCTCACCCCATGCACGCGAATTTGCCTTGCGCCGGATGGATACGCTGCACCCGAGGTTGTTTCCCCAGCCTTATGCACCTACATTACAAGCGCGTCGCGTGGTTATCAACCAATAGTAACGAACAGACCGAAGTCAAACTAGGTACAGACCGAAGTCAAGCAGAAGAGACTGAAGTCAATTTAGGTTACAGATCTTGTTTATAAGCACATGCGAATCCTTTTTAGCTAGCTGCGAATTGACGAAACTTATGCGAAATGCTCGTGACAGCTTATACGCCCCCTTCATAAGGCAACCGGGAGGGGCTCAAACAGGCATCAGGTGTAGTGCAGCCGTTGGTCTTTGGTTCAGCGGTTTGATAACGGTTCTTCTCCTCCCCTCTTCTTCCGTCCCCCAAGCTGGCGGTTTTGCTACTGTAGTTGCGCCGAAACCAAACAGGCTCCATGCTGGCACATTTTGTCTGCCCCCTGCACTTGCAGGGCACTGTGTCCCTGAACGAGTCAACGAGCAGACTGGTGATAGAGTCGTTCGTTCTCGGTTACAATCTGTTCCGTAAACACGTATGTAACTCAAAGTGACATCAGGGTTCGCAGAAAGCTGGAACAAAGGAGTGACATTGCTTGAATGTACAGCGGGAGTAACCCGAGTCGTGTTCCAAAGTTGAGGGCTGGGTTGGGTTCAGCAGAAACGGATGAAACCACGGACCCGACTTGGGTCTACCTTCAGAGCGGCAGCACTTCACTTGAACTGACTTGTCGCTGGAAATGACCTGACACCTGAATGGTGCTGCACCCAGATTCTTTGAAATTTGAGGTCATTTGAAGTTTGAATCGGGCCAAGACGATGATGCAGCACAATCGAATCATCCGACGTGTGTGTGCGGTGCGGTGCCCAAGCCCAGGCACCAATGTCTTTTATGAAACCGTTTTTAATTGGCGTGAGACAAAACGAACCGCCATAGCTTTGCCAGACCAGCCATAGCAAAGCTCAACCAACCAGACTCTCCCTCAAACCTCCGCAAACCGTCACCAAAGTTGATGACCAAACCACTAGGTTCCGCCGAATACGCACCTGTCGCGGTGGTCCGGCGAGAGAGCCCTAGCGTGCTCTCGCCCTCCTACGTTCGGAAATTCAAAGAACGAGTCAACGGCAGCAACCGCACGATTTGTTTCGATCTTGCTGTTTTCCCAACCTCCACCCTGCAGCACCGCAACTTTCCTGCCATCGCTCCTTCCTCGGACCAACCAGTTTCCCCTCCCTCCCTCATCGCTCTTTTGCTGTTTTTGCTTTTGCTGTTTTTTTTGGTACGTTTCTCGAAGCGGGGAAGTAGTTTGGTTGTCCGCCGCCTTCTTGTGCTTCTCGGCTGTCATCATCTTCTGTGCCCCCATTCGTTTCTGGTTCCGATTGTCCGAGGCGCTTTCCCTGCAGTGCATTTCCACCTCGTTCGACCTTAGTTAGAGGGAGTTCGTTGTGCGTTCACTCAAGTACCTTACGTTCCTCTGCTTTCTAGTTCACGCATCCTAGCATCATCTTGCACGCAGCACCAGCAGCTTTCGCTCAGATAGAAGATTGTCAGCATGGGTCCAAGGCATCCAATCACGCAACCTTCGGCCGCACAGTCAAAGTCGCGGTCATTCATTCGAGCAGACTCCCCAGCCGCGTTCCGCGCATACACCGAATCCGCCGCTCCTCCGATTTCTCCTGACACACCTATCCGTTCCTCTGATTACTCCTCAACGGGTTTCTCGTCTCGCCGCAACACGTTGGACGTGCTGAGTCGACGAGCCATGTCGGGACCGATCGAGAGATCCCCGGCGTGCATCCCTTTTTCCTTCTCCCGTAGTAACGTGCTTCCCAGCCCGCTGGAGCCTTCCGCGTCGCTTCCCGCATCGTTCCGCACGACGAGCGCACATCCTGCAGCAGCGATCCCCCTCGCGACTGCGTCGCGCGATACTTGCGCTAATTCTGTCGCACATTCGACAGTCAGTCGTCGTCCAGCGACTCAGCGGAGCGGTCCTATTTCGCAGCCGTTTAACGAAGCCCACAGATCGCTATACCGCAGATCGCCAGTCGCGGTTTCAAACCCTATTGACAGCGATCTTGACGAATCCCGTAAATCCATGTCAGGTCCCATCAAACCCTCAGCATCAGCGTCGATTTCGCGATCCTTTCTCCCTGCCGATTCCACTCAATCTGGGCCCATAAGTTTCTCTTCACATCTTGCCAGCCCAAGGAACGGATCCCGACCGTCCACATGTTATGACGCAACATCGTCTGGTTGGGAGCAGCCATCGGCCCGTTCACACGGTCGGCGTGTCCGATTCGCTGACGAAGTGCTGTCGGAGGACGTCAGGGCTGACGGAAACGAGAACTCGATGATTGAGACACGAAAGCAATTTCGTTTGGTGTCTACCCGCACATCGTTTTCTGGGCAGCATCTAAATGTAAATATTCCGAGAAGGTGGTCCAGCATAAGCCAGTCAACGGCCGCCTTTGCTCTGCCCCCTCCGCCTCTGTCTGCAGTGGGAGCCCCGTCAACACCTCCTGCCATAGTCACCTAATGTATTCTTGGAGGACAATGAAAAGAGGACCCTATCGCTTCATATATGAAGCCTAATTTTGAAAAGTGCAATTATTAAATACTGGTCTTGTTTCTTACGATGGTATAATGTTAAAATCTTTATGTTATAATACAAGTGAAGCTTATAGTGAGAAACTACGTTTCTGGATAGTTCGCCTGCCAGTTTGCTTTTCTTCGCGTCTGTCGCGAATCTCGAAAAGTTTTTCGCGTCTACAAAGCTTGCACACCATGAGCTTACAGCCGTCAGATGACATCGTTAAGAATCTTCACGAAATATCTGTCGGTATATATTCTCGCTCCCAACCTGGGCGCAAAATCGTCCGCCGTGGGATCTTCGCGAAGTGTGACATATTCCACGGAGTGCATTCCAGTACACACGATGTCCGTTTGACTAACCCAAGGTTGCCTTGTGAAGGGGGCGCTTAAGTGATTCATGCATTTCGTGGAGGTTTCGTCAATTCGCATCGGGCAAAAAGGGCTTATAGCAAAATTTTGTAACTCACCGTTGACTGTTTGACTTCGGTCTCTTCTGTTTCTGTGGTTCGTATTGGTTGACGTGCTTGTAACGTGGGTGCAACTGCCCGGGAAAAAACCTTCGTGTGCAAGGTTTCTGGAACGTGCGAGGCAATTTCGCGTGCAGGGGTTGGGCATCTTGTGTATGATGCGGTCTTTCTCCGCGTTTCGAGAATGTTCCGCGCTTCGCAATTCTGCTCCACGGTCCGCAATCCAATGTCGATTGCTAGGGCCATTTCGGGCCCTCGGACTAAACAGTCAGAGATATTCGTGTCGGTATAAATAGCATCATCCACCATTCCTCTCGGCAACTAAAAATCTCTCAACGCGCTCTTTCAAAGCTCTCAATCGTGCTCGTTTTTCCTGACAATCAAGCAAACGCCTAGTGACTTCCCGTGCGATCACGTCAGAAAGCTATTCCTACATAATGGCAGTGACGGAAGTTGTTAATGCCACCGCTGCGACTGGCGCTCCGATGGATGTGTCAGCTTCAACCCAAGCAGTCAACACAAAGGGCGCGGCAGTTGAAGACAAGGAAACCTTCGCTTTTCAGGCGGAAATCAACCAGGTTAGTAAAATACGCCTTATAATCAGACGCATGCGGAAAATTTGATGCGTTTTGGCATAAGTTACCTTATTTCTCCTCCATCAGGTGCTAAAGGCGTAACGGTGCTGAGTCCCTAGCTTCTTCATAGATAAGAAGATTCTTCTTAAGGAGTATCCTAAACCTCATTCGTTTCTTTCCACTCACCTCCCGTCCATGTGCGTGCAGCTGCTGAGTCTCATCATCAACACATTCTACAGCAACAAAGAAATCTTCCTTCGCGAGCTCATCAGCAACTCGTCCGACGCGCTCGACAAGATCCGATTCGCCTCGCTAACCAACAAATCCGCGCTCGAGTCGCAGCCGGAACTGTTCATCCGCATCGTGCCGGACAAGACTAACAAGACCCTCAGCATTATCGACAGCGGCGTCGGAATGACCAAATCGGACTTGGTCAACAACCTTGGGACGATCGCGCGCTCCGGGACGAAGGAGTTTATGGAAGCTCTGGAATCCGGCAGCGGTGACGTCAGCATGATTGGACAGTTCGGCGTGGGTTTCTACGCGGCGTATTTGGTCGCGGATAAGGTGGTGGTAACCAGCAAGCACAACGACGACGAACAGTACGTTTGGGAGTCGCAGGCTGGCGGTTCGTTCACGATTCGTCGCGACGCGGACGGAGAGAGGCTGGGACGCGGCACGAAGATCACGCTGCATCTGAAGGACGACCAGCAGGAGTATCTGGAGGAGCGACGGATTAAGGACGTAGTTAAGAGGCACTCGGAGTTTATCAACTACCCCATCAATCTGTGGACGGAGAAAACCGTGAACAAGGAGATTGAGGAGGACGACTCGGAGGAGGAAGCAGAGGAGCATGAAGCAGCTAAGGAAGAAGAAGCAGAGGGGAATATGGAGGAGGTTGAAGATGAGGAGGGGAGCAGCAATGGCGAAAAGAACAACAAGAAGACGAAGAAGACGAAGAAGGTGAAGGAGGTGACGCAAGAATGGCAGCAACTCAACAAGCAAAAGCCGATTTGGCTGCGCAACCCGGACGAGGTTACCAAGGAAGAATACGCCGCGTTTTACAAGAGCTTCACCAACGACTGGGAGGAGCATTTGGCTGTGAAGCACTTTTCGGTGGAGGGCCAGCTGGAGTTTAAAGCCCTGCTCTTTGTGCCGAAGCGCGCGCCGTTCGACCTGTTCGAAGGGCGGCAGAAGAAGCTGCGCAACGTGAAGCTGTACGTGCGGCGCGTGTTCATCTCGGACGATTGCGAAGAGCTCATGCCGGAATACCTCTCCTTCGTGAAGGGCGTGGTTGACTCGGAAGACCTGCCTCTCAATGTCTCCCGAGAGATGCTCCAGCAGAACAAGATTCTCAAGGTCATCCGGAAGAACCTCGTTAAGAAGTGCCTCGAGCTGTTTACAGAGATCGCCGAGAACAAGGACGACTACAGTAAGTTTTACGAGGCGTTCAGCAAGAGCATCAAGCTGGGAGTGTACGAGGACTCACAGAACCGCGCCAAACTTTCCGAGCTCCTCCGATTCCACTCCACCAAATCGGGCGACGAAGCCACCAGTCTAAAGGACTACGTTACCCGCATGAAAGAGGGGCAGAGCAGCATTTACTACATCACGGGCGAGAGCAGGCGAGCCGTGGAGAACTCTCCGTTCCTGGAGAAACTGAAGAAGAGGGGGCTGGAGGTGCTGTTCATGGTGGATCCGATCGATGAGTACTTGGTGCAGCAGCTCAAGGAGTTTGACGGCAAGAAGCTGGTCTCCGCCACCAAGGAAGGGTACGTAAATCTGCTCTCTTCCATTCCCCTCCTTGCACCAACAATCTGCTCCTTTCTTCTCCTCTCTGAATCTTCGGCCTGTCCGTCCCTGTTCCTTGCGTCTCTGTGCTTTCCTTGTCTGTGCAATGATCTGGTGTGCATGTACTTTGGGTGGCTTGTCTCTGACGTTTTGTTTCCCTGGCTTTCTCTCTATCTCTTTCCAATGGTGAGTGCAGGTTGAAGCTGGATGAGCCGGAGGAGGAGAAGAAGAAATTTGAGGAGCTGAAGAAGGAATTCACTGACATGTGCAAGGCAATGAAAGACATGCTGGGAGACAAGGTCGAGAAGGTGACTGTAGGCGAGCGCATCGTGGAATCCCCCTGCGTTTTAGTCACAGGAGAGTACGGCTGGACTGCCAACATGGAGCGCATCATGCGAGCGCAGGCTTTAAGGGACAACTCCATGTCTCAGTACATGACCAGCCGGAAAACCATGGAGATCAATCCGCACAACAGCGTGATCAAGGAGCTCAAGAGGCGGATCGAGGCGGATAGGACCGACAAGACGGTCCGAGACTTGGTGTTCTTGCTGTTTGAAACTGCTCTGCTGACGTCGGGATTCTCTCTTGACGAACCCCAGGCACTGGCCGGAAGGGTGCACAGGATGATTAGCCTTGGTCTGAGCATTGATGAGAATGTGGAGGAGGAGGTTGGGGAGGAGGAGGCAGAAGAGGTGGAGGGGGAGAGCAAGATGGAGGAGGTGGATTAGGCTTGGAGGAGCATGCAGCAGAGGTTGTTGATTAGGGTGGGTGCTCACTGAAATTATTGTGCCGATGGGATGGTAGTTGGGTGGTCGAGATTGGTGGGGATTCTGAAAAGGTGGATCTACCATATTTGTACAAATGGATGTATGCATGTATCAGTGAATGGATAATGAGCAGGATTGTGTATGTGTGCCATGATACAGTGCAGATACTAGCTCAGACATGACTCATCAATTTGGGAACTATGGCGGACAGTAGTACGTAGCCATAGCATAACAATACCTAAGGTCATTTCAAGATTTCACTAATCATGACTACCAATCTACTCTATTCTACTTCTCCAGCTGCTACTACGGCCTTATCTGCTAATGCCATAAGAGGTCTCCAAGTTAAGAAGAAATGGCCAAAGGTGCTGTTCACAAGAACACCTTGCACGTACTAAGGTACTTGTACTAGGCTTGATGAGTGTTTTCAGAAGAAAGGTGGAAGCATGATCCACCGCCGAGGATACTTGGGACGGCCTTCCTTGCCGTCAAAGAGCTGAAGACATTAGGGAGGATTGAAGGGAACACACACAAGGGAAGAAAGAAGTGGCTTATGTATCTATTCAAAACCCATCACTGAGGGTACATAGGAACCTTCCTTGCTGTCAAAGAGATGAAGACATTAGGGAGGAATGAAGGGAACAGGCATAAGGCAGAGACAATTGATGAGCAGGGTGATTCCAGGAGTCTGGAATCAGGAGTGATTTTTGGAATGTCTCAAAAATTGCCAAGGGGACCAGGGACGCCCCTCCATGCCATCAAAGAGCTGTCCACATTAGGAAGGATTGAGGGGAACACACACAATGCAGAGACACTTGACGAGCAGAGAAATCACATGACTGGACTCAGAAGTCAAACGGATGGCCGCAACATAAAGCACGTTTAAGAATACTTTTTGCAAGCATGGCGCAGTTTGGAAGTTAATGTCCTTGGGATTCACAAACACTCGCTTCTGGCAATGCAGAAGCAAAACGAGGGTTGCATGTCAGGGACATAGAAAGGATGGCTTCACTCCGGCCAACAGGTAATACCCGTGGCAAATTCAGGACAAAGCATTGCATTGTCAAGCATCATCCATGCAGCCCTGAAAGAGTATATCTGACAGTTTCTCCCATTCAGAAAGCTAACCCGCTCGATAGGGCATGCACGAACTAGGAACGCCGAAGGGTTAGCAGGTATCAAGCATAGAAGACTTCATGACCAGACTTTGAGCATCCAAGGGTTAGCAGGTGCCGAAAAGACTAGTAGTAATGGCAGGGGTAGACCAATCAGGAGAGAAAACGTTAAAAGCTCCCCCAGTCTAATCCCTTCTCTCTAGGAACTGCACGTCAGGGACACTGATGGGATGGCTTCACTCTGACCAGCAGGTGGTACCCGTGGCAGAATCAGGACAAAGCATTGCATTGTCTAACATCATTCATGCAGCCCTAAAAGAGTTCACCTGTCGGTTTCTCCGATTCAACAAGCTAACCCTCTCGAGAGAGTGTGCACGACCTTTGAATTATTAGCAATGACAGGGACACGCCAATCACTACTCAAAAGTTAAGGAAAGCATTTAAGGTCCCAGTCCATACCCAACCCCAAGAAACGGCATGTCAGGAAAGAAGATGACTTCACACTCAAACAGGTGCTACCCGTGGCAGAATAAAAATAATAACGCCATTGTCAGACATCATCCATTCGGTTATTCCCCTGACCTGGCCACGCCTGCCCGCTCTACCCACTCAACCCATGAGCGCATGAAGCCCATCCAGAAACTGACTCAAGCGACAATGCAAACCTTGTCAGTGCTCAGCGAGGATGACTGTGCTACAGCAGTAAACCCTTTCCTGAGGACAGCTGCTAACTCGGGCCTGTGCCCTGTGCTTCAGAAAGAGCAACGCTGTGCTACATCCGCGCAATGCAACGTTGGATTTCAGAGCATTCGCAGTAAGTGCATGTCAGCGACAACAGATGTGATGGCATCACGCCGCCCAGGAGGAAACTCCAGAGTGACGATTCAGGACAAAGCATTGCGTTTGTCTGACATCATCCATGCACGATTGCCTGTCCCGCTAGTCCGCGATGGCTTGGTATAGCGGATCGAAGGTTGTGAGTGCTACGACTTGGCATAGAGGAAAGAAGGTTGTGTCTGCTGCAGCTGGCCTAAGTCGGAACGGTGGAAAAACATGACTGCACGGAACGAGTATGGAAGGTTTCCTCTCTCCCCACCATCCTCGCTTCACGAGGACCTTGAGATCCGTACCTTTAAAAGGAGCTCATCAACGTGCTTCTAACGGGGAAACAAAAACGCAGGTTCATAGAAGGAGGATTCTACCTCCTCGAAGTACCCAAACTTATCGTTGGCCTAAATGGATAAGCTCGAGTGCCTGGCATATTAAGCCAGACGAGGGCTCGACTCTCGCAATACGTTTGCTTGGTACAGGTCCTAAACCCGAAACCCTGAAGACGACACAGCACCAGGAGTGCTCACGACACGAAGAGAAGGCGGAGGGGGTAAAGGGCTGTGGGAGGGCAAAGGGAAGTGTGGAGCGGGACAGAGGGTAAACAATCTCTACTCTCACCGTGGTTTGTTCAGAGGCGCCTCAAAGGCTGTCTATTTACCCCCGAATGGCTGTATATTCTCACCTTGACGAGGCGCTTGTGCTTGGCGAGGGCCCACTCGGCCATCTGCATGGTGCCGGCGAGCATGAAGAGGTAGCCGGCGACGGTCTGCGTGGCGATGTTGAAGCCCAGCCACGCCGTGATCTCCGTCGTGTAGTTGGCGCACGTGATGAAGTTGAACAGGAAGCCCGAAGGGATCTGGTACCCTGAGCTCGAGCCGGACCTGCAGGGCGGAGAAATGCAAGAGAGTTACAAAGGGGGAAAAGGGGGAAGAAGGGACGGGGATCTTCACGCTGTTTATGGTGCAAACTACTCTTACGATTTATGCGATCCGAATGAGCGGAAACGAATGAGCCTTCCAGAGAATGGAATTTTCGCACGTTGTGATAACTGACTCACATTGACTTGAACCCACCTCAAGTTCCTCAAAATGATGTGACAGTAGAGGTTGGAGAGCTGGTTGACTATAGCGATGCCGAATCCGATCAACATCTGGGTCTCGCTGACGGGCGTGTACAGCGGGTGGTTCACGAAGAACGAGACGAAAGCTGCGAAAGTCCAGTAGTAACCGCAGTTACGGAACAGGTTCTGAAGCGGCATCGTGCCGTGGCTAAACCGGTGGACGAAAAACGTCTCGAGAATGCGCTTCGTGTAGTGGAAGGACCAGTAGATGAGTGCGTAGGTCTGGACATCTTTAAGCTTCTGCAGGAAGACATGGCGGTAAGTACAAAGAATGGAGAATGTCAGGAGAACAGCACGAAATAAGCGCAATTGTAAAAACAGCGGGACCCGGAAAATAAGGGTGATCTAAGCGAGAGAGGATCAAGAAGCACTTGAAAATCCAAACCCAAGAATAAGGAATATGAGGAAGAGCTTACTCTCTTTGCACCGTCCACGTAGAACACTTGCGGGAAGAAGTAAAAGAGCGAGTAGAGGACCAGAGGGCCGAAGTATTCCCAGAAGAAGACCGTCTTAAAGCCGATCTGAGGTCCGAGATCCTTAAAAACGACGTCCAATGTGGTTCCAGTGGAGTAATCCGCGAGCCTCTTTTTGGCGTCCAGAACGACGGGTTTGGCACCTGATGCCGGCGCTGGGAGAGTGAATCTCTGCCTTGCAGGATACCATTTTTTATCTGCGGAAGCGCAGAGGTCATCCCAGAAGATAATCAGTTACCAAAAAAAGGAATGGGTCAAACTATAACGAAATACTACTTAAGGTATGGCGCGTCATGGTCTGTATTACGGTCTATCCAAATGCTGCGACTTACTCGTTTTGTGAAGGGCTTTCTGGAGATCTGCTACAGTGGCCTGCACAAGGACGACACGCGTTGAAAATAGTTAAGCTCGCAAGGTCATTCACCAAGCTGGTGAAATTGAACGAGTGTTAATGAGGACAAATTGGGCTGCAGAAATGCATTACGCGAGCGGCTCGACTCTACGATCAAGTTCTTCAAGGAATAGCCACGCATACAGGTGTTGAAGTAAGCGTAGAATGCAATGTGGGAGGTACCTCATCCGGAAGCTGGAGGCCGCCTTTGACAATCTCTTTCCCAGATCGCGAAAAGACGTTGACCTTCATGCTGAGGTGGAGCCGATCTACTGTACCGAATGATACGAAAGTAGACCTTTCTTGCACTCCTCGAAGTACGGCACCAAAATGCGTGGACACTGAAAAAAGGCCGACGCGCCCAAGGACAGGAAGGACAATGGCTGGAAACTAGATCACTGTCTGAAGAGATTCACATACCATCTGAAGAGATCCACAAACCATCTGAAGAGATTCACATACCAGAGCTGGTATGTGCGGGTGAGTCAAAGGTGGAGAGGGAGAAAAGAACAAGATGAGATGGGATAGCGAGGATTCAGACGAGATTGAGAGAGGTGAAGGAGGATATAGTTGAATCGCAGGGAGTTCTGCTCTCGATTGGGTCTCGGGGTCTCGAGGTGGCATTCTGGTGGGTTCGACTCTGTCATCGGAGTGAGATCTTCGCCTTGGGTTTCCGTGATTGGAAGCTGGTGCTTTGGCGCCAAAATTGGCTGACAGGTTCTGATCATATTCTCGATTGTGACGGGACTGTACACGGAAGCTCATTTCAGTATGTGCGCAATACAGGTAATTTCATTATTCCCAAGCAGGGTGATCCTCCGTTGAGTTTCTAGGGGGCCTTGGTTTCCAGTCTGGCACTTCATCCCAGAAGAAGTTGTAGTAAATATGGCCTGAACAAAAATCAAGGCAAGAGAAAATGCAAACACAAAAACTAAAACCTTGTGAGAAAGACCCTCCTTTGAGTGGATAGCAAGCAGTCCCAAATGCTGTAGTCCAATCTTACCTGGATGGGCATGCACGCAGCACCAGATGCCCGTGTAATGCCGCAATCTCCATCTGAATTTCTTTTCAAGCTCCTGCACGGATAATACGTGCAAAAGTATGACGGCACAGGAAAAAATCAAGCTTCTTTTATTTCATCATCTCGCTCACTCCTGCGCTATCTTCCAGTCCATCTCATCCCAATGTTTTTTTTCCACGTTCCCACCATATCGTCCCACCAGCACTAACCTTACTTTCCATCCACTTGACATCTGAAAACAACAATAATACTGTCCTTAACTGGAACGCACGAAAGGAGCGACCTGGGCACAGGCACGGAAACAGCAGGGAAAGCCAACTCCCTCCCACAGAACCCCCCCCCCCCCTTCTTCCCAATACACCAGCACTCACCTTGTCATCCCATCCGCCAAACACATCGTGCAAAGAACTGAACTCGATCCACTTCACATCTGAAATCCGTGATAATGCCTCCCTCAACTGCGACACAATAACGGCGAAATCACGGCACGGGCACAAGAACAGGTAAGGGGAGAGAAACCAGGAACCAGATCAGCACGATACAGCAAGAGTCAGGGAATGAGCAGGGATGATAAAGACACAAGGAGCCAGTTCAAGAGCAGCAGGGGCTTGGCCAGAGTGAAAGGTAGCAAACGATCACAGTGAATTATTTTGTGTTCAGTGTGGCACTCAGCAGTTCAGCGCACCTGCTTCTCTCGTACGCCTCTCCTCAGCACCAGATCGAGTGTGTGAGCTCTGGGAAGATCCTGTCTGTCCGTTCCCGTGGGGCAATCAGGAACAGTGTCATTGCAGATACGCACAGAGAGCTTGGAGGCTCGGAGCTGGGGAGACAGAAGAGATGGGGGGAGGGGTGGAGGAGAGGGTGGAGGAGAGGGTGGAGGAGAGGGTGAATGAGAGGGTGGAGGGCGGGCAGGCACTCAATTAAGTAGAGTGCCATTACACAGCTTTCCTCTTTCAGGACATGAGGGTTGTCAAGCAAAGAGTACTCCAAAAAAAAAGGTGCCTATCGAATCTAGCCAACTTTCCAAAACTATACAGCTTACCTCGTTAGGGACACGAGGGTTGTCAAGGAAAGAGTACTCTCGAAAGGGTATTGCTGGCCCGAACTCCTCTTCTGGAAGCTTCCCGGGAAGCATCCTGTCCACCTGAATGGGACGAGGGAGGAGCACGGGTAGGGGGTGGAAGAGTGTAAGTGGAGGGGCGTGGATAGTGGATGTATGGCATGGTATGGTTCAATGTGGCTTGGTAAGTTATGGTATGGTTCAATGTGGCTTGGTAAGTTATGGTATGGTTCAATGTGGCGTGATATGGTATGGTACGGTACGGTGGTAGGCATGGGACGGTTTGGAATGGTATGGTATGGTATGGTATGGTATGGTGTGGTATGGTGTGGTGTGGTGTGGTGTGGTATGGTGTGGTGTGGTGTGGTGTGGTATGGTGTGGTGTGGTGTGGTGTGGTGTGGTCTGGTGTGGTGCGGTGTGATGTGATGTGATGTGGTGTGGTGTGGTGTGGTGTGGTGTGGTGTGGTATGGTATGGTATGGTATGGTATGGTATGGTATGGTATGGTATGGTATGGAATGGTATGGTCTGGTATGGTATGGTGTGGTGTGGTGTGGTGTGGTGTGGTATGGTATGGTATGGTATGGTATGGGATAGTGGATGGTACAGTGGAATAGAGACAAACAGGGTTTAGACTTTGAGCACAAAGAAAACTGTAGAGAGGATGTCCATACTGTATATATTCAGATACGTGTAGAGAGAATGTACATTGAGAATATGGTCGAGCGGGCAGAGGAATGGCTGTGGCGTTGCAGTGTTATCGAGGATGCCCCTATGGGGGTACCAGATGCGATCGAACCGAGCCCATGTGCTTGGCATGACCTGATGGTATGGGGGGGGGGATGGGAGCACATGCACAAACACTTATCAAGACATCCTATCCGCAACTCGGATGCTCTTCAGCTGGTGGTCGACCAGGTGGAAGTGCGTTGAGAGGGAGTGACTGGTGGCGCACATCTAGCACCACCAAACGCACCGTTGACCTGGGTTGACTTGGGTTGACTTGAGTTGACTTGAGTTGACTCACAAGGGTTCGGTTGAGGATGAGAGCAATGGCGAGTGCCGTCCGAAGTCCCTGCAGCTGGTAGTTGACCAGGTGGAAGTGCATTGAGTTGAGAGAGTGTGATTGCTCCCAGTGCCCCAGGCGGACCGTTGACTTGCATTGACTTGGGTTGATTGAGTTGACTCACGAGGGTTCGATTCAGAATGAGGGCGATAGCCAGAGCACCCCGAATGCTTTGCAGTTGATAGTTGACCAGGTGGAAGTGCGTGGAGAGCGTGTGATCGCCGCCCGTCAGCAGCTCCTCGGGAATGTCATTGACGAATGAGACGATGCCACCTGGCGGGTCGTAGTACTCTGGAGGGTCGTAGAAGGCCATGGCCTCTCGGAAGCGGTGGCGCTTGCCTGGTGGGAGGGAAGGGCGGGGGAGATGGAGAACTGGGACTGGTGAATGGTGGGGATACTTCCTAGGCAGCTGTTAGTTCGTAGTACTCCGGAGGGTCGTAAAAGGCCATGGCCTCTCGAAAGCGATGGCGCTTGCCTGGTAGGAGGGAAGGGGGGCTGAAAGGGGAATGGGGACTAGCGAATTTGTGGGGATAATTCCTAGTTAGCTCTAAGGTCGTTCGTAGTGCTCTGGCGGGTCGTAAAAGGCCACGGCCTCTCGGAAGCGGTGGCGCTTGCCTGGTGGGGGTGGGGAGGGTGGATGGTGGAAGGAGGATGGGGGATGGGGTGACGTGGATGGGGTGACGTGGATGGGGTGACATGGATGGGGAGCGAGGACTGGGGAAAGGTGGAGATGATTCTTAGGAACCTCAAAGGTTGTATAATACTCTGGAGGGTCGCAAAAGGCCATGGCCTCTCAGAAGCGATGGCGCTTGCCTGGTGGGGGGAACGGTGGATGATGGATGGAGGATACCCTTATGCAACAAGATGGAACGCAGGAAGTGAAAAGTCAGGTAAAATCCCCCATTCCCATTGCACTCTCTAGTTCTAATTGAATCTCCTTGAACATACCTGGAGTGCCAGCAAACTGGAAAGTGGCATGCAGAGCATACGGTTCTAGACCCACCACCTTGTGCAGATGCTGTGGGGAAGATAGCAGATGGAGTACAAGATTATAGGAGGCAAGGGATGAAGGCCGGACAGGGGGGAGAGAAAGTGGGGAAGTGCTGAAGAGCTGAGTACAGTGCATGCAGAGCATACGGTTCTAGACCCACCACCTTGTGCAGATGCTACGGGGAGGGATAACGCACGGAACAAACGGGAAAGAGGGGTGGATGAGAGAATGGGGAAGTGGGAGAGGAGAACTGCTGGAAAGTTGAGTCCTGTGTGCAGAGCATACGGTTCTAGACCCACCACCTCGTGCAGATGATATCCGGGAGATAATATCCGGAAAATGGTATCCGGGAGATAATATCCGGAAAATGGTATCCGGGAGATAATATCCGGAAAATGGTATCCGGGAGATGATATTTGGGAGATGATATCTGGGAGATGATATCTGGGAGATAATATACAGGAAATGACATTTGGGATATAACATCCGGGAGATGATATCCGGAAAATGGTATCCGGGCGATGATATCCGGGAGATGATGCAGATGGTCCTGCGCGGCTGGGTCAACGTCTGGCCCCATGTGCTTCTTCATTTCCTAGTTTGAGAGACAACGCACCTGAACGAAGAAGGTGTGGCCTGAACAGAAGACAGACACGGGGAGAATCCCCAGCTTCAGGCTGCCGTCAAACGCCCAGAAGAGATGGTCACTACTGGTTGGATCCACATCTGGCCCCATGTGCTTCCTCATGAGTTCATTGAACCCGTTCTGGTCCCATATCATGGCGTCACTTGCCAGGAGCTCAGCCCACCCACCTGAACAAAGAAGGTGTGGCCCGAGCAGAAGATAGACACTGGCAGGATCCCCAGCTTCAGGCTGCCGTCAAACGCCCAGAACAGATGGTCTCCAGCAGCAGGGTCCACGTCTGGCCCCATCTTTTTCCTCATGAGCTCGTTGAACCCGTTCTGGTCCCACATCTTGGCGTCAGTGGCTTAGTTGTTCAACACACCTGAACAAAGAAGGTGTGGCCCGAGCAGAAGATAGACACTGGGAGGATCCCCAGCTTCAGGCTGCCGTCGAACGCCCAGAACAGATGGTCGCCAGCAGCAGCATCCACGTCCGGCCCCATGTGCTTCCGCATGAGCTCGTTGAACCCGTTCTGGTCCCATATCGTGGCGTCAGTGGCTAAAAGTTCTGCCCATGCTCGAGCTAACCGCTTGGCCGGGTCGGTGGGGCGGAAGTGCAGAATGCCGATGTTGTACGCGCTCTGTGCTGGGGGGGTTGAGAGGATTGGATGTGGGGAGGAGAAGGGAGGAGAGATGGCGCATAGGAGGACAGATGAAGAGGAAGGGAAGGTTCTTGGCCAAGTCGGTGGGGCGGAAGTGCAGAATACCCATGTTGTATGCGCGCTGTGCTGTGGGGGTTGGGTACCGGAGAGGTGGGGAGGGGAAAGAAGGGAAAGACTGCAGGGTGCTATGCCGGGTTGGTGGGGCGGAAGTGGAGAATACCCATGTTGTACGCGCGCTGTGCTGCGGGGTTGGGGGAGAGGAGGGAACGCGAGGATTTCAGTTTGGGAACGTCGCGAAACAGGCTCTGTGCTAACTAACAACACGTTCCCAGGCACAAATGCTCGCACCTCCCCACGCCTCCTCGCACTTCCTCTCACCTGCCTACACCTGCTCACAGATATTCGCCCCTCTCTCACCTTGCTGCCACTTTTCCAGAGACTCGTCGTCAACTGAGCGGACAAGACAGTCGCTGGATGTGAGGACGGAATCAAGCATGCTGCCTCTTCACACCTGCTCACACCTGCTCACACCTCCTCACACCTCCTCACATCTCTTAACGCCTGCTCACGCTTCCCTCACACCTGCTCACCCCTTCTCACCTTGCTGCCACTTCTCCAAAGACTCGTCATCAACTGATCGGACAAGATGGTCGCTGGACGTGAGGACGTCTGCTGTTGGGTAGCGCGCGATGAAAGGCAGAGGGTTCTGCCAAGAGAAGAGAAAAAGGAGACAAAGCGAGGGAGAGATGGGGCAGAGAGAGGAGGATAATGAGGGAAATCAGCAAGGGCCGGAAGGGCAAGGTGGTCACTGGATGTCAGCACATCGGCTGTTGGGTAGCGAGCTACGAAGGGCAGAAGGTTCTGCAAGGAAAGAAATTAGCTGGGAACAGAGAGAGTGAACAAGTGAAGACGGGAAGAAACGAGCTGGTTTTTGAGAATTCTCAGAAACCAGCTGGTAACAAAGTTGAACCGGCAAGTGTGTACAAAGTTGAACCAGCTGGTAACAAAGTTGAACCGGCAAGTGTGTCCCACCCTCCCCACCCACCCCAATCACACCACCCACTACCTACTAACTGATTTAAAAGCATATGAGCAGCTTCACCCCCATCGATACCACAGGAACACATAGGGCCCTCGGGACCGCTCTTACTGCCCTACCCTTAAGCAAACAGTGTCGGTGTCGCACATACGAAGCTCCACCCCCATCGACACCACAGGAACACATAGGGCCCTCGGGACCGCTCTTACTGCCCTACCCTTAAGCAAACAGTGTCGGTGTCGCACATACGAAGCTCCACCCCCATCGACACCACAGGAACACATAGGGCCCTCGGGACCGCTCTTACTGCCCTACCCTTAAGCAAACAGTGTCGATGTCGCACATACGAAGCTCCACCCCCATGGAGAGAAACACGTTGACCAGAGTCACCTTCTCCCGCCCCATGGCATGGAACACAGGTGTGCCCCACCCTCCCCACCCTTCCAGCCCACCCTACCCATTTCACGCACTACCAACTGACCAATCGTTCATACTGCAGCTATTCTTACCCGTAGCCACACAGTGTCAGTGTCGCAGATAAGCAATTCAATCCCCATCGAGAGAAACACGTTGACCAGGGTGACCTTCTCGCGCCCCATGGCATGGAACACTGGCGTGCCCCACCCTTCCTCCCCACTCCACTCGCTCCACTCTCACCCCCCACTGCCTACTGACTCATTGCTCTTACTGCGGCTATTCTTACCCTGAGCCAAACAGTGTCGGTGTCACAAATAAGAAGCTCACTCCCATGAAAAGCAACACGTTGACCAGAGTGACCTTCTCCCGCCCCATGGCATGGAACACTGGCGTGCCCCACCTGTCCCACTCTCCACCCCCGCTACCATATTGATACTTGACTGATCTGATAACATACCCGTAACCAAACAGTGTCGGTGTCGCATATGAGCAATTCAAACCCCATGGAGAGGAACACGTTGACCAGAGTGACCTTCTCGCGCCCCATGGCATGGAACACCGGCGTGCCCCACCCGCTGTCCTCTGGGCTCATGCCGCTCTCCAGGTCAAACACAGGCACGCCCTCCCGGTAGAGTGCTTCCAAAATGGTAGGGTCCATGGCACCTGGGGAAGGGAAGGGTAGCATAGGACACACGCACACAGGCTGTTGCATTGCATGCATGCCCCAACCCACCCGCTGTCCTCCGGGCTCATGCCGCTTTCCAAGTCGAACACAGGCACGCCCTCCCGGTAGAGTGCTTCCAAAATGGTAGGGTCCATGGCACCTGGGGAAGGGAAGGGAAGGGAAGGGAACGGAAGGGAAGCAGGGGACGCGCACACAAGCAGGCTGTTGCACGCAAGCCTGGTCCACCCCACCCGCTGTCCTCTGGGCTCATGCCGCTCTCCAGGTCAGACACAGGGACACCTTCCCAGTACAGTGCTTCCAGGATGGTCGGGTCCATGAACGCATGGTTGGCGAAAGTTACCACCACATCCCTCTCGCAGATTCACGCACCTCAAAACCCATACAGCCCTAGGGTGCGTGTCAGCACCATTTTCTCACCTATAAGGATGTTGGTCACTCCCAGTTCCGTCAGGTGCTTCACCCAGTTCAGCACAAAATCCAAAAAAGCATGGTTGGCGAAAGTTACCACCACCACGTTCTTTTCCGCTCTGAACTCAACCATTTCACGCCGTAGCGCAAACTCCTCCTTTCCAGGAACCTTCCCGCCGGGCGGCGGTTTTTCCCAGATGGGTCGCTTCAGCTCTGGAATCAACGGCCGTCCCTCGTGTATGATTGGCCGAACACCCCGAGCGAAAGTTTCACCTGCCCCTACAGTGCTCTGGCTCTTCAAACCCATTGCCGAAGCAGCTTTGATCACATAGCCAGAAGCAGCGGCAAGAGCAGCAGAGGCGTCGTTTACGATCCCCTTCCTGCTGCTGCTGAAATCCCCGTCTCCAGTAACATCCGTGTTGTTCTTGCTGAAAGCTTTGCTGCTCCCTCCCAGGTTCTGTGCTGCCAGAAAATTGTTCCTCTCTCCGTCCTCCTCGCTCTGAACCCCTCCGCCCTCCTCTCCTGTTCCCATTTGAGGCTGCGCCTCAGCGTTCCTTTCCCCTGCTTCTCCCTCTGGTGCTGCCGTTGATGGTTCTGAAGATCCTGATGCTGCTGCTGCCGACGATTGGGACGCAGAGCTGCTGCGAAAAGGCAGCAGCTTGTTAGAAGCAAAGACTGCATTGCTGCCGCTCCTTACAGCTGGTGTACGAAAAGAGGACATGCATAGCGTTTCCAGATAACGGGGGGGCACGAGACTCATTGGCAGAACTAGAATTGGAGGGGTAGAAAAATAAGACAAAACATCAGGCGGTCGAAAGAACAGGAATGCTGCAGTCTGCTCGTGTCTTTTGACGCGATATGGTAATCCGACACACCGACAAGTCACTCCAGCAATAAACTAGCAACGCGCAGGTATTGACGAAACTATTCAGAACCAAGCTTAAACTGGAAGAATGCACAGTCTATACCTTGCTCGTCCACATTCGTCGCTTCCTCGACCTGCGACTCGAGTAAGTAATTCCACCGGCTTTCCAAGCTCCAGTATACCGGCCGGCCGAGGATGTAACCGACTATCAGGACGGCTAGCAGGCAGACGACGCTGACGACTCTGCGAAGCCGCGACATCGCGGATGAGGAACCAGACGCGACAGGACCAGCTAGTAGCTACAACAACGAAACAGCTCTATGATTAGAAACAATTCGGTCTACTAGTTATTGAATTTCGCCCGGCATGCTTCTATCAGAGCCAGCTAGATGCTCAGCGCGTCGCTAGTAGTCAGGGAACAGCACAGAATGTGCCTCAAGAGATCGGGAGAAGCCAGCGCAAAGAAGTATGAATCGTAGACACCTGCCTTGGGATTGCCGAACTGACCAGACTGATTATCAGAGTGCCCAATTCGGCAGTTAGGAGGCGGCAAGATGTGGTCTGTACGCGCTGTTGTTACGCAGAACTTTCTTCACCGATATATATTTATCACAATAGCATATATATACAGCATATACATAACATCAGTGTCATGATACCCATGTACTACCAGCTCAAACCTTCCCCTTCAGCTCTTGTCTCGCCACCACCATTCTCAACACATCGCCAGGACTCAGCCTCGAGCCATTAGCATTCGCCTGACACTCCTGCAACTGCCGAGCCAATTCCGACCACGACAGAGTCCTCAGGGGACCCGGGGGAGGGGAATCATCATTATCAACAATTCCCTGGCTCCACTGCTGCAAAAGCTTCATATCTACACCATCATACCCTTTATTAGCTGATTGTTCTTTTGGCGGATTTACACCCTGCAAGTGGTAGCTCAACCAAAAGTCCTCTCCCTCAGTTACACTCCCCAGATTCTTCTCCTTCTGGCCCACCCTCACACCAGCTCCACCCGTTACAACGCTTCCCTTTTGCAACGGCATTGCACTGTAGGGAATCGCACTGTAAGGGATCGCACTGTACGGGAGGCTGTAGCTCAGCTGTAGCCGCGGAGCCGGCGAATCAGACGCGTCCGTCCAAACCGATGGGGACTTGGGGAAGAAAAACGAACCAGGGCTGGCAGCCGCACTGTAGCTGCTGCCACTGCTGGTTACCACGCTCGGCTGCTCTGATTGGCCGCTGAGCGACGGGGGAAAGAGAGCAGATTGAAGGAAGGCGTCCGAGGGGACACTGTGGGTTCTCTCCAAGGGGGAGGGCGCAAGGTGTGACTGTAGCAAGTGTGATTGAATCGAGTGGGTGTGTGACAAGGAGCGAGGTGGGAACGGGTGGTGGTGCTGCTGCTGGGAGTGAAGCGCCTCCTGCTCTATCTGACTTCTTCCTCCTACTCCCCCTGCTGCTGCTCCTCCCCCCTCCATGGAATTCCACAATGCAGAGTGGTGTGTAAGAGGATGGAACACCTGCTGCTGCTGCTGCTGCTGCTGCTCCTGCTGCTTGCCCTGCTGGCACTGTTGCTGTTGCCGCTGCTGCTGCTGGTGCCACTGCTGCAACTGTGACAGCTGCTGCTGCTGCTGCTGAAGTTGCTGCTGCTGTTTCTCCAAGTGCAATAGCCACTGCTGCTGCTGCTGACTGGAAACCCCTTCTGCACCAGCAGGCAGCCCATGCTTCTGCCTAAGCTCCAGGTACCTAGCTCTCACATCCGTGCCATGCCCACCCGACTTAGACACACTAGACACACCATACTGCGCCCGCATGTCCGCTCCATGCCCTCCCAGCTTAGACAGCCCATACTGGGCCCTCAGATCCGCCCCATAGCCCGCGGATTTTGATACACCGGATCGAGACCCCACCGTGTGCGACCGGGGAAGCTTCCAGGAATGGATGGTGGCCGCCCCAAGCTCGGAATTAGCCCATCCGTCCTCTTGCTTACCTTCCCCATCCCTTTTAACTCCTCCAGAGGAAGCCCACACCCCAGATAACCCCATGCCTGCTGCAGCCGCCATAGACTGCTTGCCTCCTCGCCCCTCCCCATTAACCCCCGCTGCCATCGCCCTGCCTCTTTCGCCCCCGTCGTTGCTCCTCCTTCCCGCTCCCGGCCTCCGCTCATCCGCTGCTTCTTCTTCAGTCGCGGCCAGGGCGTGAAGGGACAGCGCACTCGCTGCTCGCTTGTGGGCTACAGCAGGACCAGCAGGACCAGCAGGACCAACAGGACTAGTTCCAGAAGCGAGATTGACACGAGCACCAGCAGGAGTGGTAGCAGCAGACGCCCAACCACCATCAATGGTGGCAGCAGGGGAAGTAGCAGCACCAGGCTGAGAAGCAGCAGCAGGGGAGGTGCCGGCATGCCAGCCCACGCCCCATCCGCCGGACCCCTGCCTCCACAGCTGCTGCAGAGCCGATGCCAGACGACTGCTCTCACTCAACTCGTGCCTCCTCAACCTCCCCCTCTCCCCACCCCCTCCTCCCCTCTCTGCCCCTCTTCCCCTCTCCCCACCACTGCCTCCCCTCTCCCCACAGGTGCTCCCTCCACCTCCTGATTCCCCTCCGCCGCCTCCCAGCACGTCAGAAAACGGCAGGTTTGCAGATTCCGGTGCTTTCACCTTGAAGGGTGCTTCAGCAGTGGGAGACTGCTGGGTTTTGAAGATCCCGGGCCTTGATTTGGGCAGTCCGCCTCTCTTCCACTCGTGCAGTGAGCCTCTTGGGGACTTGTCATCCCGCTGCCAGTGCGAGAGAGTCGGCCCTCTGGGTGTGTTGTGGGTGCTCACGCTCTGCCTTGTTCGAGTTGACCGCGTTGACTGAATTGACTGGATTGACTGCGTTGACTGCAGGGACAGCATGGATTGGATTGACTGTGTTGACTGCGTTGACTGGATCGTCTGGGTTGACTCGGTTGACCGCGTTGACTCGCACACCGTGGAGCCCACCAACGCATGCCGCTCGAATCGCGGCGGCCGCCCGGCAGCGGCGGGCGGCGGCCGCTTCCTGGAAGCTTCCCTCCTGGGAGTAGAGACGCACGAGCCTCCCGTGCACCCGGTTGTGGCAAAGGAATCCGCGTCGGATTCAGCATCGGATGCTGCTTCAAAAGCTTCAAAAGCTTCAAAAGCATGGCTGGTGAAGCCATAGAAATTGTCGTCATCATGACAATCATAATCATCGTTGTCAGAAGCATCACTGGCAATATCCAGAGTGAGTATGCCCTTCACCATGTGCATCCCTCTCCGTTGGTTTGTGTTCTGCTGGTCTAGGTCTTGTTGGTTCGACTGCTGCTGTTGGTTCTCCCTGGGACCGTCCTTACGCTGTGGCAGTTTTTCAGGCTGGGAATCCCCCAAGATATCAACCAGCAGGCCGTGATCTGCTCCCCCCGGATATTCCTCCGCCTGTGCGTCTCCCCCTCCCCCCACCAGCGCGTCACGCGCAGGGATGGCGCTTGATGAAGCTGTTGTTCCTTCTACTTCAAGTCCGCGCCCCGCGGGTTCGTTAGCTGCTTGCGCGCCCCGCTGCTTCGCGCTCTGCTGCTTCGTGCGCTGTCCCTCCGCGCTCTCCGCTTCCGCGCTCCCCTTTCCCGCGCCCTTCCCTTCCGCCCTCTGCACTTCCGCGCTCTGCGCTTCCAGCGCGCTCTGCGTCGCAAGAGCCGGCTTAGAGAGGTAGTACGTCCCTCCCGGGTGGAGCACCTTATCTCGCGGCAGCACGGCGCGCTTCGAAGACATGGAACCCACGCAGTACCCGGGATGCTCGCGCATGACGTCAGCCACCGTCAGCTGCCGCGCCGAAGCCCTTCCGCCGCCCCCGCGGGGCCTGCGCGGAACCCGACTCCGCGTGTGATGGCGCGCGGAGTGCGACAGGCGCGCGGAGTCAAGGACGTGCGGAAGCCCGGCGATGGTCGGCGCGGGCAGGACTCCGCCGCGGAGATCCCCGCCGGAGGCGGAATGCGCGGAAGTCTTTCCGCCGAAGAGGTCCCCGCTGGAGGCGGAATGCGCGGGCGTTTTTCCGCCAGGCGCGTACATCTTCATGGAGCCGTCGGGGAGGAGAAGCAGCACGAGGCGCGGCCCGAAAATGCGCTTCCATCGCTGCAGGCGTTCCAATAGCGGGCGCGACGGGCTCAGGAAAGGGACCGGCTGCGGCGGCGGCGAGGCGGGATCGGCTGGGGGAGGCGCGGCGTGATCGGCGGCGGGACGCGCGACGGGATCTGTAGTAGCAGTAGTAGAAGTTTGCGAGGTCGAATCCAAGCGGGTTGGTTTCATTCTGAAGGCTCCGATCGGCGCTACTGCCACCGTCGAAAGGCGAGATACGGTTGAGAAATACCTCCAATTAGTGGAGGGTTCAAACGAAGCGAATTCTTCTCTAGACTCTGCTTTCCTTTAGATGAACTTCTGGTTTCTTTCGGTAAAGAGTCCGAGACTGCAACGAGGTCTTGAAACAGCGGCTGTGGATTTTGGAACGGTCTAAGCTTATCGTGGTGACGTTAAAAAGAGAAGAGGGATGAACTTCTCTAGCTGGACCTATGCTCCATCTCGTAGCGACCGCACCGGAACGCACCCGCTCGCTCTGCTGGTGGACGAAGAGGAGAAGTTTGTTATGACCTTAAACACGATCCTTTCACACGCCGCTCAGTAAGCTGTTGCTATGGCCACCCTTGATTTGAGAAATAAATGAGAGAACAGGAGAGGAGCTCAAATAGCAGTGAAGGTCCGCTGGCAGTCACGAGGCGGTCCGGGGCCTGAAAATAAGTTGGTAGCGCCTCTAAGACGAGCTGGATGTCGGTCGTCGTCTGGGATCGCTAGGATTGCTGGAATCGCCGAAGCCGCATCAGGTCGGTCGTGTTTTCGTCCGTCAATGACGGTCGAATCGCCTATTATAAGGAGTAACGTCCGGTCGCGAGACATGATGTGATTGGACGGACGACTTCGCGGGTAAGTGCTTATGGTCACAAGAGAGGGACGCTGCTGCTGCATCCGTGACTTTGGCTTTCCTAGGGATAACCGTTGTACGCCGAAGCGCAACACCCTTGTAGTTAGCGCTAGCTGCTGTTGAGCGGAGGTTTCTGGGAGGTACTAACTGAATGGGCTCCCAGAAATAATCGGCTGGCAGTGAAAACAGTGAAAAGCTCGTGAGTACGGAAGTTAGGGACATCTGCTTTTATACTGTAAGGGACACCTTTATGTGAAGTTAGCTTTGTAATAAGCGAGAATCTAGAATGGATTTCGCTGGATCGTAAGAAAGGGCAATTACTGCGGATGTGGTCTTATTCGGCGCACCACCGGATCAGCTTCAATAGAGTATGGCTCTGGGTTTGAACGCTCCATGCCATTCTTTTGCACCGCTGGCAAGTCACTGGCTGGAGTCAACCCAAATGACAGGAAGGTGACTCGTCAGGTGGGGTTATCCACGTCATAGCCCTCATTTGATTACCACGTGTTTCAAAATTTCTGCCCCGCAGGACAACCTGATACTTCATACCGAGCTGGGTCTTGGCGATGCGCCAGACCGCAAACAGAACGCCAGATTCTTTCTTTCCAGCAAGCACCAATCAGACAGCTCCAGCCTTCACCAATATCCTTTTTGGGACCTGCTGCTTCTTGTATTTGGCTGCTAGAAACCTGGCGAAAATCTATTCCATCACATTCAGAAAGCTGCTAGGGCTAGCCTGAGTTACTATAGCTCGCTGAGAGTTAGGCAGTGCAGTAGTTAACCAATCTCGCAGCGAGTTTTCCGCTGCGCTGCTGGTCGCCTTGCCTCGTCGGCCACTACTGTCGCTTTCGCTGCTCGTCTCGCGTCGCGCCGACACTGCTCGCCTCTCAACGCCACTCCATACCGAATTTCTCGCCGCAGTTCGTTTTCGTCACCATCGCCTCGGCTCGTCCGTCACCATCCTAACCATCCATTCGCCGTAACCATTTCTGAACTCGGTTGGTCCGCACCTGTATCTTAGACACCAACGCACCGTCTATACTCACGCCACCACTAAAGGGTCAAGGGTCTACACGTGGCAGCTTGCGTTGCGAATCCCACTTCTCACTTCGCCCTGAATTCCTCTTATACATTCGCTCGATAAATCTTTCGCCGGGAACACATTTTGGTCGGATTTCGCTCGGTGAATCCGATTTTGCAGTTCCGCGCGTGGTACAGTACTACTAAAAATGTCGGCGCTGCTCCGCGCTGCTGCACGATGCGCGCGGGAGGGCATTAAGAAGGGCGGAGTGGAGAGAGACTCCGCGCGCGCGGGCCTTAGCGGGCGCGCCGGCGGGCTCGCGGACGGCTGGTCGAGTGCGGCCCGGCCGCTGCTAGTAGGCCGCCTCGGCGGGAGCCGCGAGGTGCACAGCGGGCCGCCGGTTTCCAAGGCGCCCCAGAGACAGAGTCCTCCGGTGGGAACGCGCCTCGGAGGTTGCCGCGAGGTTCATAGCGGGCAGCCGATAATCATGGCGAAGCGCGGTGCGGACCTGCTGCACGACCCGTGGTACAACAAGGTGTGTGTCTGTAAACGAAGAAAACGTACGACAAGGTGTGTGACTGTAAACGAAGGAGGCGTACAACAAGGTGTGTGACTGTAAACGAAGGAGGCGTACAACAAGGTGTGTGACTGTAAACGAACGAGGCGTACAACTAGGTGTGTGACTGTATTGATGTGCGGGAGGGTGGTGTAGCTAGGGTGGTACATCAAGGTTGTGAGACTGTAAGCGAGCGTTGAAGTTTCCGAGAGGGACGGGATAGGATTGAGGGGGCTGCTGTCCTGTTGCTCCTATTCCCCAATCCCCCTCCAACGCCCCTGTCCCCCCCTCGCCACCTTCCTGGTCCTCGTGCTCCCTTATCCCTTTTCCCACCACACGGCTTTTGAAACTACCGAGAGGGACCAGCTAGAACTGACTCCGCTGCTGCCGCCGTTGCTGCCGCCGTTGCTGCCCCGTTGTGTCCACGCCCCATTTTTCCCAAACGCTCCGCTTCTTCACCCTCCCGCCCCGCTCTCCCTTTTATTCCTTCCCTCTGTTCAAGCACACGGCGTTTGAAGCGCCTGAAAGGGACCGGCTCGGGTTGAGGAGGCTGTCGCTGTTGCTCCTACTCCCGAATCCCCCCCAACGCTCCCCGTCCCCCTCTCCCTCTTCCTCGTTCCACAATCTCCTTCCCTCTGTTCCAGCACACGGCGTTTGAAGCGCCTGAAAGGGACCGGCTGGGACTGAGGGGGCTGCTGCCGCCAGGGTACCAGACTATGGACGAGCAGGTGGCACAGTTCAGTAAGTGCTTAAAAAGAGGGCTGCTATAACGAGAGAGCGAGGGTCCATTAGGTTGAGGGGGCTGCTGCCGCCAGGGTACCAGAAGATGGACGAGCAGGTGGCTCAATTCAGTAAGGGCTCTTTTTTGCTTCAAACGAGGCAGCTTATATTGAGCAATGAGTGATTGGGATGAGGGGGTTGCCCCAGGGTACCAGAAGATGGACGAGCAGGTGGCCAAATTCAGTGACTGCTCTTTCGTGCCAACATCGAGGCAATAGCGGAGAGGGTTTACTGGGTAGAGGGTTATTGCGTTGAGGGGCCTGCTGTGCCGCCAGGGTACCAGACGGGGGACGAAAAGGTGGTGGTTCTGTAAGTGGATGCGTGCTTAAAACGAGGCAGGTTATAGCGAGCGAGGGTTCGTTGGGTAGAGGGTGCTGCATCTTGGGTATCTTGCTCCTTGGGTATCTTGCTCCTCGAACAAGGGTCTGTTGTCTATCTTGCTCTCTCCTCCCTCTTTCCTTCCCTTGCCCCCACTCCCTTTCCCCCCCCCCCTTCCCCCCCTTCCCCCCCCACCCCCTCCAGTGGCGGAGTACAGAAAGATGGATCAGAAGCCCTTCATGCCTTGGCAAGTTGGCACCCCCCGCCTTCGCCTCTCCCCTCTCTCCCTTCTCCCGCCTGCCCTCGCCTGCCCGCTTTCCCCACCAGTGGCGGAGTACAGGAAGATGGACCAGAAGCCCCTCATGCCAGACGACCCAGTTGACCAGCGCAATTTCACACCCTCCCTCTCCTCCCTTGCTGCTTCTCCCCATCCTTCCACCCCGCCCCTCCCCCCAACCCCACCAGTGGCGGAGTACAGGAAGATGGACCAGAAGCCCCTCATGCCGGACGACCCAGTTGACCTGCAGAAGTGGCGCATTCTCAACCGCCTGCACGACCGCAACGAGACGCTCTATTACCGGGTATGATGTGACTGCACCGCACTATACCGCACTGCACCATCACCATGCCGGATGACCCGGTTGACGGGTTGACCCGGAAGCCTCTCATGCCGGACGACCCAGTTGACCTGCAGAAGTGGCGCATTCTCAACCGCCTGCACGACCGCAACGAGACACTGTTTTACCGGGTATGAATGTGACTGTATTGAACTTTCTGCTACAAGGTGTGACGCACTAGTTGACCCGGTTGACCTGCACAAGTGGTGCATTCTGAACCGCCTGCACGACCGCAACGAGACGCTGTACTACCGGGTGAGAGAGTGTGCAAGTAGCTTCTCCCTGTGATGGTGAATGAGTGTTCTGGTGGGTGTGTGATGGGGGGACCCTCTGCCCCATCGCCTTGCCGGACCACCCGGTTGACCTGCAGGAGTGGCGCAATTTCCACGCCCCAACAGTTGGCACCGTGTGCCAGAAACAAAGCAGCAGCTCATTCCCCATGATTTCGCCTCCTCTCCTTTCCTTCTCTCTCCCCCTCCTCCCCTCCTCCTCCCCTCCTCCCCCATCAGGTGCTCATAGATCACATTCAGGAGATGAGTCGCATTCTCTACGTCCCCACGGTTGGTACCGTGTGTCAGAAGTACAGCAGCAGCTCATTGCTCCCTTCTCCACCCTTTCTCCCCTGCTCCCTTCCTCCGCTCCTGCCATACCCACGCTCATCCCCTCCCATCAGGTGCTCATAGACCACATTCAGGAGATGAGTCGCATTCTCTACGTCCCAACAGTCGGTACCGTGTGTCAGAAGTACAGCAGCAGCTCATTGCTCCCTTCTCCACCCTTTCTCCCCTGCTCCCTTCCTCCGCTCCTGCCATACCCACGCTCATCCCCTCCCATCAGGTGCTCATAGACCACATTCAGGAGATGAGTCGCATTCTCTACGTCCCAACAGTCGGTACCGTGTGCCAAAAATACAGCAGTCTGTTCATTTGTTCACTTCTCGCTCCTCCTCCCCCCCCCTTCCCATCCCTTTCCACATCAGGTGCTCATAGACCACATTCAGGAGATGAGTCGCACCCTCTATGTCCCTACGGTTGGCACCGTGTGTCAGAAGTACAGCAGCCTGTTCATGGCTCTCTCTTCTCTTCCCCTTATCCCCACCCTTCCTACTCCCCTCCCTTCCTCCCTTCTCCTTTCAACAGGTTCTGATCGACCACATTCAGGAGATGAGTCGCATTCTCTACGTGCCCACGGTGGGCACCGTGTGTCAGAAGTACAGCAGCTTGTTCCGGCGGCCCAGGGGCATGTACTTCAGTGCGGCTGACAGGGGCGAGATGGCGAGCATGGTGCACAACTGGCCCGCAGACAAGGTGAGGGGAAGGGCTGTGTGCTGTGACTGTGTGGTGTGGCTATAGCTGTGGCTGTGACTAAACGTGTAGGAGTGATTAGATGTAGTAGGTTAAACGTACAGCAGCTTGATCCGGCGGCCCAGGGGAATGTACTTCAGTGCGGCTGACAGGGGCGAGATGGCGAGCATGGTGCACAACTGGCCCGCAGATAAGGTGAATGATGGAGTGCCAAGGGCTGTATGCTGTGAGTCTGTGATTGCATGTATGGGGGATCAGAGATAGCGAGTCTGAAAATACAGCAGCCTGTTCCGAAGGCCTCGAGGCATGTACTTGAGTGCGGCTGACAGGGGCGAGATGGCGAGTATGGTGCACAACTGGCCGGCAGATAAGGTGAGGATGAGAGCTGTATGCTGTGACTGTGGCTGTAACTGTATGCATGGGGGGGAAGCAGAGGGAGTGTGTGAGTGAGAAGCACACTAGTCTGTTCAGTCGGCCCAGAGGCATGTACTTCAGTGCGACTGACAGGGGCGAGATGGCGAGTATGGTGCACAACTAGCCCGCAGACAAGGTGGGGGGAAGGGGGTTGCTGGATCTGTGTGTTGTGACATTACACGTGTGTGACTGTTGAGGGAGTGTGTGAGAAGCACAGCAGCATGTTCCGGCGGCCTCGAGGCATGTACTTCAGTGCAGCAGACAGGGGCGAAATGGCGAGTATGGTGCACAACTGGCCGTTCTGGTTCCGTGGCGAGAGATAAGGTGTGTTGGTTCCGTTATGCGCTGGGACTGTATGTGGACTGTATGTGCTGGACTGTATGTGCTGGACTGTATGTGCTGGACTGTATGTGCTGGGACTGTATGTGCTGGGACTGTATGTGCTGGGACTGTATGTGCTGGACTGTATGTGCTGGACTGTATGTGCTGGACTGTATGTGCTGGACTGTATGTGCTGGGACTGTATGTGCTGGACTGTATGTGCTGGACTGTATGTGCTGGACTGTATGTGCTGGGACTGTATGTGCTGGGACTGTATGTGCTGGGACTGTATGTGCTGGGACTGTATGTGCTGGGACTGTATGTGCTGGACTGTATGTGCTGGACTGTATGTGCTGGACTGTATGTGCTGGGACTGTATGTGCTGGACTGTATGTGCTGGGACTGTATGTGCTGGACTGTATGTGCTGGGACTGTATGTGCTGGGACTGTATGTGCTGGGACTGTATGTGCAGGGACTGTATGTGCTGGACTGTATGTGCTGGACTGTATGTGCTGGGACTGTATGTGCTGGGACTGTATGTGCTGGGACTGTATGTGCTGGACTGTATGTGCTGGGACTGTATGTGCTGGGACTGTATGTGCTGGGACTGTATGTGCTGGGACTGTATGTGCTGGGACTGTATGTGCTGGGACTGTATGTGCTGGACTGTATGTGCTGGGACTGTATGTGCTGGGACTGTATGTGCTGGACTGTATGTGCTGGGACTGTATGTGCTGGACTGTATGTGCTGGGACTGTATGTGCTGGACTGTATGTGCTGGGACTGTATGTGCTGGACTGTATGTGCTGGACTGTATGTGCTGGGACTGTATGTGCTGGGACTGTATGTGCTGGACTGTATGTGCTGGGACTGTATGTGCTGGGACTGTATGTGCTGGGACTGTATGTGCTGGGACTGTATGTGCTGGGACTGTATGTGCTGGGACTGTATGTGCTGGGACTGTATGTGCTGGGACTGTATGTGCTGGGACTGTATGTGCTGGACTGTATGTGCTGGGACTGTATGTGCTGGGACTGTATGTGCTGGGACTGTATGTGCTGGACTGTATGTGCTGGGACTGTATGTGCTGGGACTGTATGTGCTGGGACTGTATGTGCTGGGACTGTATGTGCTGGGACTGTATGTGCTGGGACTGTATGTGCTGGGACTGTATGTGCTGGGACTGTATGTGCTGGGACTGTATGTGCTGGGACTGTATGTGCTGGACTGTATGTGCTGGGACTGTATGTGCTGGACTGTATGTGCTGGGACTGTATGTGCTGGACTGTATGTGCTGGGACTGTATGTGCTGGACTGTATGTGCTGGACTGTATGTGCTGGGACTGTATGTGCTGGGACTGTATGTGCTGGGACTGTATGTGCTGGACTGTATGTGCTGGACTGTATGTGCTGGACTGTATGTGCTGGACTGTATGTGCTGGACTGTATGTGCTGGACTGTATGTGCTGGGACTGTATGTGCTGGGACTGTATGTGCTGGGACTGTATGTGCTGGGACTGTATGTGCTGGGACTGTATGTGCTGGGACTGTATGTGCTGGACTGTATGTGCTGGGACTGTATGTGCTGGGACTGTATGTGCTGGGACTGTATGTGCTGGACTGTATGTGCTGGGACTGTATGTGCTGGGACTGTATGTGCTGGGACTGTATGTGCTGGGACTGTATGTGCTGGGACTGTATGTGCTGGGACTGTATGTGCTGGGACTGTATGTGCTGGGACTGTATGTGCTGGGACTGTATGTGCTGGGACTGTATGTGCTGGACTGTATGTGCTGGGACTGTATGTGCTGGACTGTATGTGCTGGGACTGTATGTGCTGGACTGTATGTGCTGGGACTGTATGTGCTGGACTGTATGTGCTGGACTGTATGTGCTGGGACTGTATGTGCTGGGACTGTATGTGCTGGACTGTATGTGCTGGGACTGTATGTGCTGGGACTGTATGTGCTGGGACTGTATGTGCTGGGACTGTATGTGCTGGGACTGTATGTGCTGGGACTGTATGTGCTGGGACTGTATGTGCTGGGACTGTATGTGCTGGGACTGTATGTGCTGGACTGTATGTGCTGGGACTGTATGTGCTGGGACTGTATGTGCTGGGACTGTATGTGCTGGACTGTATGTGCTGGGACTGTATGTGCTGGGACTGTATGTGCTGGGACTGTATGTGCTGGGACTGTATGTGCTGGACTGTATGTGCTGGGACTGTATGTGCTGGGACTGTATGTGCTGGGACTGTATGTGCTGGACTGTATGTGCTGGGACTGTATGTGCTGGACTGTATGTGCTGGGACTGTATGTGCTGGACTGTATGTGCTGGGACTGTATGTGCTGGACTGTATGTGCTGGACTGTATGTGCTGGACTGTATGTGCTGGACTGTATGTGCTGGGACTGTATGTGCTGGACTGTATGTGCTGGGACTGTATGTGCTGGGACTGTATGTGCTGGGACTGTATGTGCTGGGACTGTATGTGCTGGACTGTATGTGCTGGGACTGTATGTGCTGGGACTGTATGTGCTGGGACTGTATGTGCTGGGACTGTATGTGCTGGACTGTATGTGCTGGACTGTATGTGCTGGGACTGTATGTGCTGGACTGTATGTGCTGGGACTGTATGTGCTGGACTGTATGTGCTGGGACTGTATGTGCTGGGACTGTATGTGCTGGGACTGTATGTGCTGGACTGTATGTGCTGGGACTGTATGTGCTGGGACTGTATGTGCTGGGACTGTATGTGCTGGGACTGTATGTGCTGGGACTGTATGTGCTGGGACTGTATGTGCTGGGACTGTATGTGCTGGGACTGTATGTGCTGGGACTGTATGTGCTGGGACTGTATGTGCTGGACTGTATGTGCTGGACTGTATGTGCTGGACTGTATGTGCTGGACTGTATGTGCTGGACTGTATGTGCTGGACTGTATGTGCTGGGACTGTATGTGCTGGACTGTATGTGCTGGGACTGTATGTGCTGGACTGTATGTGCTGGGACTGTATGTGCTGGACTGTATGTGCTGGGACTGTATGTGCTGGACTGTATGTGCTGGGACTGTATGTGCTGGGACTGTATGTGCTGGGACTGTATGTGCTGGGACTGTATGTGCTGGGACTGTATGTGCTGGGACTGTATGTGCTGGGACTGTATGTGCTGGGACTGTATGTGCTGGGACTGTATGTGCTGGGACTGTATGTGCTGGGACTGTATGTGCTGGGACTGTATGTGCTGGGACTGTATGTGCTGGGACTGTATGTGCTGGGACTGTATGTGCTGGGACTGTATGTGCTGGGACTGTATGTGCTGGGACTGTATGTGCTGGGACTGTATGTGCTGGGACTGTATGTGCTGGGACTGTATGTGCTGGGACTGTATGTGCTGGGACTGTATGTGCTGGGACTGTATGTGCTGGGACTGTATGTGCTGGGACTGTATGTGCTGGACTGTATGTGCTGGACTGTATGTGCTGGACTGTATGTGCTGGACTGTATGTGCTGGGACTGTATGTGCTGGACTGTATGTGCTGGGACTGTATGTGCTGGACTGTATGTGCTGGGACTGTATGTGCTGGACTGTATGTGCTGGGACTGTATGTGCTGGACTGTATGTGCTGGGACTGTATGTGCTGGGACTGTATGTGCTGGGACTGTATGTGCTGGGACTGTATGTGCTGGGACTGTATGTGCTGGACTGTATGTGCTGGGACTGTATGTGCTGGGACTGTATGTGCTGGGACTGTATGTGCTGGGACTGTATGTGCTGGGACTGTATGTGCTGGGACTGTATGTGCTGGGACTGTATGTGCTGGGACTGTATGTGCTGGGACTGTATGTGCGGGACTGTATGTGCTGGGACTGTATGTGCTGGGACTGTATGTGCTGGGACTGTATGTGCTGGGACTGTATGTGCTGGGACTGTATGTGCTGGGACTGTATGTGCTGGGACTGTATGTGCTGGGACTGTATGTGCTGGGACTGTATGTGCTGGGACTGTATGTGCTGGGACTGTATGTGCTGGGACTGTATGTGCTGGGACTGTATGTGCTGGGACTGTATGTGCTGGGACTGTATGTGCTGGGACTGTATGTGCTGGGACTGTATGTGCTGGGACTGTATGTGCTGGGACTGTATGTGCTGGGACTGTATGTGCTGGGACTGTATGTGCTGGGACTGTATGTGCTGGGACTGTATGTGCTGGACTGTATGTGCTGGGACTGTATGTGCTGGGACTGTATGTGCTGGGACTGTAT